GTCAGCGATGCAGGAATTGGGGCGGAAGGCGGTTGTGATTCAAACACGAGGTGCTTCCAGCGCACACGTCTTCCCTTTTGATGTGTTTTTCCCCTTTGAAGAGGGTCCCAGTATGTGAGGTCGCTCCACTGCCTTTATGCCCCCCCCCCGAATTAAGGATTCATAACAAAATAATACTATATAAAGTTTTCTTTGCGTTTCCGAGTGGTCGTCTGTGTTTTGCCTCCACTTCACTTCAACTACTGCAGTTAAACCGCATCACCGTCTGATGTTCATCCTCGACTACGGGAAGCAAACCGCTATGAATAAACCTGCAGTGAGAAGGTGCCCTGAATGAGCCGTATTTGTTTTTAATGAACCGAATGTTGGATTACGGGTTGAGTAAAAGTGATTATGAGAAGTTGATTAAAATCCCCTAAATTGTGTGATAATAGTTTGTGGAATGGAATTGCGATTGTAATCTGTTAATCTGATTTGTCAGTTCCGCAGAGTTCATGCACATTGATCGTATATTCAGCTAAATAAGCCAAAACATTTTAGTTTGTATTCAGTTTTCACAGCATATTTGGCACAAGCAAAGTCTATTCACTTGTTTAATATCTTTTTTATGTGCTGTCTTTGAGTTGAAAATGAAGATTTATACGGGTTAAGTATGCTACGTTCTATTAAGCTAGAACCTAAATGTTGCCCATTTCAGCATCAAGGCTGCAAACTGAAATGGCTGCTGCGTTTTATTATCATCTAAAACCACAAGTGGTCTTTTTATGGGTGTTTTTCTACGGATTAAACATAATTATGTGGGCATCATTTGTATCTCATAGCTCTGGGCCACAAATCTAGCAAAGCGTATTTCCCCAAATGTCAAATCTTGTCTCATGTTGAATATTGATACGATCAGTTGAACGAGATGTAATTATTTTTGGCCGGACTTTTCCTGATTGATTAGAGGACGAACATCAATCACGGCTTCGCACCTGCAAACAACCGCTGTTTCCTCTCGCCAGGGATCCTCTACAAAGGCAGCGGGGAGAACCAGTTCATCTCCCTGCAGCCGCCCGTCATCTCCACCGTCATGGGCAACGGGCGGCGCCGGAGCATCTCCTGCCCCAGCTGCAACGGGCAGGCCCAGGGCAACAAGCTGCTGGCGCCCGTGGCTCTGGCGTGGGGCATCGACGGCAGTCTGTACGTCGGCGATTTCAACTACATCCGCCGCATCTACCCGACGGGCAACGTCACGAGCATCATGGAGCTCAGGTGAGAGCGCCGCCTCGTCGGCGGGATATTCTTCGCTTGGGGGGGGAGGGGGCTGTAATATCACCATCATGGGGTTTCATACCTGTTATATATGCATTTTGTTTTGCATCGCGGGCTCAACAAGAACGATTACAAATACGCAGAGTACTGTAGCTGACCCTTAAATTAAAGTGCAATGTGCACTTTGGGTCCCGCTTTCCGTTTCTACTGGAACTAAAATGGCGTGGGGACAGTCAGTCACACACATCGCTCCCCTTCCCACAGAAAATGTGAAATATTTCCCCCATCCGTCTCCATAATTAGGAAAGACATCCTGTCTTCGGTGTGTAATTGGGATGATTTACGCCCTCGTGCCAAGGCGGCTTCCGTCTGCAATAACTCCCATTCGACCACTTGGCTTATTTCAAAGTGGCAGATGTTGATGGAATGTACATCGTCCTCCATGAGACGCATGCATATGGGAAAGCGCGTAAAAAGTACTAAGAGCACCAGCCTGAAGTTTTGGACCCACTCTCTCGTTGAGCTGAACGAGAAATTGGCCGATGTAGTACAGCAGGACGTCAGCGTTGGGATAACAAGGAGCAAACAATGAGACTAAGAGGGGAAATGATTGAGGAAGCCCCCTCTGTGTGCGCTGACGGGCCCCCACGGGCCAGTTCTCCTGAGCAGATGTGCGTGTAGCTGTGAATGCGAGGCCCAGTGGTGCTGTAAAGGAGCGTGTCTGCTCAGCAAGCCTTTCCTGGATAAATAATGGTTTAAGGAACTGTTTGTCTCCAAGCAACTATTTCACAGTGTGTGCAAGGAGAAAGACGCTTCTGTGAAACCTCGTCGTGTTCCATTCGCTCTGACATCCAACAGACACCGGAGACACATTTAGTCCACATTTAGACGACGGTAGCAGTTTGCAGGTTGTAACCAGTGCTGATTCACAAGTGCATAATACACCAAATCTTCATTGCTTGCAGAATATCTGCTTGTTTCCGATCCGGTGCTACTTGCTTCTGGACATTTCAGTTTCTCAAATGCATGAACGCTGTTAACTTAAAAGACGGTTTGGAGTCGGGCCTCAGCGGCCAAGTGGTCGAATCAACATTTCAGTAATAAGGGGACCAAGTGGTAATGCATGGAGCTTCATGGAGATCCTCCTCTCCACCTCCTGCCAGCCGGACCGTCATTGCCTGCCACTGTGTTCGTCCTCCGGGGGGGTGGGGGGTTCTCTTGCTGCTTGTTTTTTTTTCCTCTCCAGGGTTAGTGTTTAAAGCCGGTAAGTCTTCTGTATGAGAAGGAAACTACTACTATTTTTACTACTATCCTCATCCTTTTACGATTAACCAATTTCACTGTGTGAATTCTTCTCCCTCTCCTCCTGCTCCCCTGTATCCTGTCATAGAAATAAAGACTTTAGACACAGGTAGGTGCATGGTGTCCGTGCACGTTGCTTTAGTTTTCTTCACTCATCTCCATCTGTATCATCCTCTTCATAAGTCGTTATTTTACAGTCGCCTTTCGTACCGGTGGTGATTACCGCGGGTAATTATAGCAACAATTATGGCTTAATTACATCTAAACCGGAGGAAGCTGCACAATGTGTGTAGCGAGGGAATTGCATTTTACATATTTAAAGTATTTCTAAGTGTAAATGTAAAGGAGAAAGTTAATGCGTTTAGTGCTGTCCCATACAATACACCCCCCCCCCACACACACACACACACCATAAACAGCCCCACTGTGAAGCATGCAGCATAATTACATTACGATGCTGTTTGGCAGATGCTCTCATCCAGACGGGCTCATGCTTTGTATTCATGATTGAGACAACGTGAACAGATCAAGTGAAGATGCAATTAGGTTGTCCCACCGCCCCACAGGGGCCGGAGGGGTGGGGGGGGGGGGGGGGGGGCACGGAGAGCAAACCACAGCCAGGTTGTCTGGCTCTCGAGGTAGTCGATGTGGCCACGGATTTATTTGACGTGAAAATATGTTTGATTTCATTTTAATTGGACATCTGAACTCATTTACCTGATGCAGACGCAGCAGCGCTTCCCTCCGCCGCGTTCGGCCACGTCAGTGGTCCCGAACTAAGAAGTACAGATGAAAGAAAGAGCCCCCTTCCATGTTCCTTCATCGTCATTGTTTTGCCCTCCTCTAAATCGTGCTGCTCGGACGCTGTAGAGTTCAGATCAAAGACGCAGAGCACACGAGGGGCTGCGACCCCGCCATCGGTCACCGGAACACATCCGGCCTGGACCGTCCTCCGGGGGGTCATTTGTGTGGCTCTGCTGATGCTGCTGATATATATGAGGACGGAAATGTCCGCCATGTCAATTGTATTGTCATTTACTGTATGGTTAAGTAGGAGGGGTCAGTTAGTGGTTCAACCAGCAGCGAATCGGGTAAATAAGGAAACCGTGTCGAGGGGACACGTGGTGTGTTCAGGAACAATAATGTCTCTCGGTGGTTTTGAAGAACACAATCCCCGGTTCATGCTTCACAGAAAACCTCCTGGATGAACGCTCCGCAGCCTTCGCGCGGCGCGCACAGCATCACGCCAGAAAGCTACACGGATTTAGAGAGAAGCCATCTAAAATTAACTCGGCCTTGATGCGTCTGAAGCGAACGTGGCAAACAGGCTCACGAGTTATCGCGACGCATCCGGGTGGCTTTTCCCTCATTCCTTTGAGACGATCCGCTTGATGTCTCTTTTTTATTTCTTTTCTTATTCCTTTGTTTTGAGGCCGCCTCCCGACAAGTGCTGGATTAACCAATCGCGTTGTCCAGATCGCCGCCAGTCGTACGTCTCAGCATGAGAAGCTTTAGATATGACTCCTCTACTGCAGGGCTGCAAACATCACACACGTGTTTCATTCTTAGTGCCCGGACCCCCCCGAGGGTCACTCACATACGTCTTTGTGAATTCTCCGTACGAGCTCGATGGCCGTTTGCTTTGACTCATAATAGCCGTGCGACTCCATCTATAAAGGTGTTTCATCGCCACACTTATGTTGACTAAAGTGCCGTTAAGCCGGAGTACAAGCAGAGAAGCCGTGTTTACGGCTGTGCTGCACGCCGCTGTGTTTCATGTTAACTGCCTCTGTTTTTAGCCCTTTAATGACACTTAAGCCCCGTCTATGTATCAACTCTGACCTAATAGAAATTTGTTTACCGGGAACTCACCGAAAATGATGATTTAATTGGTTTTCTTCGAGTCTAAATATCAATCAATCGGGGGCTTGTAAAATAGTTCCTTCTCCTTGACACGTTTGCTCTTTGAATCATGGATTCATAATGAGACGCACACAAAAAAAAAAAAGAAATCAAATAAGCAGAAACCGATGCAGTGCTATTAGTTGTTGCTCTTTGTGAACATAAGCCATAAGTCAATTATGTAATTTCCAGAAGCTTTTCCCAGCAGGGGAGCGATAACAAATGAAACGATCTGGGACACAAGTTGCTGTTTGTGCTTTGCAAACAGGAAGCCCGCTGCAGGGTTTCCTGTTCCCCCCCTTTCAGCCTCCCATGTCTCACTTTCTGCATCTTATTCCTCATTCACAAAACGCTGTTCACGACATTCAGTTCGTTATCCACGTGCATGACAGTGTTGCTACTTGTTTAAAGTTCATTAAAAGGTTTGTATGTCAAAGGATTGGAAAATAACAAATGGAACAAAATTCACCATTTACGGGATGTTTTGGAAAATAATTTTTATTAAACATTAGCATTAACTTAGTTGCCTTTTCTGTTTGCTCTCTGGAGAGGTACAATTAAATAAATGATATGCATTTCACTAAATGTTTAATTGGGGGTGAAGATCAGGCTTAATTTGATCAGGGCCCACGTTGTTTCAGTTATCTCGCATAGTATTGATTTATTTTACGATGGTGGTAAATCAGCCCTAATAAATGACTATTTGGCTTCGTTGTTAAAAAAGAAAGCCCAAAGGAAGCGGACGGTGTGTAGTTTACAACCCAGTCGTTTTCTTGAATGCAGCAACAACCCAGCGCATCGCTACTACCTGACCACCGACCCAGTGAGTGGGCAGCTGTACGTGTCCGACACAAACTCGCGGCGGATCTATCGGCCCAAAACCTTGACCGGGACCAAGGAGCTGCAGTCCAACGCCGAGGTGGTGGCAGGAACCGGGGAGCACTGCCTGCCCTTCGACGAGAACCACTGCGGCGACGGAGGCAAAGCGCCCGAGGCCTCGCTCACCGGACCCAAAGGTAATAACGGGGTTTAATCTGCATAATCTACGGGGGGGGGATATTCCTGTTCCTACTTGTCTTCCCACAAGGGGCTCTTGTGAAAGCAAAGCATCCGGCGCTTTAAGGCTCAGAGAAGCAGTCGATGACCCGCCAACGGCAACCGGCCCACATTCAAATAGCACGTGGCCCTCGGTGCCGTCAGTGCTCGGATCGCTCACTTCTCTTTTACGCTTGTTGGTGCCCTAAATGCCGAATGAAGCCGCTCAGCTGGAGAGAAGGCAATCTGAGGGAGGGACTAAATGGTGGAAGCCCAAACCGGAGGAGAAACAGCAGACGGCTCCATCTTTTTTTTTTTCCACCTCTCAGACGTTTGGTGAACTTTGCTCCGAGGTGACACTTTTCATCTGTCTGAGACTCTCAGACCGTCAAATGGCCGGCCGCGACTCGCCGCGGGCTCCCTCAGCTCGTAAATGTTTCAGCAGAAAGTAATCTCGGGCGGACCCAGCCACAGGTCAAGCCCAACCACTCACCTTCTGTAGGAGCTCTTAAAGAGAAATAAATGGTGTTCTCAAGGTGAAGCTGATTTTAAAGTCTTGGAGAAACGAAAGGAACATTTGTGTCGGAATCAAAGTCGAAGCCGCGGCGTTTTGAAAGCGGTGTGAAAAATAACAGATTGTGAGGTACGATAGAATGAGTGCTGGTCTCCATTAAGCGACGCCAGAACGCAGAGGGATGGGAAGGGGGGGGCGTTCGGGTATTTTCCCAGTTTGGGACAAATGTTTTTTTTGCAGCTCCACACTGGCTCCTGCTGCGAGTCACAACTCTGAGCCGGCGCTCCGGCGCTGAGAAACAGAACAAAAAACTCTCCGCACTCCGTCGCCATGGCAACGCCCCGTCTCTCACCCCTTTCATACAAAATTGGCCGAAGCTGTCATTTCAGCTCGCGCGCTCATTTATTTCTCAAATGGTGTGCAGATTGTTGATGATTGCCCATGTCGGAAAAAAAGATCTCCGAAAACGCACCACTCATTGACACCTCCGGTGCCCGGGTCCTCTTTTTTAGAGAGGGGGGTTTCAAGTAGTGGCAAGTGCATATATACCTTATGAATACAGCCTTTCCCACTTCTGCCTGCGAAATAATTTAATAGCAGAAAAGCAGCCAGTGAATTATTGATGGCTGTGCTTTTTGCAGTGACCTGAATAATGGGAAGGCAAGCTTGACACATGTATCCATCGTGTTCTGTCCACTGAGTCATGCAAGCAGAGAGGCTCTCATGTGTTTTTGTTATCACCACCCCCTCCCCCCGATGTGCACAGGCATCGCCGTGGGCAAGAACGGACTGATATATTTCGTCGACGGCACCACGATCAGGAAGGTGGACCAGAACGGCATCATCTCCACGTTCCTCGGCTCCAACGACCTGACGTCTGCTCGCCCTCTGACCTGCGACCACAGCATGGACGTCAATCAGGTGACTCCAAACGGGGCAGGACCGCTCGACGCGGAGCACGTCCCAGCGCCGACCCCCCCCTCCATCGCACCCTCTCGCTCTCCCATGACTCATCGTCGACATGCAGTGTTACATAAGGAAAACATATTAATGCACAACTGATTTCCTTATGAACGCTGAATCTTTGTTGGGAAACTGATTTCCGAGGGCAAAGAAAACACGCAGAGGCTTTTCAATGCGTTTTTTTTCTTTTACCTCATAATTTATATAATTATTGACAGGGCGGGAAATCTTCGGCAAGCAAGGTGGAAGAGTTACTTAGTATGCTGCCGCCGTCTCTCTGGAACGCTCTGCAATCACATTTCAAATAGAGAAAAATGCTCCTTCTGGGAATTTGAATCATGGCTGCAGAAACTGTGCGCCGTCTTTCCTGGATGCCGTTAGGAAGAACTGTACAATCGGGTTGTTTTAGCGTAATTCATTTACTGTTTGGTAGCATCGTTCTTACTTGTCTTTATCGATGGTGGCATCGCCCTTGGACGATTTTAAAGTGCCTCTTCCCTTAGTTTCGTGGAAGTTGTCTTTTAAAAGATTATTATTGGCTATTTTATTTATGGCTCTATAATTCCATTTCTGCTAAATTGTGATCCACTTAATTATGTTAGCTTGTGACATTGTTATTGCCGCCTCTCTTCAAATGTGAAATTCCTGGTTGAGCCAAAGTTAAATTAAAACGGTCGGTTAATTGACGCGTCATAGCTGTGGAACAAGCTCCAGTTCCCACACCGACATTATCAGGAAAAAAACTGATTTCTCTTTTGCTCTCAACTCGACAAGAGCAGTGCATTTTCTCTGAAAATACAGGAAGAATGAAATCTGCTGTGGTGAAGATGGAGACACGCCGTGTTTATGAGGAGACGGCTCTTCAGGTCGCGGCAGACGACGCGGGGGGAAGAATAATCACCGCGTTTGGGGGGGCTTGTTTCGATGTGGCTACAGCTGAATTAGCGTCACTCGGGATTGAAGACGTAATAGAATCCTGAATCCTGATACGAAAGCACATATGACCTTTTCTTCAGCCGGGGCCTGAGGACGGCCGACCTCTGTCCCGCAGGGCGCTCTAACTCCCTGTGAATGAGGGGACATAAGACAACAGGTGAGAAAGCGTTACAGGAGTGCAGCCCCCAGATAAACGATAAAACCCCCAGAAATCAGCAGGCTGCAGACGCATGCACGAGGAAGCGGATGACTTCACGGCGTCCGTTATATCTCGACTCTGCAGACGGTGAATTCTCAAGTGTGTCGGCGGTGTTGAGCTGCCGCAGGACGAGCTTCTCCCGCCTCTCACATGTGTGCACCAGGCATTCAACGACATTTTAATTAGGCTTCTGGTGTTCTAATGCGGAGCAGCTGACCAACAAAACGCTTCAAAAAGTAGATGGGAAGGACGGCGACCCGCCGACAGCGGATATAACAAACACCCTCGCATCCCTTCGAGAGGGTTAGATAACAACAGCATCAACACAAGCAACAGACGGAGGGAATTAACCAGCGTTTTGGCGTTATTGAAGCCTTTTAAAGGTAAACAGGACAGAGCGCCCGTGTGTGGTTGTGCGCGTTCGTGCGCGGGTGAACACGAAGGCGGAAAAACACGAGACAAAGGATTAAGCTCGTCACTTTCTGCTAATTAACCAAGTCATTCGGTGCGAGCCAATAAAACGATGGTTTTGGCGCCAGCGTGTGATCCTCGGGCACGGCGGCTGCGGAATTGGCTCGGCGCGGTTGGACTGGCGGCAGCCTCACAGGCCGTGTGTCTGGTTATTAATCACCCTTTGGAGAAGCACAATTCAGGGGCGTTTTGACAGTTTCGATCACACATTCGATGTGTCTAAATCTTTTGTGCTGTTACAAATAAAGAGAAAAACGGCAGATTTGTAATAGTTGGCTTTGGTCAAAGTGTTGCTTTGCAATATCTACTCGTTATTTGTTCCAAGATGTGTTTCACACTGCTATATTTTGTATGTGTAGCGTTTCTTAGTTAATTTGGATGTAATTTGATACACTTAATTGACCACTTAATGGGGGTCTCCCCTCGGCGCTCCGGCATCAGTTAGTGTGGAGGCTTCGGGTTATTTTGGCAGCTCTGCTGTTGCTTCACGGGGCAGAACCTCCTGCAACGTCACTTCATTTGATTAACTCAGCAGCAGCATGATAGAATGTAAATGTTTTGCAGGGATAGAGGGCATAATAGAATGTTATCTTAAAACAGCAATGTGGCCAGAAATATCCCTTTTAAATTCATGTATCAGCAGCGCAAGAAGATAAGAGTTAATCCTGCACCCCAAAGGTATAATAAATACTTTTTATTTCTCCCTTCGAGCCAATTTAAATTATATATTCTAAGACAAAATAGCATAGTGCAAAGAGAATGATGTGCCACTAAAGTGTCACCTTTTATTCCTGCAACAGTCACAGTCTTGGTAATGAAATAGATGTATTGAGATGGTCGGATACGAGTGTTCTTCTAGGAGGAAATGTGTTCTCCGTTTCAGGTTAAGGTAAGTTTGGCTTTAAAAAGGTGGACTTTGTCCGTTTAAATTTGACTCCCGGTTCAAATCATTGAGTTTTTCAGCCTATTGGTGAAGTGATGAAGAATATTCATTCCTTCTTCAATCAATCAAGGTCCTTTTTTTTATAAAACCACTACATTTTTTTGGTTGTTTGTGGTTATTGTACTATTATAACGTGCCACATTATTCATGTGTACATGAACTCTGCTTCCTCTGCTCCATCTTTCTTCTTCTTTTTTTAAAGTTTCGATGTGTTTCTTCCTCCCGGTGAATCCTGCGTGGTGATGACTGTGAGCGAGCTTCGGGATAACGAAGACGCGCTCTTGTTTCAGGTGATTCTGGAGTGGCCCACTGACCTGGCCGTCAGCCCCATGGACAACTCGCTGTACGTCCTGGACAACAACATCGTGCTGCGCGTCACCGAGAACGGGCAAGTGAGCATCGCGGCCGGCCGGGCCTCTCCACTGCCCGCTGGCCGGCCTGGAGCGCGGCGCGGCCGCGGGCCAGCGGGCCCAGTTGACCCCCATGGAATCCGCCGTTTCCATCGCCGTGTCTTACCACGGCGCCATCTACATAGCGGAGACGGACGAGCGAAGATGAGCAGGATCCGAAAGGTGTCTGTGGATGGCGAGATGACGCACTGCTGTCCCCCTCGACTGCGATTGCAAGACCGATGCCCAACTGCGACTGCTACAAGACGGGCGACGGCTACGCCAAGGACGCCAGGCTCAACCGCCCGTCCTCTTTGGTGGCGGCTCCCGGATGGGACGCTATACGTGGCCGACCTGGGGCAACATCCGCATCCGGGCCATCTCCAGGAACGGGCCGACCCCCGTCGGCAACACGTACGAGGTGGCCTCCCCCGATGCCCAGGAGCTGTACGTGTTCGACGGCAACGGCACCCACCAGCACACGGCGAGCCTGCTCACCGGCGACCTGAAGTACACGTTCAGCTACAGCACGGAGAACGACATCACCGCGGTGACCGACAGCAGCGGCAACACTCTGCGCATCCGCAGGGATCCCAACCGCACGCCGGTGCGAATCGTCGCCCCCGACAACCAGGTGATCTGGCTGACCATGAGCACCAACGGCGGGCTGAAGACGTTGACCGCGCAAGGCCAGGAGCTGGTGCTCCTCACCTACCACGGCAACAACGGCCTCCTGGCCACCAAGACCTCCGAGATCGGCTGGACGACTTTCTACGAGTGAGTACGAAAGAGATCGGAAAGAACATTCTGTGTAAGTCTTGATGTTACTTCTGTGCATAGTAACGATGATAGATAATGCTATTATTATGACTAATAATAATAGCATTATAATGCTATAATATTAGCACGCTTATCATGGACAAAGATGCAGCATTAACAGTATAAGAGTAACCACAGGAATTGGCTTTAGGACAAAAATGAACGTTTAACAGAATGACGAGCTTGTGGTCATATCGCGTAGCCGTTTTTTATTTTGCTGCCATGCACCTCACAGTGAAGCCTGATCTCCAAAACCTGTTCATTCATTCCTTCTTCAATCAATCAATCAATCAAGGTCTTTTTTTATAAAACCACTACATTTTTTTGTTGTTGTGGTTATTGTACTATTATAACAGCCTGATCTCCAAAACCAGTTCGTAAAAATGTATACGGAAATCTTGAAGATACAAATTCGTAGTTACAGATACAGATACATAGGAAATAAATACGGACTGCAACCGATGACGTCACCCTGTTCAAAGTGAACGGGGACCTGCGCCCCGTAAACACACTTTGTGAAGTCTAACGATGTAAAATAAACGTGTTATGATTGCATTTTTAACGAGAAATCAATGTTAACTTGTAAGAATAGAATACTAACCCTAACCCCCTCAAAAAATCCAACATGGCGGAAAGACTTTCACTCAAGAATCCAACACGGTCGGCCATGTTGTTCACTCAGGGGGCGTGGTTAACCGCCGCCAGTTCCTACGTATTGTTACGAATTTGTATCTTCAAGATTTTTGTATACATTTTTACGAACAGGTTTTGGAGATCACGTTGCACAGTGATGGACTTTGCTGTGTGATTTGCTTTTGTGTCACATTATGCTTGAATGACCCCCCCCCCAAAAGCAAAGCAGTCAGTTGAGATTCTAATGGTCCGATCAATCATTTCATTAATCACAGCTGTGTTTTTATATGTAAAACTCATGGCTGATTGGATGTGTCATCGTCCCATATCAAATATTTGCACTGTGCCTCGGGCATCACGGAGGCTGCGCGGGAACGGACATGTGACGAGTCCCCCGAGTGCGAAAGGGGGCAGATAATCGAACGCACTGCGCGCGGCGGCAACGTCGGCGCCTTGTCATTTCTGTCGAGCAGCTACGACAGCGAAGGACGGCTGATGAACGTGACGTTCCCCACCGGGATGGTGAACAACCTGTACGCGGACATCTACAGCGCTCTGACGGTGGACATCGAGAGCTCCATGACGGAGGAGGAAATCAGCATCACCACCAACGCCTCCGCCCTGCGCTCCTTCTACACGCTGGCTCAGGGTGAGGCCTCGTCCTCCTCCTTCCCCGCCGCCGCCCGTGCGGCTGGTTTTTGTCAGCGGTTATTTGTCATTGTTTCAGGGGTCGCCGGGGGTCGATGTTGAGTAAGCTTAAGTCGTGCATCAGCGCAGCGACAGACGACAGTGTAAGTGATCGCTCGCCCTGGCGTGCGGGTGTTCGGGGTGTCGGGGAGACGCATCAACCTTGCGCCTGAGTGGTTTCTACTCTGTGCGAGGGCCCAGATGGTCGCGTTATCGCCGGCGCATCATTCACGTCCATTTATTTCCTCCAGAGTTCAACCAATAAAAACCCCAGGAGGCCCAAATAAAGAGCCGTCGGTTAATCACGTGATCCTCTGTTGCGCGTCTGATGCCTTTATGCTCGCCGCCGACAGACCAATGTAGAAGCGTCTACCAAGTGGGCTTCGACAACTCGCTGAGGATCACGTACGCCAACGGGATGGACACCCACTACCAGACGGAGCCGCACATCCTGACGGGCGCCGCCAACCCGACCGTCGCCAGGCGCAACATGAGCTTGCCTGGGGAGGGCGGGCAGAACTTGGTGGAGTGGCGCTTCCGCAAGGAGCAAGCCCGGGGGAAAGTCATCGTGTTCGGGCGCAAGCTCAGGGTGCGTTTGCTTCTTTTCTTCTTCTCGTTTACCTGCTCGTGGGATCCTTAGATGATCAGCTCGCCATGTTCGGGTCGGACATCGGTTGATGTTTTTTGTCATTATTCATCATGTCATTATTATAACATTTGAAAAGAAATCTACGATAGTTTTCTTTTCTTGAAATTGATGAAGCGCCAGAACGTGAGGTTTCTTCATGAGTACTTGGCTGTCCGTGGTCCAGCTCCTCTTCCTCACCCAATTTGTGATTTATGGTACTTATGGTACATGAACTTAACTTGGGTGGTTACTTTCCCTTTGAGTAATTTTTGTCTCTTCTAAATTTAGGAGGTTATGATTTAAGAGTAACTGAATAATCGGCAGTGCCCCCAGTTAAATGAGCCCTGTGAGGGAAGGCGTTAATCTCTGTGACAATTAGAGGGAAAATGACATGAATGCCGTTTAAAGATCCTCCCAGACCAAGACGAGAGATATCAAAACCAAAGTGTATTCTTAAGACTGCACTATTGTGTGATTAATACACAATTTAATCAACTACTACCAATTATATTGGTTGTATAACTCTGATTAAGCATCATCTGTTACTCGTGTCTTATTATCGTTCGTAGTTGCAGCAGCAGTGGTTGCAGACTTCTGTCTTAGCGCATTGTTAAATCATATCCACAGGTGAACGGACGGAACATTCTCTCCGTGGATTACGATCGCACCCTGAGGACCGAGAAGATTTACGACGACCACAGGAAGTTCCTCTTGAAGATTATATACGACACAGCGGGCCACCCGGTGCTCTGGGTGCCAAGCAGTAAGCTACTGCCGGTTAATGTGAGCCGGACCAGCAGCGGGCAGATCAGTGCCCTGCAGAGAGGCCCCACCACCGAGAGACTGGAGTACGACGGCCAAGGCCGCCTGGCTTCCAGGGTGTTTGCTGATGGCAAGATATGGAGCTACACCTACCTGGAGCAGGTGAGGGCATCACATGACCCCCACCCCCATGTGACGTGTGCAATACAGCAGACTAGTCATTAAGAGCGTGACACGGGGCGGAGGTCACCATAAAGAGGCCTTTAATGCAAAACCCGCCGGCTGCTGGTACATAATTCTGCCTCTAACACGGTACTTATGCTTTCACACTAACAGCAGGTGTGTGAGCGCCACGCAGGAGGCTTTGGTTTTAACACACTCTACTTTGACCTCTTCCCAGCGGGTAAACTAGATGATGAGTATGTGAGTTTACCCGAGAAAATGAGACCACACATGTTTTAAACAACGTGTTGGCTTACCATCTCTTCCATGAGATTTCTTCGTAGTAGGTAATCCTAAATGACAGTGTCCTAAGCTCTGGGATTAGTATAAAGAATACAGTGCACGTGCAATGGAGAAGTATTGAACCGCTGTGTGCAGAGCCGAGGACAGACGGGAAGACGCACCCTGTTACACAGTGTAGGAAGACGCCGCCTGCTAAATATCAATTATGTATGCAGTGATTGCAAGAGCGTATAGTAGCACGCACATGCTACACAAAAACATAAAAGTGTTGAAATCCACCAAACTGATGATCCCTTTTCGTGACGTCAAAAGGCAAAACGTCGTCCATCTCTGTCCCCAAAACACCCTGAAGTTCTTTTGCAGACCGTATTCGACGTTGCGCTGAGATGCTCGGCTGTGAGCGCCGAGAGATTTCATCAGCCGCTCCGTTCGTTGCGTGACCTGCAGAGGCAATGTCAACACTCTGACACGAGGAACACGGAGCGCTCAGGGAGCGCAGGGAACCCGCGTGTCGCAACGGATGACTGGGCATGACATTTCAACGGGGGAGGGAAGACGGGCCGCACTCAAAACTGCGTGCACTAAATTAATTAAACGGGCCTCCGTGAGAAATAGACGTTGAATGTAAACGCGAGTTCCATTGCGTTCTTGTGGGTGCTTACTACTAGATATTCACTCACTGTTGAGTGTTTGAAACACACAGACGCTCTGCGTAGTATTTCTCTTTGAAATCAAAGCTGTATATTCTGCATTAAAAGGTCAGGGACAGTGTGCAGCGGGAATGTTTCTGCAATGCACGGCATTAATCATGTCTTACGTATTCATATTATGACCCACGGAGACGGCTTCTTTTGCTCTTGTCCCCTTTAGTCCATGGTTCTCCTGCTGCACAGTCAACGGCAGTACATCTTCGACTTTGACCCTCTGGACCGGCTCTCTGCTGTCACGATGCCGAGCGTCGCCCGCTACACCATGCAGACCATCCGTTCGGTGGGCTACTACAGGAACCTCTATCACCCCCCGGAGAGCAACGCCTCGGTGGCCGTGGACTACAGCGAGGACGGCCTCCTGCTGAGGGTAGCTCACCTGGGCACGGGCCGCAGGGTCCTGTACAGGTACCGCCGGCAGAACAAGCTGTCGGAGATCCTGTACGACAGCACGAGGGTGAGCTTCACCTACGACGAGACGGCCGGAGTGCTGAAGACGGTCAACCTGCAAAACGAAGGGTTCATCTGCTCCATCCGCTACCGTCAGGTGGGTCCCCTGGTGGACCGGCAGATCTTCCGCTTCAGCGAGGACGGCATGGTCAACGCGCGCTTCGACTACACCTACGACAGCAGCCTGCGCGTCACCAGCGTGCAGGGCGTCATCAACGAGACGCCGCTGCCCATCGACCTGTACCAGTTCGACGACATCTCAGGGAAGGTGGAACAGTTCGGGAAGTTTGGGGTGATCTACTATGACATAAACCAGATCATATCCACTGCGGTCATGACCTACACCAAGCACTTCGATGCGCACGGACGCATCAAGGAGATCCAGTACGAGATATTCCGCTCGCTCATGTACTGGATCACCTTCCAGTACGACGACGTGGGGAGGGTCATCAAGCGCGAGATCAAGATCGGCCCCTTCGCGAACACCACCAAGTACAGCTACGAGTACGACGTGGACGGGCAGCTGCAGACCGTGTACCTCAACGAGAAGGTGATGTGGCGCTACACGTACGACCTCAACGGGAACCTGCACCTGCTGAACGCAGGGAACAGCGCCAGGCTTCTCCCTCTGCGCTACGACCTGAGGGACCGCATCACCCGCCTGGGAGACATCCAATACAGGATGGATGAGGACGGTTTCCTGCGTCAGAGGGGCGCAGAAATCTTTGAGTACAACTCCAAAGGACTGTTGGTGCGGGTCTACAGCAAGAGCAGCGGCTGGACGATTCAGTACCGCTACGACGGGCTCGGGCGCAGGGTGTCCACCAAGACGAGCCTGGGACAACACCTGCAGTACTTCTACGCCGACCTGAGCTACCCGGCCAGGATTACGCACGTGTACAACCACTCCAGCTCGGAGATCACCTCGCTCTACTACGACCTCCAGGGCCACCTGTTTGCCATGGAGATCAGCAGCGGCGAGGAGTTCTACATCGCCTGCGACAACACCGGCACGCCGGTGGCGGTGTTCACCAGCAACGGGCTGCTGGTCAAGCAGCTGCAGTACACGGCGTACGGCGAGGTCTACTTTGACTCAAACCCGGACTTCCAGCTGGTGCTCGGGTTCCACGGAGGGCTTTACGAGCCGCTGACCAAACTGCTGCACTTTGGCGAGCAGGATTATGACATAATGTCCGGGAGGTGGACGGTTCCCGATGTCTCCGCGTGGCAGAAAGTTGCCAAGGAGCCAGCTCCTTTTAATTTGTACATGTTCAGAAATAACAATCCAATCAGCAAAGTCCATGAGCTGAGGGAATATGTTGCAGGTAAAAGATTATTCGAGCTTCTATGAGCCTTTCATTTGTTACATTTACTCTGTCTCACCATTCTAAATATATTTAGTTGACTCAATCAATAAGGAATATCCTCACAGCTGTGCACTCAATTGATTGTCTCTTTGATTTAATAATAATATATGCATTCTTATTGGTAATTAATTCATTTTAAGATTTTGAAGCATTTCAGTGACGGGAACGAGTCACTCAACACAAATTAAATTAGAATGTTTCAACTTTACAACTTTACGGTGTGGAGCGACGGTATTTATGCATGTATTATTCTCGCACAGATGTGAACAGCTGGCTCGTTACCTTCGGCTTTCATCTTCACAACACCATCCCTGGATTCCCGGTGCCAAAGTTCGACTTAAGCGTACCGTCCTACGAGCTGAGGAAGAGCCAGCGCTGGGATGACCTGCCGGTCGGTAACGTTTCGGTGCATATTGAACACGAAATAAACAAATGCTAAACTCCACAGCTGAAATATATTATGATGATCCAAGTGTCAAAGACACAAAAACACATTTTCTATTGTTATTCCCTTAAACTAGTATTTTGAAGGTGCCGTCTCTTAATTGGGTTGCTATGTGTTACAGAGGATATCAGTTTTAATTGGGCCGTATTTCCATGAATGCATAATAAGCACAGGTTTTCTCTGTGTTGTTGTTTTACTTGTCTAGCCTAATATGCTATATTTTGGTTACTCTTCTAATTAAACAATCCTTTGAGGCTATTTAAACCAGGCTTCTTTGCTTCATGGCCTTCACACATTAAGTGTTCCAGTAAAATTGTCATGGGAGATTTATCTTTTTTAGGCTTGAGAACGCAGCTTGAAAAGACCATTATCTCAGACAGGGACGAAGAAGAACTGTGGAGCAGAGTCAGCTTCTGCCATGTTCGAGCGTTAACGTTTCACTGCGCTTTCCCTGCAGTCCATCTCTGGGGTCCAGCAGGAAGTAAGCAGACAAGCCCGTTCTCTGCTGTCCTTCGAGCGGCTGCCGGAGGTCCGTCTCAGCCGAGGTCGCAGAGGTGAAAAGCCCTGGCTGTGGTTCTCGGCGGCGATGTCTCCCATCGGGCGAGCCGTCATGTTCGCCATCTACAAGGGCAGCGTTCACACTCACGCGCTCAACGTGGCCAGCGAGGACTGCGTCAAGGTGGCGACCATCCTCAACAACGCTTTCTACCTGGAGGACCTCCACTTCACCGTGGAGGGGCGGGACACGCACTACTTCGTCAAGCCGGGCCTCCCGGACGCCGACCTCGCCGCCCTGCACCTCACGAGCGGACACAAGACTCTGGAGAACGGCGTGAACGTGACCGTCTCCCAGTCCACCACGGTCATGGACAGCCGGACGCGGCGCTTCGCCGACGTGGAGGTCCGCGCCGGCGCTCTGGCTCTGCACATCCGCTACGGATCCACCGTGGACGAGGAGAAGGCGCGGGTGGTCGAGCTGGCGCGGCAGCGGTCCCTGGCGGGCGCCTGGGCGAGGGAGCAGCAGCGCGTGCGGGAGGGCGAGGAAGGGGTCCGCCCCTGGACAGAGGGCGAGAAGAGGCAGCTCCTGAGCGGCGGAAAGGTTCTGGGGTACGACGGGTACTACGTGCTCTCCATCGAGCAGTACCCCGAGTTAGCGGACAGCGCCAATAACATTCACTTCCTTCGGCAGAGTGAAATTGGGAAGAGGTAACAATGCGCGGCGCATTTTCTGCCAGAGAGACGCTGTTTTGGTAGAGACGGGCGGACGGAATGAAAAGCAGCTGTAATCGAGGGTTGCTGTGGACCCTGAGTGTCGTGTGTTTTTGTAAAAAAAAAAAAAAAAATTCAAAAAAAAAATGGACGAAAGACAAAATATACAAGCGGTCAAAAGCAATGCTGTGCATTGTGACCTGGGGACTACAGAGTAATTGTATAACTACACCAAGCCTTACCATGGCAATTACAGGTCAGTTCCTCTGTTGCACAAGCCTTTTGGACTCCGGACTCTGGAAGTTTTGTCTTTGTGAGAGAGAGAGTGAGCAAATTTTAGGTGTTTTTTTTTTATTTAATTTTTTAGTTTTCATCAATGAAAGTCTGACTCGACAGAAAGTATTCTAAGCGCAAAGGAAATGTTTACATTATGCATATCTGCACTTGGCTAGAAGCACGGGAAGGACGAGCCGCGTCCTCGAGAAAATGTTTGTTTATAAAACCAGAGACTTCTGACGCAGGAGAGATCCTCACCAAACAACCACTATGTGTACCAGATCCAGCACTGACAGGAAGGGACCGGTTTCATGTTTCAATACCCAACGTCCAGGGAGGGAAAGAAGTACGAACGAAAAAGTACGAACTCTGCTGGAGCGGGAGGGGCACAGGCGCGTCTCGGTCAGCGCAGGGACACCATGTTTTGTAAATTATGCAAGAGTTTTCTGGCGTTTTTTTTTTTTTTTAAAAGAAACTGAATAGATGTCTGTATTAGTCATATTAACAGTAATTTATGTTGTGTTTTTTACATGACCAATAAAGTCCAGCGGATTTTATTTTTTTGTTCTTTTATTTTTTCGACAAGCATTTCTTTTTTTTTTTGCAGTTGCGTTCCTTCTCATTTGGCTTCGTGGGGCTTCCTCACTGTGCTCTGTTCAAGTAAATAACAGAAACCTGTGCATGTAGTGATACGTATTTACAAGTGGTGATGTATTTATAACATGCCATCAACTATTATTTCCACTGAATTGAATGTTGATTGGGCATAACGCCTTTTGACCTGGTTAATATTTCCAATTAATATTTCATCAACACAAATATCTCATGAACCCATGTCACAAAAACAAGGTCTCAGTGGATCCAAATAAAGATCACATCCATGTTCTCGGTAGTTATACTTATTTTGAATGTCAAATGCACTCATGGATTAAAATGATATTGGGGTTCTCTTTTTGTGTGTTGTGTTTTTAAGGATTTTATTAGATGTTCTGCCTTTTTTCCATCATCTACCTAATCAACTGTTCCTTTTCACACTGAATATGAGCCTTGGGGAGAAATATATTAGCTGGCAGGTTACTGAGACAATATGAATATTAACAAAACGTCTCAGTATCCCAAAAACAGTCAAAACATGGACAGGTGCTTAATGTGAGAACATTTAATTCCTGAATGTTGAATAATACATTGAGCTCGTGATCACGCTTCTCACGCTCGGTGTCATTCATCAAAGCACAAAGTTCTGCCGATAGAAATCCCAATTCTGAAAACAACTTCACATCAAGGTGTGTTTTTTTTTTTTTTTCATGCTTACACTTCAAACATCGTTTTCACAGCATGTTTTTTTTCTCGCAGCTCTTTTCATGCTGCTGTTTTTCGACCAGCTGCTGCTGTTCCAACATCCAGCAGATCCTTTATGTGGTTTCAGCTAAACAAAGCGACGTCTCTTTGGATGTTCCTGTGAAACACATGCCTTCAGAGTGCTCATCAGACTCCCGCAGGATGTACTTCCACCAACTCGTGATGAAATACCTTCTTAAAGCGTTATCCACCGCTCCTTCACGCTGAAACGATGGACTTACTCAAACCCCCGCTTGTTTTCATATACCGATAAAAAGAGTTTAAAGCCCTGCTGAGAAATCTTCAGATGCAAACTAATCTGACAAACATGAAGCTTTAAATCAAATGTGTATTCCTCCTAAAGGTCCTCTGATGCCCCCTGGTGGTGCTCGGTGCATAGTTCAGAAGGCCTCATCGCTGCACGCTCAGGTCGGAAATGTTTCAGCTCAACTCCTTGGTGTTCTCATTTTAAAGGAGCATCACGCGGAAACAGATCTTCATTCAATTGAGCCCCTTTTTCCTGCACGTGACTCAAAGACGGCCGCGTGGAACCACACCGGCTGACGTGATTTGGTGTCGCATTAATTCAACTTGACAGCAGCGGGGAGAGAGAGTTACGCGTCAGATATGAGTCGTCAGTTTGACGTCAAGCGCCTTGGATTCATTCAGCCTGTTGAGTTCTGAAGGTCTGAAAACGCCAATTCAACCGTGATCATTTGATCACGTGAGCTGAGAGGAAAAGAAAACGGGGATTTACAGTGAATTTGAATTTTACAGTAGTGAGATGTGCTGTTCAAAATATGTAACCATGTGCATCAACCGTTTGGATGACTGTGAGTCATCAGACCCTGACGACGTTCATCGGAACATTAGAATTCTCTCCACAGGAGCTGTAGGGATGAATGAAACATGAGGCACGTCATGGACTGAGCTACAACAAACACTCCCCTGAGGCCAATTTTAGCAGTTATTGCAGGATTTCATATACAATGGAAATGTAATTGTGGAAAAGCTAAACCTGGGCTCACCTTTATGTCAGAAAGTTGAAATAAAGGAAGTCATTTCTCTGACTCAAAGGATACCAGATTAAATAGAATGGCAAATTAAAAAGGCAACGAATGTGCTCCGTCTTTTCAATTCGTGAAACGAATTAGTTTGGATTCAATAAATGAAAGATAAACAATAGAAAGCCTGGGTACAATAATATTAGAATGAATTTTATTTCTATTATAATATGTTAATAGGTTTATTAAAAAATCTAAAAGTCTTAAAATAATTACGGTATAAGTTGGTGAAGAAAGTCATACTATAGCATGTCAAAAATATGTACGTAGCCTGTCGATTAAAGAGTTGTAGTATAGCATGGCACAAAAAAACATCTTGAATAAAGTCATAACAAAGTAGTGGTTTAGCATGTCAAGTGATAATATAACGTGTTAAAAGTATAGCGTGCCCAAAAAGAGTAATGAATTAGTCACAGTATGTACAAAAAGTCATAAAATGTCAAAATAAAAACAAAATTTGGGAATATTTCCAAAAGGGTCGTGCAGAATATATAAAGTAGCCTTAAAAACAGTAGTCACAATATTGCATGTCAACAAAAGCACATTAAACAGTTGTCAAAAAGTTATAAGAATGCTGTAAGCAATGTCATAAAATGCCATAAAGTCCTACTGTAGTACATGTTTAAATCATTCAAATTATCCAAAAGCCAAAATAACCCCACTAGATCACAAAAACACAACACAAAGCACCTCAACACCTTAATCCCACCAATGTTTGTCATGAAGTCAAAGTACCACCTCAAGGTTTTATCCCTCTGACAAACAGTCCAATTTACATTAATGGCGTCTGAAATGTCATCACTTGATGAACTCCTGCTGTTAGACGTCTGCATGAAATTGTAACGCGGGTGTGAACGTGTCCCGTGAGGTCACAGCGACTTTGTTCCTTGGCGGTCAGATTCTCATCGTCTCTCCTTGATAGCTGGACGGCGCTTTGAGATGAAAAAACCTCCAAACATCACGCGTAGGAACGTTTGAACCCCGTTTGAAGCTCTTTTCTTCTACAGAACAATCGTTCTGTGATCTGGAGCCAACGAGCTCCGTTCTCAGCTGTGACATGTGACATTTCCTTGTGATCACAATCGGCTGAACACGACACAACCTGCACATTCACCGGATGATTGTCCGATTTAAAAACAGGCGCTCTCATACGGTTCTAAAATATAAATAACAAACTTGTAAAGGTTATGTTACGCGTGAAAAATGATACAAAGGGGAAGAGAATATAAGTGTAAAATCTGAAAATTCATCCTTTAACCAGAAATGTTACACTTGAGTGAGGAAATTCATTTGAAGCGCTAACAAACGTTATTCAGAGAGTAGAAGACGGCGATGGAGGAGAAGGCCGGCCTGACGATGAACACGGAGTCCACATGTATGTGCAGAGGGAAACTCTGCACATACATGCCTTCTGGCTCAGGCGGACCTCCTCTCCTCCTCTTCCTCTCTTCTCCTCTGCCTCGACGCCGTCCCCTCCGTCCCAAGCCAGACAGCAACGAGCACAAAGCCGCTTTCGGGGGTCGGCTTCTTTCTCCGCTTCAGTCTGCAGCCTCGCATCGTCCCACTTCAGAAATAGCTGCTTGTTATCATCCCTCTGATCTTCTGGGGACAGCCGCACAGGCTGTTGGGACTTGTGCTTGAGGACACGAGCGAGAATGTGGGTGAAAAACAAGGCGCTAATGATCTCGGGGAGATTTGGAGGGAGTAAGTCGGGGATTTTGAGTCTTGCGCTGATGCAACTGGGTTAACAGCGGTTCAGAGAGGAGGCCCTCGCTGCCGTTTGACTTGAGTTCTGGTGCTGCTCAGGTGGGATGACTGGGAACTTTTTAACCGATATACGAGAGCGAAAACAAACAGATGTTGACGATGAAAGACAGCGGAGAAACGGGCCTGATGAGGACGGCTTCAAAGATCGGACTCACGCGAAAACACAGAAACAAGGCCCACGTGTACGATGAACGTTACGTAAAGTGTACAGACCTTGTAGCTGCACATCGGTGACGCAACCGAGAGGAATAAAACATTAACCCAATGGCAAATATTTACACACGAGTCCAATGACTTTAACTTCGTGTCACATCGTGACTTGGTGTTTATACATTTTGCTGCCAGTGAAAGATGCCATAACAATTTAGAACAATACCAGAATAGTTCACTTTAAACTTCAGACAATTGAACTTTTCTCCTTTGAGGATCTAGTCGTAGGAATTCTTTAAGGTAGTCCAAACTAAATTAAGTGAAATGGTTTGTTGTGATATTCTGTATTTTGTGATAAAAACGGCAATACATATACGGTATGAAGCGCATCGAACCCTAATAGGGTGACAGTGGTGCATGGAGGAGAGAGCGTGCGTCAGCCTCATGACCGGTATTGTGTTGTAATGTAAAGTAATGCAAAGGCCAATGAATATAAGTGTGGACTAAACGGCTCTGAGAGAGATGCACAATCAGACCAAGAATAAAACACTTCCCACAACACTGGAGCAATAGTTAGCAATCAAAGTCTTCATATGTTAAATATATTTGATATTTGTGTGTATTAAAATATGTGTATATGAGTATTGTTGTTGCTAAAAGCTCGTTCAGCCCATCAAACAAAGTCCAGAAGTTTGTCCCCCCGTTGGGGGTAAACAGGGCCTGCGTGGGGCAAACAGAGGTGGGCCGGATGGCGGCAGTGAGCTGATGAGTGATTGGACAGGTGAGTCTTTAAAACTCTGGGTCGTGTTGAAGACAGTTTCAGTAAATAATATTCAAGGGAGAAGAACGCATCTTCTGCTGCACCTGATTCCTACAAGTCATGAGTGGATGTCCGTACTTTGAGAAGAGGCATTTGTACGTTCAAATTGTCTACTGAAATAGGGCCGCAAAGCATCTAGATTCTCTTTCTGATTTTCCTTCTGCGAATTAAACTGAATGCATCTCAAGAATTTAATTTCTAATCCTGACTGTTGGGAAACGGCAAACAAACCAAACGGCTTCACTCTCTTTGCGTTGCAGGTTATTCAAAAACAAGCCTCCCAAAACCGAGGACGAGGACGATGCCTCCCAGGCAGGAGTTAACAAGGCCAGCAAAGGAGGGATCATTTATGGAGACTATCTGCAGGTAGGAAACACCCACTATTGTACATAAATATATATTCACATATATCTTTATTTAATATTTTTAATTAAAGTGCTTCATCTCTTTTCTACTCTCAGCTGGACAAAGTCCTCTCCGCTCAGGTGCTGCAGAGTGAGTTAAAGGGTAATAAGATCCACGATGAGCACCTGTTCATCGTCACCCATCAAGGTAAAAGCATCTTTATGGCGTTAAAGAGCTAAAAGAGTTCTTTAATCTCGTATCTTTTCTTTAGTATTATTATTATTTTTGTATGAATTTAACTGGTTTGCGAAGTAGTTTCACACAAAAACTAATAATCCCATTGATTTGTATTTTTCTTTTTTTCAATTCTTTCTCAAATTATTACGTTCAAATGTATACGACTGTAATACAAGAGAGTAACTTTGTATGCATCAAATTAGCATCTTTTACTGCACATAATGAGTCGTGTGTCACTGACCTTTTTACCGTGTACTGTAAAGTTACAATCAAATGTTTACGATTCTTTTCTTTCATTTCAGCGTATGAACTGTGGTTCAAACAGATTTTGTTTGAACTCGATTCAGTGAGAAACATCTTCATCAGTGGACATGTGAGTCACTTTTCTCTGGTGAAAGAATTGATTATACATTATACGGATAAATACACAAACGTGTTGAAGATTTAACCCTCAAAATACGTCACAAAGTGCAGAATAGAAATAGCACAAAGTCCTCAGAGGACAAAGTTGTGACGTTCAGATCTCACAGGAAAAGTACATTTCAAATTGAATCAATTTCTGGGGGACAGTCAGCAAAAGCTTAGAAATATTGCTGATCACTCTGGCTGATATATACATTGAAATGAAAGTAACAACTTCACATTATTCATCTGAAGAATGACACATTAGGTTGATGAAATATTGATGTAAAAATATCTTATTTCCAATTATTTCATTATTTAAATAAGACATTAATTTCAGCACTCCAGCCCCCCCGCGACCCTGTGTGCAGGATAAGCGGTTTGACAATGGATGGATGGATGGATTAATTTCAGCCGTGTGAGGATGTGTGCTCTCAATGTGTGCCGCCCATCTTTAATTATTTCCTTCAATATTGAAATATTCCTTCAGGTCCGAGACGAACGCAATATGCTGAAGGTCAACAACCGCATCCTCCGGATCGTGAGGATATTCAGACTGCTGGTGGAACAGTTCACGGTTTTGGAGACTATGACGGCCTTGGACTTTTTTGACTTTAGGTAAACTGATCAAAAATATCTTCTGGCGCTTTTGCGCGCTGTGTTGGGTGCATGAAGGCTAACTGTGTGTGTGTGTGTGTGTGTGTGTGTAGAGAATACTTGGCTCCAGCCTCTGGATTCCAAAGCCTTCAATTTCGGATTTTGGAGAACAAAATCGGGGTCCCGGACAACCTGAGGGTTCCGTACAACCGCCGCCATTACAGGGACAACTTCAAGGGTCAGGAGAGCGAGATGCTGCTCGCCACCGAACAGGAGCCGACGCTCCTGAAGCTGGTGGAGGTATGAAAAAGTCCAGCCAGCTAATTGGTGTTTGTTAGACGTCCTGTGGGCAGCTGCTCACCAGGATGTGAAGCTGATGGAAACACGGGCTGCTTTTCACAGGCCTGGCTGGAGAGAACGCCTGGCTTGGAGGCGGATGGATTCAATTTCTGGGAAAGGCTGGAAATCAATATATTCAAAGGGCTGAACCAGGAGAAGGAGAAAATCGAGGTAAGAGATGAATCCAGCTGGGGAGCAGAGGTGACCGACGGAGGCGGTTACTTTTTTATTCACGATGTATTATTTCTTTTTAAAGAAAATGGCAGACTGTGAGGAGAAGGAAGAGCTGATGGCCGAGCTGCTCAAACAGAAAGAGCTCTTCACTTCTCTGTTTGATGAAAAGCGCCACGACCACCTGCACAGCAAAGGTGAGAGCCGCAAAGAGTTTGACCGGAATTGGTTTGTCGAGGCTTCACGTACGCGCTCGGCCTGGAATCAACGTTCATCAATGTATGAATGTTGTGTATTTTGCTGACAAGGTGAGCGGCGGCTCTCTTACAAGGCTCTCCAAGGCGCCCTGATGATCTACTTCTACAGGTTGGTGGTTTTTACGGCATTCCTTCCCCTTTTGTTGCTTCACGCGAGTCGTCGGTGTCATGTGACATTTTCATTTGGCCCTCAATGATCTAAATACTACAGCAATCTTCTTTTACCTTTCAGGGAGGAGCCGAGGTTCCAGGTTCCTTTCCAGCTGCTCACATCCCTCATGGATATCGACACCCTGATGACAAAATGGCGATGTAAGTTTCTGTTGCCTGAGCTCACCAGTCAAGAAGAAGAGAAAATAGTGCAGGAAAATCACTAACAAGGGCCGACGGGGGGGTTCACAGAGCTGAAGTTAAGTCAGGGCCTCAGAGGCAGAAGAATCTTACAAATCCTCGGCGCCCGGCGATCAATCCAACAACACATTCCCAGAAACATTTCTACTCCTCCGCGTCTCGCTGAAGTGAAACATGCAGAGCCAAAGCAACGCTGCTATAACAGAGGATGTTTCTGTCTCCCGTTTCAGACAATCACGTATGCATGGTGCATCGTATGATTGGCAGCAAGGCCGGCACAGGAGGCTCGTCCGGGTACCACTACCTGAGATCCACCGTCAGGTAGGCGCCAGACTTCCGCCAGCTGATTAGAGTCTTTACACTGCGAGTATCTTAAACACTTCACAGTCCATTTAGATGAGGACACAGGGCTTCATCTTAATTAACTTGTCATGTGGTCACATCTTCCCTGACGTGCACAAGCGATACTTCAAGTTCATTTAGAAGGAGCGACGTTCTTTATTGGCGATGCATCACATTTTGGCAGCGGGTTAATTTTGCCTTTGTCCTTCAGAGAGTTCAATTTGCAACAGATGCGCAATTATATGAGGAGAGCGCGCGAGTTAAGTGCTTAATGGATGACTTTCTCTCCCTTCAGTGACCGCTACAAAGTGTTTGTGGATCTGTTCAATCTGGCGACCTTCCTGGTGCCTCGTCACTGGGTCCCCAAGCTCAACCCCAACATCCACAAGTTCCTCTACATGGCCGAATGCTGCGACAGCTCCTACTTCAGCAGCGAAGACTCCGACTAGCGGGCCGCTGTCGGGCGTCTCTGTGGCCTTCCAGGTCTTCAAAGGCAGTAGATGGTTCACGCCGCGGAGAAGAGTCAGGGGCAGTGTGGAGATGAGCGCGTGAATCATCTCGTAGTGAGGAGGGGTTCCAGTTGAGGAAGACGATGTTGTCATGACAGAACACCAAGAAGAGCATCAATGATGCAGCAATTTAGTTTTGGGATCGTGACCTCCACGTACCTAAAAGACATGAAAGTATTGTTGACATTAAGGTTGAGCGAGGTCAACAATTGATCTTTTTCGTCTCTTTGTCGTGGCTAAATGGGCGATTTTACTCTATTCTCTGATCTCGCCCAGCGACGAGTTAAGCAGATGGCTCCTTGATCAAACTTGCTCAGATGTTTTCTCAACACAATTATGTAAAGTAGCTGCGACTGACCTGAAAGCTAATGGATCAGTGAGAGGGGATCAAACCGGCGGGTTTTAACAAACACATTATCTTTCATGTCAGCGCGGACTCGGTGTCAAGAGACACTGTTGATACCACAATAAACCTCTGTATTAGAAATCAATGCCAATATCTAAAATAGAACAATTTAGTAGCTTCTAAATGTAAAACAGAAACTATATCATTTGTACATAATGTTAATAATGTGTTTTGTATAGAATGCTATATTGTATTCCATTGATTGTGATGTTTATTTATGCAGTGATGATCTCACTGCAATCTGGATACATTTATTAGACATATCAACCAGAACGTGTATCTAATCTTTTTTGTACATGCATTTGTCTTATTCATATTTCTCTGCCGTGTTTATTAGCATATATTATACATAAGTCATTTATTTTGTTTAAGTCATCGAACATTGTGGACGTTTCAATAAAGACATTATTTAAAGTGACACGTGGAGGCAAACAGATGATTTGATCTGTTCAGAGTTGAACACACACACACACACACAGAATATTGTCTTAGGAATCTGCAATACCTGGGAAGAGAAAACCAAAGGATGTGATGTTACTCCCTGAGGGGACGGAGGGGACAGAGGGGACGGCAGCATGTAGACGCTGCACTAAAAGAAGATAAAAACAGAAGATGACTCGAGGCAGAGTTCATACTTTCCACTGATTTTTATATAAACATAAGCATCCTTCCCCCAGGGGGCCCCCCGACAGTTCTGCACAGGCCAGTATGGAATACCCCCTAAAATAGACAACAGGCGTTTTAAGGTTGAATAATTCACGGGCTGGAGGAGCATTAGTATTCCAGCTGCAGCCACTTTACAATGTTACATAATCGCCCATGTCCTTGTGTGAAAAAAGGAATGTTGAAATATATCAAACAGCGATGCCCAGAAAGTGATTTCTTGACTTCAACCCGTGACCGAATAATCAGAACCTGAATCCTCAGAAAGTCTGTGCACACAACACCAACAAACACCAGTTCAAAGGTTGTTGTAGACCTACAGAAATATTTAACCAGTGTCAGGACATAATGAAATCTTTCCTCTGCAGTTTTACCAGTAAGGCGCGTCACTACAATGCTGAAAAAATTATTTTCACTGGAAACATGCAGCAGATATTTTGCCTGATACCCAATGTTGTCATTTTTGGGTCAGTAATAAGCGATGAATTATGGAAGATTACAGTCTGCTCTGTAACAGCAGCCATTTGTGATGAAGACTTACATCTTGGTCGGTGCAGCTTTAAAGAACTTTCTCAGACCCTCGGGCTCGCAAAGCGCTCTTGACCTAAAAGGTCAATGTTCTGCTTCATGCTCGGTGTGGTGGCTGAACGTGCCAACATCGCCGTCTCCCAACAAGCAGCGCGGCGTGTTGGACCGCTGGCTGGAGCGACGGTGTTGAATTACTCCACCCGGGTAATCCTGCCAGCTGACAGCTCACTAACAGCCAGGTGACCCACCAGGTGACCCGCCATCGGCCACCGAGGAGGAGTTCTCTGTATTTTGTTGGATTGTTGTTGGTGAGCGAAACACCCCAAAACAAAAGGTTTCCAGCTTCGTCCGTGACAGTGGGCATGATGCTCCATTTTGGTCTCATGGGATCACAGTCACCCTTTTTTATAGTCTGTTAAAATAAACCTGTAGTTAAAATTAGACCGTTCATTTCTTTTTCAGTGGGTAAACTTGTAAAATCAGCAAGGGATCAAATCATTTTAATCTCCACTCTTGTATAGAGAGCAGCTATTCCAAAGAGGAGAAGCAAGATATTCTTACATTAGATTTTCAAACGAGACGATCTTGTAAACTCTAACACCTGAGTGAGAGTCACGATGCCGCTCAATCTAAAATAAACGGTCTGATTCCCTCTGACTGAAAGTAACTCGGGCCAGTTGTTGTGACCCGAGAACCTTTGTGCTACTGAAGCAATCCGTGCCGTGTTGACACAGTAAACACAGATTGATTGAACAGGAAGAACTACCTCACCCCCGTCTGTCCTTTGTACTTTATGAAACCCTCATTAGATCTGGGAGGTTTTACCCAAATATATTCATCTTTTCCCTTCGTTGCATCTCAACACCTTGGGGGGATGGTGTGGGGGCTGCATGAGTATTTTACCTCATGTGTTGTGAAGTTCTTTACAGCAACGCCGCCGTGTTACTGAGAGAACAAACAGCACATTCCGGTCTTGGCCAAAGAACTTTATCCTGGTCTGGAAATAAATAGTGTGTCTCAGTCAATGTTTTACTTGAACGCAAAATATCCACCAGTTTTATGATAATAAATGGGCATAACTTTCATAAACAGGCCTATTGAGGGGGTGGGGGGGGTATTCATTACATTGTTTGTGTTTGTATGTGAAGTATTAGGAGTTTATTCTCCCTTACTGTAAATCATAGGGTAAGCTTCTGTTAAAATTCTAAAAACATGTTTAAAGGCCTGAAATGATTAAAAGATCAACATAGTGTACTTGCTTTATCCAATTCTGAGCTTGGACCGGGGAGCCTGACCTGCAGCCTTCCTTCTGGCTGCTTTTCTTATCCCATCGACAAAGGGCTCCATGTTGTGCTGAAGGACTGTTACGGCCCTTTGCGTAGATTCCGGTAAAAGAGGACAGTAAAACAACAATCAACGACAGGCGACAGAGTCAGGGTAAAAGGGTTCTTCCTGGTTTGTATTATTAAACAAAAAGATGGCTCCCAATAGGAGGGAGGGAGATGGTGGAAGATGGGACCTAAAGGTTGTGGCAAACAAATGAAATGAATATAACAAAACGAGGCCTAGCTCACCACTGGCTCTTCATCCAAAACAAGTCAAACAAAATACCTTACCTGCTTCTCTAAAAAAGGACTAAAGGAAAACGTTACACAGGAGGCAACAACCACTACACCTGGTGTATCTATACAAAGGTATACCTACGTGCAAAAATGTACAGGGTACCCCAACTTACTAAGGTCCTCAACCTCCACCTTACAAAACTCCAGTTTTGCTAGCAGACAGCTAAAGCTCACGGACAGGAAGACTGGCCACCAGCCCGCAGCGCAGAACACACCCCCTTTTCACTTCTCAGGAGTCTTCCTTTATGGACTGCCACCGGAACTGCTGATTGCTTTCCACCTGTGTCTGGAGTTGGCCAATCAGCATAATCACTGGGGGAGAGAAACCAATGAGCAGGAGGGAGAACGACAAGAACACATGCAGACAGTCCCCGTCTGACATGTAACAAGGACATTTCCACAGGCTGAAGACTGTTTAATGAGTTCAGCTCAAATCTCTGTTCTCCAAAACCAGACCTGTGAAGCAACTTTAGAGACATTATTATCACGGTAACACAACAGTTCAAATGGATGAGCACTGTGGGGGCTGTTGGTCCTGCTGAGGTCAGAGGATCTGCCAGTCCGAGCAAACTCTTGGTTTTCTGCTGCCATCTGCTGGCGTAACTCCTCCGGTGTGCGGAGCCTTGAAGGAAATGTTCATTTCATTTCATATGGATGCTTCGATTGCAAAGGTTCGCTCTTATAAAACATACATCACGTAGATGACACTGGTTTCCTGGACCTGCTCTAACACACAGTATTTCATTTTGTAAGCTGTATAACATTTGCACAAGCAATCTCCTTTGCCTCAGACTCTGCCGAGTTCACTGGCTGGGCATTAATTCCAACAAATGTGATGAAAACCCGAGCACACTCTCTAAAAATCCAATATTCCACTGCTGAATGTGGTTCTGTGGCTTACAATCAATACTTAAGCCAAAAAACATACCATTGCTTGCACTGGAGATGAGTATGTGCTGAGTGTACAAAATATTAGCAACATCTGCTCTCTGCTCAAAGTGATGAAATGCACTTGAGTCATGAAAGTCGAATGGAGATAAGGGAAAACCGTATCAGGAAGAATTCACGAGATGTGAGGGGCTTGATGTTTTGTGTCTTGCTGCTGCATCTTATTTTCTGTTAGAGGAAACAGCAGATTGCGAACCAAGAGGAATAAATGTGCATGTTGTGGTGGAGGATGTTTGCTGTATGTGATCTGTCTGATCTGCATGCGAACAGTTTCACAGTAAGAACATCACAGTAAGAAGAAGCTCCACTTCCTGACGGATCAGGAAGTGAAGCTTCTTCTCAAGGTCACGTGTGAATCACATGACCTCTCTCACAAAATCATTCAACTTCCGCAGAGGTTCAACAGCAACTCTATGGAACAACAACTGAGATTCTCACACTGTTTGTTACTGTTTACAACGTATCTGTACAAGCAAACCTTTTCGAGGATTGTAGACATAAAAACTAAGAAAAGACTTTGCTGTGAAACTGATATGAGAGGGTCACTTGCCGAGGTGAAGCTGCGCATTTCTGCTTGTATCTGAAAGGTACAACGGCAACACTTCCATTGATTTGGTGTAAATATTCACTGAGTTGTGTTTTTGTGTGAAATTCGGGTTTTGTTGGTTTTGTTCTCTGGACAGACTTTGTGTGCACTAATAAAATGTATATCTATGTTTTAAAGAAATCTTCAGAAATCATATTGTATTTTCTCAATAACGAAGGGTTCGTTGAATGCCCTGATGAAGCTTGCAGGGTTCAGTTCCTCCATTAAGGTTCAGAACCACTGAGCCTTCAGGCTTCAAGCTGCCGTGTGATGAGGAAGTGGAATACTGGATGTAACAGCATGTCCTTTGTGATTTGGCACGCAGCCGAAGACTGATCCGTGGGTAAGTTGTCCCGCCCAAACAGGTTCAACCAGATCAAGTAAAGAAAAAAAACTCTCAGGTCAGACTCTGATGTCTTAGTGAATGTTTGTATTTAATATAAACTCTTCACAACATTTGTTAGAAAGGTTTCTGCTTCATCACGTGTTCCCTACTAGTCTACATGTAGAAGACCAGGTGACAAAGAGGGATGTTCACGGGTCCAAACTACAGCATCCATTTTGTTGTCGTAGCAACTCTTTACAAGGTGCTGGTTTTGATCCTGAAAGACTCTTGTTTGAGCAGTGAGGAGGATTCTGTTCACGAGGACCTTTGACCTTGTTAACACATCTCAGACTGACACTCACTCAACCAGTCGCACTGCATACTGTGAGGGTGACATGAGGACACACCCTCCCTGATTGAGAACAACAAGCCGCGTCACTTCACTCCGTCTGATGGAAGCTGAAGTGAAGCACGGAGCTCCTTTTCTACACGGACCTGCTGAGGACAAAAGGGAGCTGCACACTGAGGAAGTTCATGTCTACAATATCAGTAAGTGGAGCTGTGCTTGGATGAATGACATCATTGATGATTGTGAACGTGTTATTTTTCAAAGGTTTGTTTGTTTAAAGCTGTGAAACAAGATGAAATATGTGTGAGCAGAAAGAGAGAAGCTGCTGTTAGTCTGATTGATGACACTGTGATGAAGATGAGCTTAGTCTGATCTGGGGTCCGTGAGGACTGTTACTGATGAGGAGGGGAAGAGGCAGAAGGAGGGGCACTAGGACCCAGCAGGGACCAGAATGCTCACCTGGGCCTTTGTTCCTGCACTGAAACACACCTGAGAGACGCTGTGTTTGCTCTCACCTGCTGATTCAATGCGAGTGAGATTAAACATTCTCAAAGTGAATCGCTCACATTTCCCTTTAAAAACTTTGTGTTTCATCAAGGTTGAAATATGAAGGCAGTTTTAGGCTGACACAACTAAATATGAGGATACGGTGGATAGAAAGTGTTGATTCATAGGCAACGCGGTTGAGGAAGGTTTTCAGCCATCTTTGTTTTCCTGTCACTCATGAGAACACGCCCCTCTCAGTTGATGCCACGCCCCCAAGCCAGATCAGGGCCAAAAGTCTGAAAGTGATAAAAAGATTTGAAACTTGAAAATATGAATCTCAAAATATAAAAAGATAGATAGATAGATATATTCTTTATTAATCCCCAAGGGAAATCTGTGTGCAATAACAGCAATACAGTAAATAAAATGAAAAATGCACAATATACACAATATATACACAGTACAATAAAATAAAATAGCAGAGCAGAACATATTATATTCAAAACATTTTTTTATTTAATTATATTCAACCCAAAAAACGTTCACTTTATTTTGAATAGTTGTTGCTTTAAATATTGGTTTAATGTCATGTAATGACATGTCATCTTACCAGTTTGTGTTTTACTGACTTCTGGACTCTAAAGGAGATCAAGAGGAGAAAGAGCACAGCTCCATCTGCTGGAAGATGACTGATAATATTCATCTTGTAAAACACTATTTATAGGATGAGCATTTAAAAAGACGTCTCTTGAGATGTTAACAGGATTTAACAGAAGAAAAAAGGAGGTTTGTCTTTCTCCAGAAGTCTGACCTTCAACAGAAGACAACAACACATAAAGTGTCTCATGAGAGTTTTAGTGTTGAGGTGAATGAGCTCTGTGTGTTTGTTCTGATGAAGATAAATAATGTGTGAGCTCTCCCAGCAGGTTGTTTTAAAGGTGTGAAAGTGTGGACTCTGCTATGAATCCGTCTGAGGACCCGGAGGAGGGAGTCCCTCCCTCTGAATCCCCTCTGTGTGGGGAACATGACAGCCAGACCAAAGCTCAGAGGTGAGAGGACAATCTCCAACTGTCCCCCACTCTTGTCCATGTCTCAACGTCTTTAAATGACTGACTCTGGTTCTACATGTGTGGCCAGGACGGACACCATGTGAACTGATGCTTCATGATTAAATGATGACGTGATGATGTAATCTCAGTGTTTCTTTCAGTTCAGGAAAGTCTCCCGAACCCAGATGTGTGTCCATGAAGAGTAATCAGTCTATTGATCATCTGGTTAATTTCAAAGATGAACGCCATTCTTATAACTCAGAGTAAGTTCTAAACAGATGAAGCAGATAAAGAACTGTTCTGATCCTTAGTTATGAAATACAGAAATGGTTGTGCATTGTTTATGCACAACCAATGACCAACTGAACAACCAATGCACAACTGAACCCGTCATGGAAACAACAAATGTTGTTTCCATGACGATCAATCATGACAGAATTCATTACCTTTATCTAACTGGTCTGTATATGTTTAAGTGTGAATCGTTAATTTTCATTTTCATTTTCATTACTGTAAACATTCTCAGATGTAAACACAATGTAAGCTTGTTCCTCTACAGAGAGGATCAGGTCACATCTTGAGATAGCTACAGGTTTCTGGAGACAGATGACTGGGACTGAACATGTGATTAGAATAAACTCTATGGACAGCTGAGGTGGTTTCTAGACTCCATGCAGAGGTTTGGAGAAAGTGTTAGAGTAGAATGTCGAAAGACTAGTTTCAGAAGATCTAAAGAGACTTCTAGAGGTCAGAAGACGAACTAAAGAGGTTTAAAGTAGTTTCATTAGACTTTGTACCAGATGCAGAGGTCTGGAGACGTTGTTTTTATGACCCACAGTATTTACTAAAAACAGATGAAACTGATGGCTAACTGTCACTCAACTAACAAACTGTCCGTCCATCAACTGCAGTCTTAGCATCTGGTTTTCATCATGATCAATCGTGACGAAAGCAAATATCTTTAACTAACTGTTGTATTGGTGTTGATGGTACAAACACCATGAGAGCTGATGGTTCATGTTCCTCCACAGAGAGGACCTGGAGAGCTCAGAGGTTCTCACAGGTCAGTCTGCCCAGCATCCTCAAACACACCTGGACTCCATCTTTATGGTGTGTACCTGTACAACTACTTTTACATCTCTCAGTTAACCATCATCTCCAGGCTGCAAGTTGTGGTCCAGTGGATTGTCAGTCTGTCCAACATGGACATGATGTTGGGTTCCATGTTTAGTTTAGTTTCATTTATAGACTGTTCTGTTCCAGCTGCTGGAGAAGAACATCCTCACTTTTGTGAAGAACGAGCTGAAGAAGATCCAGAAGATTGTGAGTACAGATTACCCAGAATGTTCAGAGAAAGAGGATGATGAGCTGCAGGATGAAGAGCAGAGGACGACCAGAGACGCATTTGTGAAGATCTCATTGCACTTCCTGAGGACAATGAAGCAGGAGGAGCTGGCTGACCTACTGCAGAGCAGTAAGAGGATTTATCTAAAGACTTACCATGCTGATGAATGAGACCTTCACTAATGTCTCAAGAGATGGACAGAATATATTCATAGAGTGGTTCTCTGAGAAAAGGACATGTTGAAGTATATTCTGTGACTCACTGATCTTCTTTGTTGTCTTCATTCAGGACTTCGTGCTCCAGTTTGTCAGCGTGAACTCAAATCCAACCTGAAGAAGAAGTTCCAGTGTGTGTTTGAGGGGATCGCTAAAGCAGGAAAGACAACCCTTCTGAATGAGATCTACACAGAGCTCTACATCACAGAGGGAGGGACTGCAGAGGTCAATCAAGACCATGAGGTCAGACAGATTGTAACAGCATCCAGGAAACCAGCCACACCAGAAACAACCATCAGACAAGAAGACCTCCTCAAAGCCTTAGCTGGAGGAGAGGAACCAATCAGAACAGTGATGACTAAGGGAGTGGCTGGCATTGGGAAAACAGTCTTAACACAGAAGTTCACTCTCGACTGGGCTGAAGACAAAGGCCACCAGGACATACAGTTCACATTTCCATTCACCTTCAGAGAGCTGAATGTGCTGAGAGAGAAGAGGTTCAGCTTGGTGGGACTTGTTCATCACTTCTTCAGTGAAACCAGAGCAGCAGGAATCTGCAGGTTTGAAGAGTTCCAGGTTGTGTTCATCTTTGACGGTCTGGACGAGTGTCGACTTCCTCTGGACTTCCACAACAATGAGATCCTGACTGATGTCACAGTGTCGGCCTCAGTGGATGTGCTCCTCACAAACCTCATCAGAGGGAAGCTGCTTCCTTCTGCTCGTCTCTGGATAACCACACGACCTGCAGCAGCCAATCAGATCCCTCCTAAGTGTGTTTGTATGGTGACAGAGGTCAGAGGGTTCCCAGACCCCCAGAAGAAGGAGTACTTCAGGAAGAGGTTTAGAGATGAGGAGCAGGCTGGCAGGATCATCTCCCACATTAAGACCTCACGGAGCCTCCACATCATGTGCCACATCCCAGTCTTCTGCTGGATCACTGCTACAGTTCTGGAGGAGGTGATGAAGATCAGAGAAGGAGGAGAGCTGCCCAAGACCGTGACTGAGTTGTACATCCACTTCCTGGTGGTTCAGTCCAAAGTGAAGATGGTGAAGTACGATGGAGGAGCTGAGACAGATCCACACTGGAGTCCAGAGAGCAGGAAGATGATCGAGTCTCTGGGAAAACTGGCCTTTGATCACCTGCAGAAAGGCAACCTGATCTTTTATGAATCCGACCTGACAGAGTGTGGCATCGATATCACAGCAGCCTCAGTGTACTCGGGACTGTTCACTCAGATCTTTAGAGAGGAGAGAGGACTGTACCAGGGCAAGGTGTTCTGCTTCGTCCATCTGAGTGTTCAAGAGTTTTTGGCTGCTCTTCATGTCCATCTGACCTTCTTCAGCTCTGGTCTCAATCTGCTGTCAGTAGAACAAACAACGTCCCTAAAAGTCCCAAAAGTCTTTGGAGATAAACATAAACCAAAACATCTCTACCAGAGTGCTGTGAACAAGGCCTTGGAGAGTCCTAATGGGCACCTGGACTTGTTCCTCCGCTTCCTCGTGGGTCTGTCACTGGAGACCAATCAGACTCTCTTACGAGGTCTCCTGACACTGACAAGAAATCACTCACAGACCAATCAGAGGACAGTCCAGTACATCAAGGAGAAGATCAGTGATGATGTGTCTCCAGAGAAAAGCATCAATCTGTTCCACTGTCTGAATGAACTGAATGACGGTTCTCTAGTGGAAGAGATCCAAAAGTCCCTTAGTTCAGAACGTCTCTCAAGAGATAAACTGTCTCCTGCTCAGTGGTCAGCTCTGGTCTTCATCTTACTGTCATCAGAAGAAGATCTGGAGGTGTTTGACTTGAAGAAATACTCTGCTTCAGAGGAGGCTCTTCTGAGGCTGCTGCCAGTGGTCAAAGCCTCCAACAAGGCTCTGTAAGTACAGAGTTAGATTCATACATCAGAACTTAAATATGCTGCCATCTTTTATACTTGTAGCAGCGTTCCTTCGGTCACAAACATTATTTAGCCGCAATTGAGCTGGGACAGGAGATCTTTAAATTATTTTTGTTTGGTATTCATTTGCGCAGCAAAAAGCGTTAACCAGACACAAAATGAACATTCTGTCACACGGTAGAAAAACTGTGCACTAGTGCCTAATCAGCGCATCTAGGTTGCACCTGCTGCAAACATGACGTCAATATAAGCAGGGAAACAAAAGGGCCGTCATGTCAACATACATATCCAATACAATATCCTCAATATAAGAAGATCCAATTAAACAATATACACACTTATCTCTTACAGTACTTATTGTTTTTTCTTCATCCCTATCTCTTCAGACTGAGTGGCTGTAACCTCTCACAGAGAAGCTGTGAAGCTTTGTCCTCAGTTCTCTGCTCCCAGTCCTCTAGTCTGAGAGAGCTGGATCTGAGTAACAACGACCTGCAGGATTCAGGAGTGAAGCAGCTGTCTGCAGGACTGGAGAGTCCACACTGTGACCTGAAGACTCTCAGGTCAGATTAAGTTAGTTTGTCTGAAATGATATACATGTCTATCCACTCCACAGGATGAACAGGATTTGAGACTTCATAAAACCCTTTTTTTTTACCAGGAAACCGTATCTATGGAGAAAGAAGAACTAATATAAGAGAATAAACAAGGGACATAAATTCTGTTTATGTTTTCATCACATCATAGGACTTTTGTGGCCCAACGCATTTGATACGGAGGGAATTAAAACACAATGTTCGTTCACAATAAAACATCACAGGGTCATCCTATTAATCCTCTTAATGATGCTTTGTGATGTGTAGATGCTAACTGACATTAAATTAGCAAATAAAGATCCTTTTTAATCAGGTTCCTTTTATAGTAGTCTAGTCTACACCAGTACTTGTATAAACACTTAACTGACATTATATGAAATATGATCTTCTTATTGATTGCTGTCTCTTCAGACTGGGCGGCTGTAACCTCTCAGAGAGATGCTGTGAAGCTCTGTCCTCAGTTCTCAGCTCCCAGTCCTCTAGTCTGAGAGAGCTGGATCTGAGTAACAACCACCTGCAGGATTCAGGAGTGAACCTGCTGACTCCTGGACTGGAGAGTCCACACTGTGACCTGAAGACTCTCAGGTCAGGATTCAATTAATGTCACTAGGTGTCTTTATTTACATCAATGGGACTTTTATAGGATTCTTACTACTTGCATGATTTAAATCAAATATTTGTTTTCCAAATATTTCCATGTGTTTATTTTCAATATATAATTGTGATGTTTTGTGTGTTTGAAGGTTGTCAGGCTGTCTGATCACAGAGGAAGGTTGTGCTTCTCTGGCCTGTGCTCTGAGCTCCAACCCCTCCCATCTGAGAGAGCTGGACCTCAGCTACAATCATCCAGGAGACTCAGGAGTGAAGCTGCTGTCAGTTAGACTGGAGGATCCACAGTGGAAACTGGAGACTCTCAGGTATGAAGAGGCTGCAGCTACAGTCAGTCTGGTAGAGAAGGTCGAGCTGGAATTATTTTCTCTGTCACACTGTCAGCCTGATAATTTTGACCCTAACACACCAAGCTGACCTCAAACTATCAGACTCATCAAACTGTTTGTGTCCCACATCAGACCATCAATACAGAGAGAAGTAGTGAGGAACAGTAGCCAGGATGAGCCTAAACAGGGAGGAAGGTGCTGAAAGGCTTGTTTCCATGAAGCCATGTCATGTTTCCACCTTATAAGAGAGGACAGTGGTGTATCCTGACACGTTGACGGGCATCATGGTGGGTTGATATGAGTCGACGTCGTCACACTGCAGGTGTGTGGGCTCTTATCAAACAACCCTTAGATGTTTTGATGCTCGTCATCTTCCTCCAGTGTGTGTTGTCTTTTAGTCCAGACATTATTAAAAGACAAACATTTAAAGAAACAATCAGTTCAAACTGTTTTGGATGGAAAATCACAGTGGTGTTGTAATGGAATTCAGCTTCTCCTGGTTTTGGTGCTTTGCACTGAGAGACACTTCCCTGGACATAAAGAGAGGACTTCAGGTGACCGTCGCCCACAGACGCTCAGTGAAGAACCAACGGCTGATTGTGGACATGGGGTCTGTTTCAAGAAGCGGGTTTAGTAAAAACTCATAGTTTGAGATGAGGGAAACTCTGAGTTGTCCGTTTCACAAAGGGAGGTAATTAAGCTCAGGGTCAGTCACCATGGTAACTGAGCCTGTAAACCAAATCTGGTCGGGAGCAGGTTTTCTTCAATAAACCTAATAAAACATAGACATCTTTCACAGTCTCCTCTCTCTAAAAGCAGCCCAGCCAATCACACAGCGTGCTTTCATTCCCTCATTCATTCGGTTACTCTGTATCAGGCGTATTTTAGCGCAGTTTCCACATATGAACAAAATAAGTCTGTTACGTTGAAGACCATAGTGTTTTCTACATGTCACGTCCTTTTCTTGATGAAGAAGCGGATTTACTTCGCAGGGTGTTAAACACGTCTTGAGAGAATATTGAGTCCCTGATTAGATATATTGTCATTTCCAGATAAATACTTGTTTGAACGGTATCGTTTTTTTTCACAAACCATCATATGTACATAACCTCATCCGTCCTCATATAACTAACGTCCCCCATTGTGGACATGCTCTCACATACAAGCACATTCTTTTTGTAGTATTACTTGTTTTGCAAACGGCAGTTTCCTTTACAACATTATAATATTAGTATAGCTGCTGTATGCAGAGCCGTGAGAAACGTGTGCGTCGCTGGACACAAACCAGTGAAGCCAATAAACAGGATGGCACCTGACTAAAATACATTATAGGTTCAATACCATTGTACCAGTTTTTACCAGCGATATTATTCTTGTGATTAAATATGAGCATGGGTGTGTATTTCAAGCCTGTGTGTAGAGCATTCTAACAACCATTGTGTAAAAAATGTAATTTTCCCACTGGGAATTAGAAAAGCGTATGGATTAGGATTAGTGTGTACATGAAATATCAATGCACTTTATTGGAATTTACAGCAATTCTCTCCCACGCCGTTTCTCTGTCTTTTGCTGAAGTAGGCGTTGCTTTTTTTCTAATTACGGGTTCATACTCGTACGCTTGCATTAATATATCCAGCTCAATAGGGGTGACGTATGCCGACTGATTGTTTGTGGTGGTTGCCATGGTAACTCGTGGTATCGTGGCTCCGTTCATGCTCCCTTTATACTGTGGTGGTGCACGCAATCAACTCTGAGTCAACCTACTCCGAGTTGATTGAATCAACAGCTGTTCTGAAACCCAAAACTCTGAGTTTCCCCTCTCAGGGTAAATCAACTCAGAGTAGGGTTTGTTAAACCTCCTACTTGAAACGGACCCCTGATGAACCATCATGTTGATGTGTACCTGCTGGATGGGGAAGCAACTGGTTGATATCATGTTAGAGAGAACTAGTAATCACAAGAAGGTCCACTGCAGTAGAAGAAGAGGTGGTCCATGTGAACATGAAGGACAAAGCTGTGTGTATGAGAGTGATGTAATGTCCATGTCTCCATGCTGCTCTGACCCCCCCTCCTCCTTTCAGGGTGGAGCCTGCTGGAGTCCGATGGTTGACACCAGGTCTGAGGAAGTGTAAGTGTGCTTTGAGTTTGATTCATGAAGATTCAACCATCTTCACACTGTGACATCACTCATTCACCTCTGTGATGTCATCATCAAAGTGTCAGTAGATGAACACATGATTAATAACTGCAGCTGTATTGTGTCTTGTTCTCTCTTCAGATTCCTGTGAACTCACAATCGACACAAACACAGTAAACAAACAACTCAAACTGTCTGACAACAACAGGAAGGTGACATGTGTGATGGAGGATCAGTCATATCCTGATCATCCAGACAGGTTTGACTACTGGCCTCAGCTGCTGTGTAGAACGGGTCTGACTGGTCGCTGTTACTGGGAGGTCGAGTGGAAAGGAAAAGTTATAATATCAGTGAGTTACAGAGGAATCAGGAGGAAAGGACGCAGTGCAGACTGTTTGTTTGTAATGAATGATCAGTCCTGGAGTCTGATCTGTTCTGATAAAGGTTACTTTGTTTGTCCCAATAAGACAAGAACACCGATCACCTCCTCCTCCTCCTCCTCTGGTAGGGTAGCAGTGTATGTGGACTGTCCTGCTGGCTCTCTGTCCTTCTACAGAGTCTCCTCTGAAACACTGATCCACCTCCACACCTTCAGCACCACATTCACTGAACCTCTTTATCCTGGGTTTGGTTTTGAGTTTGGGTTTGGGTATGGGTCCTGCTCCAGTTCCGGTTCCTCAGTGTCTCTATGTTCTCTGGAGGAGGGAGGGTCTCCTCCTGGTGGAGAACCTTCCTCTCTCCTCACCACATAGTTCAGTCTGTACAGGACGACACACAGCTGATGTTGGTTTGCGTGGATGTAGATGCAGGTAAAGCAGGTGAAGCAGGTGAGGGGTATCTGAGCTGGTCTGGACTCTGGGGGGTCCAGAGCTTTCTGGGACTTGTGGTGTTGCAGATGGAAGTCTGATATGAAGTGTGTTTTAATGTTGCTGTGCTCGTTGCCTCTGTGGTTGGAATCAATAGATCAGGGGTTCGGAGAGGGGGAGGGGGGGGGGGGGGGGGGGGTAGTACGAGCCTCTCATCTGATGGAGGATGAGATGGAGGAAACTGTCATGTAATCCCTGTTGTCCCTGTTGATAAGTGGTTTGAAGATGGATGGATGGAGGTTTGTTCTGAACAAGAACCTTTTGAAAGCTTCAGCTAACCTCTGAAGAAAAGATGATAATAGATAATTTCAGGTCCTGTTTTTATTAACGTTAATATAAAAGTACGTTTAGGACCTCCATGTATTACTTTGGGTTAACAAGGAATATAATTGTATGAGTCTAATCTTAATAAATTACTTTTATTGTAAACGACTGTGCTCTTTTTGGACACACGCACACACTCATACAGACACACACACACACACACACACACACACACACACACACACTTATACTAGCACACACACAGGAGTTCAGTCTCCCGAACTCTGCATCAGAAACACGTACTTTCACACGACTCCCTTTTTTCTTTCTCTGACTCTTAAATGACCCCCACACTTAAAACACCAAAATAAATCTCAAGTCATAATATATGCAAACAGATAAATATAATGCAAATTACAACAGTTATATGCTTTAGAAATAGGGTGGAAATCTAGACTTTCAACCACAAACAATTATTTTAAATAGCTATTTAAGAATATGTATTTAAGAAGTAGAAAAGAAGTTATGGAAATACTATGCAGTGCAACTGGGAAACACTCAAATGAAAACTGCATAGTGAATCACCGTCTCTGAAGATGAAGAGACTGTGGTCCTCTTCTGGCTTCACCTTCATCAGTTTGATGAGGTCATAGACTTTAAGCCCCTCTTGCGCAGTTGCTGAAGCATCGGCATGTGTTTAGTCTTCGCATAATGTCCAATCGCCCTCTCAACCAAGCGCACCACATCCAAGTGTTCCTGAGTAAAGAACAGTTGCCTTTTACCAGATAACTTTATGAAAACTCAACAAAACTGATTTGGTTAAATAAAGGCACAATTAATCAAAAACAACATGAAAACAAGTATTAACTTTTGCCTCACCTTACCTACATGATACCACTAACCACTAGCTAACATTTCTATCTGTACGTAGTTAGTAAGTCCTGTACAGTGGAAAATTACAGTTTACAACCAATTAGAAACTCCTGGTTCATTCAGTTCCGAGAATGAAGTGTTTTTTTTGTTTGCAATGCAAGCAATTTGCTCTCAAAAAACATTTTTTTTGAGTTAGTTAGATGTATACTTAGAGATTAGGAGACTGAAAGGGGTTTGGGGTCAGTCATGCTGTTTTAGAAAAAGTGTATGTCAGCCTGATCCTTTATTTAAATGCTTATCTGTCTGGTTGATTCAGATCGATCTATATTTAGCAATAGTCTATATATCCCCTATATCCCTATATCCCCCTATATCTAACGTCTATCACCTGAATTTGGTTAGTTTCTATCTAGAATTACATTTTTTTTAGAAATAAAATCTCTAAAATTATTACCAAATTGATCTGCAAAAGTGTTTCAAAATGAAGTTATATTTATAAACAAGTTATGATTTATCCATAAAAATCATTAAAAAAAAGTTGAAATAAATGCAATTTAAGTCAGATTTGCAACCACTGTGAGTAGAACTTTGAACACGCACACACACACCCACACACACACGGTGCATTAACATTGGAGTGTCTGCTCTCGGGCACAGTAGCAGCTGCAGGGCATTTTCATTTTCCAGCCTGCACCAGCCAACCAGTCGCTACACTGGGAGACAGGGCAGACTCCTCTGGTGCTTTTCGGAGTGGTATCGGATCAGAACTAAAGCCCCCTGTGACGTGTCGGAGGAAATGTCAGAGCGAACAGAGGAGCTCTCCAATAAGCCCTTTGTGGCCCGCTTGTCTAATGTTTACCTCAGCATCTTGGCCCTGTTCTGCTTTAAGCTCTTCGTTAAGATCTCGCTCAACTTGCTGACGTACTTCTACATCGTCCGTGGGAACCGCAAAGAGGCTGCCCGGATATCAGCAGAGTTCTATGACTATGGCCAGAAACACGGTGAGTACATCAAAAACCTTTAAGGCTGAAGACGCATTTGGTGGAAAAAGTAGACGTAATACAACTGTGTACGCTTCACACCAAGCAACGGGTTTGATCCAAAGGGTATAAGGTCAAAGGCCGAAGGTAATGATACTGTGTGCTTCTTTAAAATCATGTCTTAGTGCTGCTGCCTCACACTTAAAATGTCCGTGTTTACAAATGAGCCGTGAACACATTACTAATCCAAATAGCGTGAGACGTTCATTAAACTCACATTAATTCAAACTGTGGCTATGAACGACTTTTCTTTCATCACCTTAATAACTGCTTATGAATCCTGAACCGTACATTCACCATTTAAACCAAGACACTGCAGGCTGGCAGCTCTGTTACTCAGATGTATTAATAGAACACATTCATGATACCCTGCAACCCCCCCACCCCCCATCCTGTCCTAGTTTCCATTCCCAGCTATGCAGTGCCCCCCTTCACACTCACACAGCGACCAAAACAACACTCCACATTTTCAGGGACACGCAGTTTGGAGGCAAATTCGAATCCACATCCATTGTTTGAGGGAATCTTTAATTTAAAGCTTAGTTACACTATGGAATACTAAAATAATACTTGTGTATTAGTCACAGTGCTGAAGATATGCTCTTCCATGTTCTAAGAAATCGGGTGGATGTCCATAGCTTAGTCTTTTCTACCCGTATATCAAATCAATATCGGTCAAGAAAAATAGTTTGCATGAATAAAAATGCTGTAAATTATGATTGAAAAGGGGAGAGATAAGAATGATGATGACAGTTTGGTATATGCCTCGCCTGCCATTGACTTAAACTTGATTATGTAACATGATCATGGAGGAAAAATATATATTTTATATATTTCAAAAAATATATATACTTCATATATTTTTTTATATTATTTATATATAAATAAATAAATTTATAAATAAATACAGGAATAAATAAAGGGTGAAACAAATATTTAAATGCTGAAATACTAATTAATTAATAAAAGCTGAAATAAATAAACAAAAGATGGTGGTTGGGATTTCATCAAGCAGCCATGGTTGCCTAAACAATAAAGGAATTTAAAATAAGTTAAATAGTTTCATAAATACATTAAATCTCTATTATTTTCACTGGTACAAACATGATGCTTAATTATATTCATACAACATTAAAGAGTAATTTACTTCACTTTCTCCCCCTGCAGGATCCTGGGCGGACCGCTCCCCCCTCCACGATGCAGCGAGTCAGGGCCGCCTCCTGGCTCTAAAGACCCTCATTTCACAGGTGAAGATAGAACACAGAGGAAGCTTGCCTTCAAGTCGGGATATTTTTGGTCGGGTTGTTGCTTAAACCTGAGGAGATTTCTGGCAGAAGACAATCTGCTGCAGTAGATGTTGGGTTAGGGTAAAAGGAAGAAGGAAACAGTTTGAATAGAAGTACGAGATGTGGCTTTCTGTGAAGCACGTTGTTATCTTACTGGTTTCTTCTGTCTCCACCTCCATCACCTCTGAACAACAAATCGTGTCATATTTCTGTGTTTACAGCACTATAAATTGCCATTGTAGATGCATGTTTTGCAGGTAAATACACAGCACAGCACCGCCATGATTACATAAGCAGTATATACAGTATCCGAGGGCGTCAACAAAGCTGCCGATTAATCCCAAATATTGATAAATAGGAGACTGGGAGGATTTCCAGCTGCTCACCGAATGAGCAGTGCACCACGATGGAGACATTTCAGCCACAAAGCCTCTAATGCCTTGTTCTTAAAACAGACGAGCTCATGACAAAGCTGTGATACGGTCAGAGTGTTATGAATGGTGATTCATTAACTCTTAACTAGACTTCTACTTGGCTTTGATTTGTGAGCTTATTAACCACTGTTGCTCAAGGGTAGTTTGTCATCACTGCCATCACTGAAGAATGGGTCTGGTTTAGCAAAGATTGTTACTGCTGTTCCAAAGGTCATGTGTCATTGCACCATTTAACTTCATATCTGTGGTCTGATTGGGTTTCCAGGGTCACAGTGTGAATGCTTTGACTATAGACCATGTGACCCCCCTTCACGAGGCCTGTGTGGGAGACCATGTCGCTTGTGCCAGAGCTCTCATTGATGCCGGAGCAAATGTAAGTTGTGTATTGTCCTTTAATGTGGCTGCAGGTCTGGGGTAATCTGGGTAGAAGTAACGAATGAACAGTGCTGCTCTTCTTGCACAGTCGCTGTAGAGCTGTTAAGTTCTCATCCTCCAGCTCCCCCAGGCTGCTGCTATTAGTTAACTCGCATGGTTGAACGAGGTCTAAAAACAACAACGTAAGGAAATGCTTTTGCAGGTCAATGCTTTTACGATTGATGGAGTCACCCCTCTGTTCAACGCCTGTGCAGCGGGCAGCGTGGCGTGCACGGAGATTCTTTTGGAAAATGGAGCAAAACCCCAGAGCTTTGAATGCCGCCCTTCACCAATCCATGAAGCCACGAGCAAAGGTACAATACATTATAACAGAATGCATTAACTAACATATCAGAAAGCTTTTACTGATTCTTAAATATATTTTCTATAGTGTTAATCTAAACAGTTTAAGAGGTACCAAGTTAAGGATCAAGGTAATTTATCATTGAATATCTTAATATTAGCTCTAAATGTCTGTTATTAACATGATACCAATACATAATCCCAACTCAACTAATTGCTGCTTCTCACATCTCTCAACCTGTATTTGTGTCCTTTGTAGTAGCTTTAGAAATAAATATCCACGCGGCATCTCCACGCGTCTCTTACTGGTTGCTGTCTTCATGCTGCGTGGCTTCCAGGTCATTACGGCTGTGTGGAGGCTCTGGTCTCTTGGGGTGCAGATGTGGACGTGGACATTCCTCATCTGGGCACGGCGCTCTACACAGCCTGCGTCTGCCAGGAGCTGGAGTGTGCCAGGAGGCTCCTGAGGGAAGGTCAGCACAGTGCGGATCATCTCCATGCTAAAGGAGAATTCAATCAGCACCAGACACAAAAGGCTTTTGCATCACAACTGTGTCTGAAATGGATAATCAAGTTGTCCTCCATGCAGGTGCAAGTGTACAGAAAGGCAAATCTCTGGACTCACCCTTACATGCAGCTGCAGAGAAAGACTTCACAGCCGTAGTGAAGTTGCTGCTGGACTTTGGTGCCGACATCAACGGCAGGAACGCAGAGTTTCAGAGGCCAGTGGACGTGGCTCCGCCCAGCAGTCTCTCCGAGGGGTTTCTACTGACGTATGAAGGTACAAGAACACCTGTCACTCGCCTCACCTGTAATCACTAGGTTTGCTTGTATTTAGTCCACCTTGTTGTATGTATTTATGTGTTTGTCTGTGTTTGAACAACTTCATCATTAGATTTGAATCCTACTTTGCTAGTGACACCAAGACGCTTGGACCAGCTGTGTCGTCTTGGCATCAGGAGCTGCGTCGGTCGGGACAGACTCCGCCTTCTTTCCCACCTGCCCCTGCCCAACAGGCTGAGGAACTACCTGCAGTTCCAATGACAACTAACCCTCCTAAATGGGACCTGAAGAAATCCGCCTTTGTTTCAAAGAGCTAATAAAATCCTTGATGTTGTCGTTCGATTGAGGCGACCAATAAAGTGTCTCAGCAGCTGCTGATTATCTGGCAGTTACCAAGCGGTGTTGAGCCGGCCTGCGTGAACCTTTACTACCGAGCACCCGGATGGACGCAAAGCAGAGGGATTCTAAAACCAGTTCAGGACTTAACTTGTTAGGAATGAAGTGTTTTATGTAATTCAGTTTTGCCGTGTTTAGAAGAAGCCTTAACATTTGCGATAGCTAACAAACAGCGATGCACTTTGAACACTTTCTGATTATAATGTCACATACGTGCAATGTAATATACAGTATGTGAATGAACATAGTTTTGCAAAATATCTTGTAATGCAGAACTTATTTGAGCTTAATTTAATTATTAAAACCAACCTTTTTTAAACAAAATGATATGTTTAAACTTGGATTACAGAGAGGTGCAGGCAGCTGAATTCATTGTTAGGTCCCTTATGGAAAATAATAGGGAACAGCAAAACATGAGAGAGTGGAGAAGGGGGAGATGTTTCTAGCTGATATAATAAAATAAATCTTCATGAAATCACATCTCACAATATTGAGCTGCTCAAATTCTGTTTCATTATTTTACAATGTAATTTACACCACCGTATTTGTACCATTTTTGTATTTCATATATAAATATTTTATAACATTAAAAATCATATATCGGAGTGTCTGTTGCATCACTTGAGGGGCGGCGGTTGCCATGGTGATGTAAACAAAAAGTCCTGTGATGTGACGGGCTGCAGCGGCACCGCGCACAGGGATCAGGTGAAGCTGTTTGCATGATTTCACTGTATGGTTACCATAGTAACAGGGTTATATTTATATATTTTTCGATTTGCTAGTCTGCTGGTACCAGGCTAAACTAGCACAGTCCCGTTATGTGGGTACGTTAGCTTTATTCTTCTAGTTTCAACAAGGCAGCTGCTGCTAACGCACTGGACCAAAGGTTGCAGGCGCTAGAGATTTAATAAAAGTAAAAGTGAGATCTTCCAGGTATATTTAGTATCTCACTGTGTCAGACTACCAGCTCTCTTTCTACGAGTTTGTGACTCTTCAGACAATCAGATGGCAGCATGTTGTTGAAACTTTTTTATTTATTTTTTTACTCTGGCTGACTAACATTGTGTAGAATGTTCTGAAATATATCGTTCACATTTTTAACAGGCAATTAAAATTTCAAATTTATTGGTGGGGACAATTAGGTCTTTCCCAAACTTTGGTAGTGCCTTGTCCTTTATATAATTTAGTGGAAAAATCGTCCCTCATAGATTGTATGGCCGGTAGAATCTGTGTCTCATCGCTAGATATATCTATGGTCGCTAGTCTCCTCTTGTCGCTTGTCGCTTATTGCGCGTCATAACCGGAAGCACCCCACTGCTCAGACCGTTCAGAATGTGTTTGCGTTCAGTGTCTCTCTCATTGATCACCAGGTTGTTGTCGACCTTTTACTAACTGGTCACGTGGTGAAGTAAAACCATCCCATCAAGAGAAAGCTTTCCCATGTTACCATAGTAACCACAGTGTTTCCTGTCAGGACAGCTACGTGTCATCTTACTGGTCTGTGTTTTACTGACTTCTGGGTTCAGTGATTGCCGTGATGAAGCTTGGAGGGTTCAGTTGCTCCATTTAGGTTAAGAACCACTGAACCGCATGTCCTTTGTGTTTGAGTTGTCATGCAGCCTAAGACTGATACTTGGGTAAGTTGTCCCGCCCAAACACGTTCAACCAGATCATCAAAGTGGCGTGAAGAATAAAAACTCTCAGGTCAGACTCCATGTTGTCTTTTATTTAATATTAACTCTTTACATGTTTTACGTTCCCTACTAGTCTACATGACAAAGAGGAGCGTGCACGGGGCCTCTAAACTTTCTGTTCCCAACAACAGCATCCTGTCTGCTGTCATAGCAACTCTTTACAAGGTGCTACGTCCCCTGTTCTGTGTTCTGGTTTGTGTGTGTGTTCATACAGGTGGTACTGATCATCCATGAGCTCCATTCATCTTGGCTCCACCCACTCTCATTACCCGGTTCAGCTGTTTCCACTCATCTCCAATCCCATCATGCCCTTATGTCAGTATATGTACCCCTGTGTTTGTTTCACCCGGGGGGTGTCACTCTGGCTGTATGTATGTGAGTGCCGGTTTATGGTGGGGTAGTTCTTAGTTCTGGTGATTTGCTGTACTGTGTATTCAAATAATTGTTTTTTCTTTGTTCCTTTTCTTACAGGGACAGGAGGAGGAGTTGGACAGGAGGATCCACACTGTAAACTGAAGACTCTCGGGTATGAAGAGGCTGCAGCAACTACCAGATACTCATCAACTGTTTGTGTCCCATATCAGACCATGAATACAGACAGAAGTGAGGAACAGTAGCCAGGATGAGCCTAAACAGGGAGGAAGGTGCTGAAAGGCTTTTTTCCACGTTATAAGAGAGGACAGTGGTTTATCCTGACGCGTTGATATGCGTCAACGTCGTCACAATGATACACGACTAACCTTCATAAGACAACGCGCCATTGTGGCGGTGAGACGGGGCTACGGCAAATCAGGGAAGTACAAAGATGGGATGCGTCATACAGAGGGGAAAATATAACAAAGTTACTCCTCAAAATAAGTTTCACACACATCTAAAGGAACAAATTAACAAACCAAAATACAGACATGTGAAAACACAAACAGAAAAGGTAATCTACATTTCCAACTGGTTCATTCTCAGTGTTTCCAGCAGCAGCTGTTTTCATCCAACAAGCTGTGATGAAGCCACAGTTCACTACCTGCTGAGCAGCAAACAGCAGACACACTGAATCGGAGACCTGGGGAACATAGAGGAGAATTTAGCAGCTAGAGACACAGATATTCCCCTCAGGAGGTGGTGGAGGCCAAAAACCGAGCTAAAAAAGAGAATAGAGGACTTCCATCTATTAAGTGACGCAATGACTCCTGATGAACCATCATGGTGATGTGCACCTGCTGGATATGGAAGCAGCTGGGTGATATCATGTTGGACAGAACTACTTTAGAAGATGATCACATGTCGCATGTTGTGTTTACAGCTTGTTTTCACTAAACCACAAGTGGACGAAGAAATCAGTTGATGCAGGTTTAAACATTTGACTCACTGATTGATTGCTGAGGGAAACCAGTGTGAAATGGAAGATGATTGTCAGTATAATAGTGATCATAATAGATGAAATGGTGAACATAATGAGCTGTGGTCATCGGCCAATCAGCAGAAGCTCCATTGCAGTAGAAGAAGAAGAGGTGGTCCATGTGAACATGAAGGACAAAGCTGTTTGTATGAGAGTGATGTAATGTCCATGTCTCCATGCTGCTCTGACCCCCCCTCCTCCTTTCAGGGTGGAGCCTGATGGAGTCCGATGGCTGAGACCAGGTCTGAGGAAGTGTAAGTGTGCTTTGATTCATGAAGATTCAACCATCTTCACACTGTGACATCACTCATTCACCTCTGTGATGTCATCATCAAAGTGTCAGTAGATGAACACATGATTAATAACTGCAGCTGTATTGTGTCTTGTTCTCTCTTCAGATTCCTGTGAACTCACAATTGACACAAACACAGTAAACGGAGACCTCGGACTGTCTGACAACAACAGGAAGGTGACACACGTGAAGGAGGATCAGTCGTATCCTGATCATCCAGACAGATTTTACTACTGGCCTCAGCTGCTGTGTAGAACTGGTCTGACTGGTCGCTGTTACTGGGAGGTCGAGTGGAAAGGAAGTGTTATAATATCAGTGAGTTACAGAGGAATCAGGAGGAAAGGACACAGTGCAGATTGTTTGTTTGGATGGAATGATCAGTCCTGGAGTCTGATGTGCTCTGATGAACGTTACTCTGTTTGCCACAATATGACAGCAAGACGCATCTCCTCCTCCTCCTCCTCCTCCTCTGGTAGAGTAGCAGTGTATGTGGACTGTCCTGCTGGCTCTCTGTCCTTCTACAGAGTCTCCTCTGACACACTGATCCACCTTCAGCACCACATTCACTGAACCTCTTTATCCTGGGTTTGGGTTTGAGTTCTGGTCCAGTTCTTTTTCCTCAGTGTCTGTGTTCTCTGGAGGAGGGGGGGTCTCCTCCTGGTGGAGAAGCTTCCTTTCTGCTCACCACATAGTTCCGTCTGTACAGGACATCACACAGCTGATGTTAGTTCATATGGATGTAGATGCAGGTGGAGCAGGTGAGGGGTACCTGAGCTGGTCTGGACTCTGAGGGGTCCAGAGCTCTCTGCAGATGGAAATCTGAGAGAGTTCAGCGATGTTGCTGCGCTCGTTGCCTCTGTGGATGGAATCGGTAGATTAATATTTAGATATTGGCTCCTAAATTAGTGTTTAATCTTAATCTTTATATATCGCAAAGAAAACATTTTATAACGAGGTCAACCCCCCAATATAACACAAATATATCTGTATGATAAATTGTCCTTATTTGTGTGTGTGCTTCATTAGCATTCACACAAATGATGATGAAAGCAATGTGAGTTTTTTTTTTTTTTTTTTTTTTAAGGATTGTTTGTAATGACAAAATAAGGAAAATATACTTTCAAAATTCTTTTCAGTGGATTTAAATTTAATTTCACATAATCAGGTTTGTTCTGAACATTGTGATGGGAAAATGATATGTAACCCTTTAAATGCTTCCTTTGTATAACCAGTTTATTAGTTGCAAGTGCTTAGGTCACAAAGGCCCTGACATAAGAACTGATGTCTCCCACTTGGATTAGATGTTTCCAGCGTCATAGCTGTAAAGATTGAACAAAGTGTTTGTTACGTCTATGACCACCTTTGTTCTTGCATGTTGGGAGAGCAAGGACACGGTCAAAGAGCTGACGTGTCTTACAGGGACAAGATGTTCCCAGTACCCTGGCTGTAGAGACTCAACAAGATGGTCAAGGTTTCTGTTGTTGCCACCGATATCTAAACTTAGGTATAAGAACTGCCTCGAGGTGTTGGGGGAAGAAAAGGAGGTTCTTGACAGTCTACTGACCACGTAGCTGTTGTGACCCTCTTTCCCTTGCAAGGAAATAAACGGAGAAAAGACATACTTGACTCAGAGCCTTTGTTTCTTACTTAACGATTGTCTGTGCAAAATCTTCCACCACAACATGAACCTTTTGAAAGCTTTAGCTAACCTCTGAAGAAAAGATTTAATGACAGATAATATCCGGTACTTCTGTTTTTATTGACGTTAATATAAAAGTACAATGTTTAGTTTCTCCATGTGTTACCTTTGGTCAACAGGAATATTGTTGTTTGAGTCTAATGTTAATGAATCAATTTTTGTAAACCAGCTGTGGTCTTTTTGGACACACACACACACACACACACACACACTTAGTGTTACAAACCCCTGCTCGTGAGTCCTTCTGGTGGGACGAGTTGCAGTGGCTCGGGCCAACACACCTGATCACAAGCAACGGCAGGATAAAGAGGAGGACCGGACATCGAGTCCCCGCCGGATCGTTAAGTCACATTTGTGCGTCGATGGATTACCTGCCTAAACGCTTTTTCTGAGCGGGCTGTTGGCGGTCTGTGTTTACCTTGTTTCTGACTGTTTTGTTCTGCCCACCGGATTACCAGCACTCTCTGGTCCCGACCAGCTGGCCTCCTCACTCACCGTATTCCTGAATAAATACCTGTTTTTGTTCTGAGTTGCGGTCTGCTGTTGGGTTCCTTCCTGACACTTAGACACTGATCTCTGCAGAAGAAACAAGTGCTTTCACACAAGTCTCCCTCTTTTCTTTCTCTCACACTTTAATGACCCTCAAAATAAATCTCTTCAGTCATAATATATGCAAACAAATGAATATAATGCTCATTACGACAGTTTCATGGTATAGAATTAGGGTAGAAATCTAAACTTTCAATAACAAACAATTATTTTAAATAACTATTTAAGAATATGTATTTAAGAAGTAGAAAGGAAGTTATGGAACTACTATGCAGTGCAACTAGGAAACACTCAAAAGAAAACTGCATAGTGAATCACCGTCTCTGAAGATGAAGAGACTGGTACTCTTCTGGCTTCGTCTTCATCACTGATGAGGTCATAGACTTTAACGCTTTAACATGTGTTCATATGAAGTCCAATCGCTCTCTCAACCAAGCGCACCACAAGTGTTCCTGAGTAAAGAACAGTTGCCCTTAACCAGATAACTTTATGAAAAAACTAAAAACTGATTTGGTTGAATAAAGGCACAATTACATCCTTGATCCTTCATGTATATTTGTATCTGTCTGGCTGATTAAGATCGATCCATCACACACACACACACACACACACACACACACGGTGCATTAACATTGGAGTGTCTGCTCTCGGGCACAGTAGCAGCTGCAGGGCATCTTCATTTTCCAGCCTGCACCAGCCAACCAGTCGCTCCACTGGGAGAAAAGGCAGACTCCTCTGGTGCTTTTCGGAGTGGTATCGGATCAGTTAAAACCAGATTAGTGTTTTCCTTCCAATTGGTGTCAAGTCAACAAAGTGTTCAGTAGGATTTCTCTTACAGACTAAATGTGCTCAGTTAGTTTCCCCTCCTTTGTGTCTGCAGAGATCTTTCCAATGGTTACCTTGTGGCAGAGATATTGTCTCGTTAGAGCAGAAAATGTGTCTTTGTTTATTCGGTTTTATTTCCCATCTGACTTTGCATTAAAATGACTAATTTAAGGTGTTTATTTAACTGTTTGTGAGGTAAAGTTCAGGCTGAACATGATGTTTTCTTTACCTACATGTACTTGAAGGATCTGAAACAGAAAGTTCTTATTTTAAGTGGGATGATTATGCTGTGTTAGGTTTTCATCGGTCCAGTCCTTACAGAAGCACAGTCTGACCTTGACGACAGAGACAGTTCACGGAAACATTCACTGCAAACCGGGAGCAGCCGAGCTGCTGCTGCAGGAGGTTTACTCTATTTTAACTCACTGGAGGTGAATGTTGATTAACTGCACATGAAAAACTATAGAATAATATGTGTTATTGTCCGGGAACACTGACATTACTACAGCGTGTACACATTACTGCTTATGTCAGCTGAAAACAAAAGGATGCCGGTATTGTACAGTGACTTTTGCTATATGATTATTTCAGTTAAATGTGTGGTCAGTAAAACTAAATAAACTCCATTAACCGCTTCTAGTGCACCAGAATCCAAATAAATATGTGTGGAGAGGATGAAGCATCGGCTCTGTGTATAAATAACATTACCAAAACAGAACCATGATGATTCTTGAAGGTTTCCTACTCCTGATCCTATGAACTGCTCCCTCAGCATTGGATACGTCGAGGCCCAAGAGCCAGACTTCACTGACCACGGGCCGCTCCACCGCCTCCAAGGCCTTCAAGAACAACCTGAAGATGAGGGAGCTCCTGGTGCAGCCCGACGTCACCACCAAGGAGAGGAAGGCCCGAGTCCTCCTGCAGGCAGCTGGAGCACGAGGCCGCAGGCCAGGCCCCCCCGAGTCCTCCCCTCCGGTCAGTCATCCGGGTTTGCTGTTGTTTTGAGACACACTAATGTTGAACAAATCTGTTGTGTAGTTTGCGCTGTTTTAAAGTTCTGCCGCTCTTCAACGTGGGGGGGATTGTCTGTTTCCTGTAAGGAGATAAAGGTGCACCGGCCTGCCAGACGCTCCCTGTTGACTATTAAAGCTAATGGAGATCTGTGCGCTTTTTTTTGTAATGTTTGTGTGTTTATGTGTCACCTAATGCAGTGATACATTTTTCACAGGTATTCAAACAATAGCCTATTTAACTGGTATGCATTGCTTGTTTTGAATGATGTCACTATTTGTTATGTCTTATGTAACGTTTAGCAGTCAGCTGTCACGTTGTGCAGTGTCTTGTCGCACCAGCAGGTGGCAGCATTGAGTCACGATCACAGCTCAGTGGTTTGGACAGGAATCCACTGCTGCGAGTGAACCATCGATGGAAAGAGGCTATAAAGGACAGTGGACTGGACTTACTATTCATCCATTTGCGTTGCACACATTAACACTCTTTCTTATTTCCTTCACCCATTACTGAAACTACACTAATAACTATGTAATGCTCATTCATTTTTTCAGATTTTCTTACCGTTTTAGTCATTGTGAGCCAGAAACACGAGACTTATTCTACCTGCAGTTTGGTGGTTGATCATTTTAGTTTTTTTTTTTGCATGCTGATTCAAGTTTAAATTAGAATAGTATTGTTTTTTTTTTTTTTTTTTCATAAAGACATCTACAAATGGAAGTAAACCAACACAAATCATAAAACAACAGATTATTTATTCCTGATACTGGTCAAGCAGCATTAACAGTAAGTGACATATTTGTGACTAATTTTCTTCATTGTTACTACTGTTGCTGCATTAAACACAGCAAAAACATCAGCAACTAATTATGTAGGAACCAGCAATGTGCATTACCTGAAATGCAAGGGACAACATTAACAACACATTATAACTGTAAAGCCATGGAACTAACTGAACGTTTAGGTGTGCGCTTTCAATCCAATTTCATCCACACTAAATCTTTTAATCCATCATAACCCTGCAAACAAAACGATGTTCTTGTGTCACATTTTTAGTGAAAATATTTAGTGTTTTTGGTGCCACAAACATCCACTTTGAGATTGAGATCACTCGGTTTGCCCCAAATCACCAAGCACTGGTGGATGGATGCTCCGTGTGCAGCACAATGGAGTTGTGAAGCTCGTGAAAAGGGGATGAGAGGATGATAAGTGTTTCTGGCTGACTGCCTGGCTTCTCATGTGCTCTAAGAGCTCGGGCTTTCAATAGCGAGATGGAGCGATGCTCTACTGAGATGATCCACGCAGATTCAACTGGCTCTCGGCTACAGATGACCATTAATGTATTGTATTATACACCATCATCTTCTGGTTCAATCGCAAAGCCACAAAAATGACAACAGCTAATGCTAATCCGCAAAGAGAAAATGACGTGACACTTTTTCCAAAAATCCATTCATCAACCAATTAAGGAGAGCAGGAGTGTTAATCTGACATTTGAATAGATGCGCTCTCGTATATCCCTCGGTGTCTTTGGGAGCAGCCCATCCCTTTATGCTAAAGCCTCCTTCCCCGCCTCCCTCGGTGGAGCTGCAAAGCCTGACCTCCTTAATCTTTCAGTGTCTTTTGATTTCCCTCAGCTTGACTGGTCCGTGAACACACATCAGCACTTAAGACCAAGAGCGCTGTCGCCTGTTGATTTCTGCAGGCGCCGGGAGATGAGCGTCGGAATTTGGGTTTTCAGTGTCGAGCCTCCCATGTAGCTGTATCATGGTGGGAATCCATTGAGCTACAATCCGCAGAAAAGGGATAGAAATGCAACATAACAAATAAAGTGTGTAGTGCAGAAGAGCTGCATGCATGATTTGTAATACTACTAGTACGTCTGGCCAGGGTTACATGGGTGGTGTTTATGTTTGTTGTTCATCGACACACCTCTCCTACCGAACAATTTCTAGGTCCTGGTTGCTATGGCAACTAGCAAGCCCATCCTGGAGAGCTCCCAGCGACATTAATAAGCTTACTGTGAGCTTCTTTGGCTCGTTGTGTTGGTCGCTCTGAGTGCACAGGCGGCGGCTGTGGGGTTTCAAACATCACATCATGCAAAAACATCAGTGAACTGAAAAACAATAACAATTGTGATGAAAGTAAGGAAAGAAAAACCGGGCAGCTGATGTGGGGAATCGAGGATGCCTCAAATGCCCCCGAAGAAAGCGCTTCACCATCTGCTGATTTTCCCCACCGGCACCACGGTGCCCACAGCGTGAAGGAAGAAGGCGAGGGGCTGCAGCGGCGGGGGGGGGGGGGGGGGGGTTGGAAACACGGACAGTAACACAACTAGCCGGGGCGGGGGGGATGTTGTCTTTGTAAGCTCAGGATTCCCTGAGAAAGAAAGGCCCTCCCCAATCCCCCCACAGCAAATATCCCACCCATATTAACAAAAGCCAAGGGTGTACGTGGCCATGTTATCCAGGCCAAAGGTGGGGCCTGCATGTGTCTGAAGTGTGCATGTCCTTTGAAAATATATATATATATATATATATATATATATATATATATATATATATATATTTATTATATTATTGTTCCTGCTCTCTCAGTAACTGCTAATGAACTCCTTTTAATCACGCATATATATATTTTCTATTTAGCTATAATGCATTAGTCAGTAACACTATGCTGGCCCCTGGAGACTAAAGCTAATTACAAATGTTAAAGAATATATAAAGCAGTATTCATTTGGTGGGTATTTAATTCACTTCCTTCGTTGACGGACTTTTATTTACTGCCATATATATTTAAAATTGTCATATGAATTACACATATCTATAACCAGAAATCCAAATGAAGGACTGTATTATTACTGTTGGCTTGTAATTCCTTTTCCGTACTGTTAAATTGATGACTGGCATATAAAAAAAGTCAGTCCAACACGCGTCAACAACATAACAACAACAAACAGATGAGGAGGGCAGCTTAAAGCAAGATAGCACAAAAACCTTTACCTCCTAGAAAACTAGCCCACTCTAACTCTGTCAGACTCACAATAGAAAGGGTAAAGTAAAATACAACATGGAAAAAAGTCTAAATATATATTGGGCAAAAGCAAGAAGGGAAAAATTAACCTCACAGCGTTACTAACTTTAGTAACTTTACTACTAACTATTTGCTATGTAATGATATAATGTCTATCTGAGTTATGATCTCTGCTTCCCTTTGTGTACATGATGAGAGCGGCTGCGCGTGCTTCTAGTGCGAGTTATCAGCAGTCAGCACTAATCTAATATTATTTTGCCAAATCAAGTAAAGAGACTCAGAGGACATGGGAGGTTAAACCATTCGGTGGGACAATATGCTACTACGGGAGGATACATTTAATTATTTATCCAACGTGTTGAATTAAGCGATGAAATATTAATGAAGCATTACATTTTTCAATCAATAAATCATTATATTAATTTTGAAAAATTAGCATAATTAGCGTAAACCTTTTTTTCCAGTGGAGGCTCAGTAACTGTTACAGCTCCTTAAATCACTAAAACTAAAAGCTGCCATAGCTGAGGAAACATAACTGATATCATTCTCAGAACTCCTGACTGACCTCTGACCCCTTTGACTGCTTTCCAGTTCTCTGCCGTGGAGGAAGTTCTATTTCCCCACAGGGATCATTAAAGTTTCATCTAATCCATCTTTCCGATCGCCCGTCTGTCGCACCTCAAGTCGACTCTGATTCTATTCAAACACGTTTCCTCCCACAGCAGCTTCATGTACCTCAATGCTCTTTCAATACGCCCCCCTATCCCCCCCCCCCCATTCCTCTCTCCACTCCCCCCTTTGTCCATGCATGTGCATTGTGGTGTGTCTCGTTGTTGTCAGTCTTACGCATCGGCCGACTTGTGTGAGCTCACCAAACAAAATGTGAAATTGCATTGCATCTATTAAATAAATGGTAAATAAAAGTTGTGCGTGCTAAATTCATACATAAAATTATTTTCAATACCCAAGTCAACGTTGTGGTCTTATCAGTGCGGAGACATTTACATACATTTAACCGTCATTTTGGGGGGGAATTAGTAAAATAAGCAAATCATTCGCTGTCCAACGACTTGTAAAACCTCAATCCAGAGTAGCCCCCCCAGCCCCCATAATCCTGTGTTTCAAACTTAAAATCACCAAAAATGAGCAGCAGTGTGTCGGTCTGCACGTTGTCTGCATCTACGTGAGCGGAATCCAATGACACTTCTTTGGTGATCGTATAATTGAATCTGTATGACTAATAAGATTAGGAGAATCCCATTTTGAAATCAGATGCCCCCCCCCCTCCCCGACTTAAGGCGAGGTTGAGTTAATGCAGTAAAATGAGGGTTGGGGGCCGAAGGTTGGGGGCCGAGGGGGGGACGAGGGGCCTAACCATTCTGTCTGAGAACCGGGGGGTGTTTAGGGTGGGCCGGGCAATTAGTAATGACCCGTACTTGTGAACCCCCCCCCCCGCTGTCTGAAAAAGACACCATTCGAGGGTCTCCAGTCTCAATTCCCCTGAAGCAATCATTGGATTTCATTTGGCAATTTTTACACACCTGCCTCTGGAGGCTCACAAACACCCCTTCCCCTGGTTGCGACTGAGGCTTTTCTGGCGACATAAAAGAACAAGCATTCAAGCACCCCTTTTGGCCTCCTCCTCTTCCTCCCCCTCCTCCTCCTCCTCCTCCTCCTCCTCCACCTCCTCCTCCACCAGGGACCAAGGAGGGGTCTCAGCACTTGCCACGGCAGCTCGCGATGAACATCACCACAAAGACTCAGTGATCCCTCACATCGCCCCGGACGCTTGACAGGAAGCACGACTGACACCTCGCGTTCAGCACGGACATCGAGAGACATTCGGAGACGAGGGACGGGCAGAAAGAAAGCAGAAGTGATGTGTGGACTATCTCTTTTAAAATAAAAATCACATAAATAAGCTCGATCTGCCCGTAACAGGCATTTTCACTCACAATGGAAGAAGACCTGGACGAGGGGCAGACCCAGAAAGGTAACCACGTTTTCCTTTGCATGTTTGGGGACATTTCCCTTAAACGAATGTCAGTCTGCTGAGACAAATGCCCAAATGTTGGCCCTTCCCTTTCCGAATAAGAGAGCAGCTGTTTGTGGGGATTCCTTTGTCCGTTGAGTGTCGGCCCTCCACTGAAGAGTCTCTGTGGGCTGTTTGGGCAGTCGGGGAGGGGTGTGAACCGCCACGGCGAGGGGAGGACCGTCTTTGTTTGCCTCCATGAGGCTTTCATGCTTGTCGTGACGGCCGAGAGGGAAACGCGAAGAGAGCGAAGAAGCTACCCGAGCGTCTACACTCCTTAATCCGTCAGCTCTCAGGGTCCCTCCTTTTGAGTCCAGACTCAAAGCAGCGCTGTGGACATTCAGGGAGGATCTGATGCATGCAGGAGAACGGGGGCTTTCTTTCGTTCACACAAGAGGGGTGCAGAAAGGAATTGCTATTTTTACTTCAAACTCCCCCACCGCATTTTCTCTGCATGAATGATTCATTGTACGGTCAGCAGCCTAAAAGGCAGGAGAGTGGGAGTGCATATTTATTCACACGTGGGCAGCAACATTTTGAATAGAAATGCTCATTTTGACGTCAATGATGCACGAGCAGGTTGCTGTTTGTCGGTTAATAAAGAAAACTCCGATTTACTTTGTGGGAGGCAGGCATGGCTTCGCTTGTGTCCCTCTCGCCTCTCCTCCCTGCAACTCACAGGCACACACATGAGCGGAAGCAGTTGCCATGGCAGCGGCCAAGTGTAGTCATTCTCTACCCTCCCTTCACCCACTCCTGCTGATGACATTTCAGTACCACAGGAATACTTCACTGTGTCTGAGAGGGTGGGAGGAAGACAGACAGAAAGTGGGGATGAGTCAGACTGACAGCAGTTGAGTGACAGGCGTCAAAGGGGTAAGAAGGGTTGAGGGAGGAATCACAAACATCTACGTTGTCGTAATCAGTTTGATTCTGTCCAAGTTTGATCAAAGGCACTGAGGGATCATTTACGAGGCCGCTGTTGGCGTGACGGTTGGTAAGGTTCGGCGAGTGCACCGCCAACATTTTTTCGTCCAGCACTTCCTGGTCGCCATTACGAGGTGTGTACTCAGGCGTTCCTATTCAGAGAGCGAAATGTGTCAGCCTCGGCCGCTAACTCAAATGCTCATCCAAGTGAAAGACGCAGCCATGCAAGCTGCGCATGCATCTCTGTCCGCTCATCTGGGCCACGCTCAGGGTCATGAAGAGTTACGGACTAATGTACAGCGCTTTTTATCTACATTTGGCTCACCGCCAAAGCCAAATATCCCCAAAACGTTTCAAAGATTCTGATTGATCACTTTTTTGCAGATGACGTAATTGTTTATCTGTAGCCTCGTGAACTTTAATGGTTACAATAGATGGTTTTGATATAAAAAGTCGTGTTCAGGGTAAAATGCAGGTTGCGAAGAAGCGGATGTTTGCGGCGGGACGCGGCTGTAAACACTCAACAAGACTTTGTTACAAAATAAACCACCTGTTACCTCAGAAGCTGACAATCAACCGGCCCAGCTGCTCGACGGAAGTGAGCAGGCACCTGGACGACGAGCCGCCATCAATCACCGCCCACAACGCACCACAAACACTTGATTGTCTGACTGAAAAGGATTTTCTCCGGACTGTTTCATTGGAAAAACACGTCAGAGCTGATGGGGTAACCGTGTTTTAATACGCTAAAAAAACATCCGAGGAGCAAAAGATGAACCAGATTAAAGTTCGATAAAGGCCTGTTATAAGTTAAACAACATGAACTAATGTTCTGTGACTAGTGGTCTTCTAAGTGGGTTTTAAAACCGATCTCATGGGGTTTCACTGGGTTTGGACGGTTGCTTCGGGTTTTCCCTTCATTTCCTACCAGTCTGCGATTGGATTATGAACCCAGAAATCTGCTGAAATGTTGTCATGAAGTGTGACACCATGTAAGATAGATATGTTGAGACAAGGAGGCAGCGCTCACTGGGCAGCTCCTTTCCTGCTCACCGGAAGACGGGAGATGATATGATCGCCCCGATGAAGCGCGGCGAGCTCGCCGCCCTGTAAGGCCTCGCGCCGCGTCGCTTCGATTTCATGCTTTTAGTTCTGTTATGTTTTGTGGGAATCGTTGCTCATTTTCCGACGAGGTAAGAGCCACGACCAGAAACCACATGAAGACAAACATGCTGATGGATAATCGGAGGGATGCGTGAAGAAATCAGAGTGATGCTCGCCTAAAGCAAGCTGCAGTACGTCAGTCAGAGGTTCGGCCGGAGCACTAAAAGCATCCACGCCAGTGAAGCTCACCGCAGACGTTCCCTAAAACACAAGCACTATGGTATTTCTATTCAACCCACGACAATTTAAACAGGTATCAACGTCGCACAACAGCGTTTACCTTGGTCTGCTCTGTGTTGACGTTCACAGCGTTTCTTATAGTGTTCGATACGTTGGTGAAATGCGGTACATGTCACCCCAATAAACTGCAAATAGGTACTTCCTCCACAGAAAAAGGCGGAGGTGTCGATGAGTTCCCTCACAGCACGCTAATGCCCTTCTGTCTTCCTCTTCTGAGGCCGCAAATCTCCGATTATGAGTCAGATGCACCAGGTGGGCGCTGCTCACTTCAGCTGCCGGCCAAATGTAGCAGAGCACACGATGTACCACCGGGGCCCGAACGGCGACGGGAAGCCAACCAACACCCCGCGGTGGCAAACTGCCCGCGAACCAGAGCTGAAAGTATTGGACTTCTGCAGAGAAGTTGACCAAAAAAATGGGTCTAGCTTCATTCTTTAGCAGAGTGAAGCCAAACAAGCTTCCGGGAGGCGGCTCCCAATGGTGTTGCTAATCCTCGCTGCACGGAAAAACTGAGAAAAGACACACCTGTTAGCGCTTCCTGAGCCAAGAGCCGACTCTGCGAGGCACCGCTCGTCCTTCTGTTGGATCAGTTCGATCGGGCCGGTGACTTGGCGACTTCATACATGACGACGATGACACTGGCGTGTTTGTCGCTCTACATCGGACTAAGCAGAATTCGTCACAGCGGGAGCAGAGCAGACACAATGCAATTGTATCGAGGTTCAGGCACTTTGGATTCAAAAGAGGCTGCTTTAGAATATTGATCCCTCATTCAACAAATTTTAAGGGTGTATAATTGATCCGAAAACTCTCTATATTTCTAAGGAGTGCCGTATCCAAGAGGTGGTCATCTTGCTTCAAAGAGCTTCCAACCCTGACGAATTGAATTGGTCCAGTCTTCACTTGGGAGTCTGTGTCTCTTCCGGATTTTTCTCCGAGGCCAAACCACTGTGCCGTATTAGCTTCCGCCCTCAGAGCGGTAGCGGCGCTCATGCTCATGCTGCAGGACGTATCTCCCCCTCCCATTGTCACTCATTGTTCTCAAGCCGAAAGCCGCCCGGCCCAGAAGAAGTCGAGGGAGTTCCACCAATTGTTTGTGAAATTTGTTGGAGCTATTAGTGGAGAACTTTGAGGGGTCCTCATTGTTTTCGCAGCGATTTTTTTAGATAGAGAATAACAGGTGCTCGAAAGCTAAACATGGGTTATTAAAAATGCAGTGCATTTGGAATCAATATCAAAGTAGAAGACTGAATGCAAGTCTACCGATTGGTGACACATTCAATGCTTTACAGAAGACAAGCTGTTATCATGGTCTATTGTTCAGTAGCTGGGGCTTAAATCCCCCCACCCATTGGTGCTCGCTGCCTGACATGTTGGCGATCAAGACATTTAAGCAGATTTCACCCCCCCCCCCCCCCGACGCTTACAATGCCCCACAGTGACAGAGAAAGAACAACCCTGGTGTCTTCTCCTCAGTTTCTGACATTTGTGAACTCAGCACGGACAAAGAGGCTCCGCCGTCTCCTTCAGACGCTTCCTTCCCTCAGCGAAGAAGAAAAGGAGGGAATCAGTGGCTGAGCTTTTGGACCTGGCCTGTAACGTCCTCTCTGCCCTGGGGGGTTATCTGTGTAACGTGTCCCACTGCCTATTGTCCCAGTGAATTTGTTGACATACAGCAAGTGGGTCATGGCTCCCAAGTACCCGGCCTATTCTCAGTTTTTGTGCTGCGGTTGACATGGCAACCATAGTGGTTGATTAAACATGCGCAGAGTAGATGGGGGTAAGAGGGGGAGGGGAGGTGGGGAGCGGGAGCTGGAAAAAAAATCCTTGCTTAGAGGGAAAGGGGGGCTACGCATTAAAAATAGGAAAGCAACGAGACATGTATTCACCGATTACTCTCAGCCCGTCGCAGACTCCCCATCCCCCACTGAGGTCTCCCTCCCTCTCTCTCTCTCTCTCTCTCTCTTCTCAGGACCGGGCTCACTGCCACCCACCCCCCATACAAAATGTATATCTGGAAACAAGGAAGTTCATAACCGCTAGCTGAATGCGCAAAAATGGAGTCTAATTAGACCTCTTGCAATATATGCGAAGACAACATTTTCCGATATTTTTATTTTGTTCATTTCCTCCACTAACACAGCATCTTATTCATTTTCTTTGTGACCATAACTGCATAAAAGTAAAGCCTATTTGCTTCAAGCAGAAAATATTCATTTCAATTAAGGAATGAGACATCGTGGGCTTAATTCCGTAGATTATTTGGATGTTAATATTATATTTTGCTGTGGGACCAGCGCTTTTATGATATCATATTTTTGTAAACATAGGTAGGCCAAAGAAGTCTAATGTGCATTGGCCTTAATTCCCCTCCAGCAGGTAAAGTGGTGAAGACGACTGTGATAGTGAGGCTTAGTGAAACAGTTTCATTACAATCACAACAAGTGTAATCTCCATTCAGAGATTGATCTTCCACAGCGTGTTAAGTTTAGAGAGTCCTTTACTGCCGCTCATACGGGACACATAATAGAAACATGCCCGACCTGGGTAAAGAACAGGTCAAATACAAATATAGACGTAAAGCGACGACTGGACTTTAAAAGTACTATAAACGAAACCAGACCGAACGATACTGAGCTCATTAGAGGCTTAAAGAGGGAAGCAAGTCCTTCGTTGTCCAAACCAAACTGCCACCAAGTCATGTTTTCTGAGGACGTCCTTCATTTAAGGATAACCTCGTCCACCGTGTGTCCACTGGGTCCGTGAGAGCGTCTCACAGTGTGTGTGTGTGTTTGCGTGTCCCTTTTGCCTGTCGGATGTGGCACTGACAGATGGACGAGACGCCGGAGGTGGGCGGGGCCCCGGTAGGGGGTCGTCCTTTCTCCTTGTATTAGGCAGAGGCCTTCTGTTGATTGGACCTCTGTGTTTGGGGTCACAGAGGCTTCGTTTTTTCTCTTTTTTAAACAGAGGCTTTCTTTGGGGGGAATTATCCAAAACCGCAGCGCCTCTTAAAATCCTGTTTCTTTGTTCAAAATGGATTAGACGAATCCTCACAGTTGCCAGATAAGTTTTATTCACTTGATTACCACTCTGTGGGGAAAGTACCCTTCATCGTCGACCCATTTAGGATCCAATACAGAACTACAGACACTCATTGGAGTGCTACTTGCAAATAATGACCTATTTTTTAAAGGTATGAGCCTTCAAAAATGTAATAACATACAAAAGAAAGCAATTTAAGTGAGCAATTACCTTCTCCGTGAAAACAATCACCTGTCAAACCAAAGTCAGTCAGGCCAAACTACAAGCAGCGCTACATCTGTGAGCAAGATCAGATCAAATAATCACTGGTCCTCATCAAGCAGCGGGTCTTTTATTTTCATCGCAGGTAACGTCGAGTTAAGCAGAAAGCATAAATAATGGATGCAAGCGGCTCGTGCTCTGCTGCACTGTGCCACTTCTAAATTATGGATCAAGCATCCAGCAGCTCTCCGAGTCACCGGCGCTCCACCGGCTCCATCCGCAGCCGGTTGATATCCATGGAGAGTTACAGGGAGGAGGACGCGCTGGTATGACAACAAAACGAAGACCAAAAGACAAAACGGTGGACCAGACTGAATCTTCCAGCGGAGACTTTGTCTCTTTTTCTGAAGTTCAACTTTTCCTTGTTCACTAGTCATTTTTGATAAGCCCAAAAACTAAATAACGAATAAAACATTGTTTCTGACGAATGCTCCCGTTATCTCCAACTCATTCCATGGAAACATCACCTCCACCACCACTTATTAAGCTGCAGCTGGTGAACTCGTGTGATACAAACCAGACCGGCCTGTTTAACTCTGGTAAACTACGTTTAAGATGCTCCTGCTGGTTTAATCCCTGAGCAGATATGTAAAAAATGCAGAGGTAATAAAACTTGATTGAGGCCACGACATAAATCATTTATACACACTGCTCATCTCCCTCCACATGAACATCTGCACCAAATGTACATGTATGTCTCAAGCAGGTCTCAAAGGATATAAAGAAAAATGACATACATTTATTCCAAATCTGCCCAACATGCAAAGTTGCGGAAACTGCTCCGCTCCCACTGGTTCAACCCCAAAGAGATGATTTTGAGATTAAATACAAACAGCTTTTTCGACACCTTTAGAAATTGTATTATGTCTTGCTGAAATTAGGCCAATCTTAAGTATTTAATCACGTAGCCACTTGTTTGTGACATCTTGGGCGTTTCCACTCACTTAAACAGGAACGGGGGGGTTGTGATTGCTCTCTCTCATCGTGTATCATCATCGCATCACTGCCCGCTGCCTGAAATCAAAGGGGCCTCAATATAATGAGATTGAAGGAAGGGGGGTTGAATCCCTTTCTGCCGAGGACACATTGAAAAAAGGGCAATTGGTACTGAGCCACATTTCACCGGCATTTTGATGAGGAGGGTTGAGATTGACTCCATCCCACTCGTCAGCAAACGGACCAAATTGCAGCATCTCCGGTGGCAGCGGGAGAGCCGGTTAAGTCACGTATGCTAGTCTGCTCTGCCTGACTCACCAACTTCTCTCACACTCCGTCCAGGCTGTGAACGGCCTCGTCCGCGCCGCGCCGCCGTACGATGTGATTCCAGCGGGACGCGGCGCTGTCTGCGGTGCTAAAGTGGCAGATGCATTTGTTATTGCAGCCATGGGACTTCTCTAAGTCCTCCTTTCTAGTGCAAGTCAAGCAGAAACAACAGTGGTGCGTTTTTAAATGTTGACAACAAATTGCATTCATCAGACTCTCATCAAAAGCACTGAATTCACAGTGAAAACTACGCTCTCCGTTGGACTTACGTTGCCTGGTTGAAGAAGCAGCAGCAGGGTTACTGTGCAGGTGGACAGACCGACAAGAAGCAAAGTGTGAATTGGTGTGATTGCACCCGCAGTGGTTGTCAGGTGGCACTGCCAGTACCCGATAGTCTAAAAGGCACCTAAGGTGTTTCCTGACACCCCCGTTCCCCTGTGTGACGGAGCAACGCCGAGGCAGCAACCACGCAGGGATGTTGTAAACAGCAAACGGGATCCACACCCCATTCCTTTGGAGAGATGCACCTACAACAAGAAAATACCACCACACCGCGCAACTGCTTCCTAATCAAATCAGCAAGAATAGCTCCACAAATAGAGACCAAAAACGACCAGAGAAGCATCTCCAACGAGCACTCCTTCATCTGAGACTTATATATTTCTGAAAACTGTAGCTGACCTGGGTGAGACGGTTGTGGCAAAACATAACATACGTATGCAGCAAACCTTTCCTGAAATAAATAGGTTATAAAAAGAGCAGGCAGGCAGAATAGACCTGCTACCGTCTGGCACTGGATTACATCAGCAAGGAGACAAATAATCTAGGCGAGATTCTGAGCTGCATCAGGCGTCTGAGGCGAGAGCAGCTACTTGGTATTCCACTCGGGAGCCTGAGCAAACAACCATCCTCCTCCTCCTCCTCCTCTTCCTCACCTCTCAGCTTCTGACTCCGATCTAAACCCGCTTTGCAAGACATCGAGAGATGCCCCATGATGGAGACGCCGTTAAAAACACCTTTGACTCCCTAAATATTTGATCAGCTCGCCACAGAGCGATTTCACTGGATCGGGATGGATGACATTAGTGCATCCGCTATGCGAGTATTGATTTGGACTGCAGACGTTAATGAGAAGGCGGCTCTGCAAAGTGGCCCGTCTTTGAATGAAGTGTTATGAGGTGATTCCCAATGGGCGGGGCTTCGTGGAAAGTGTCCCTGTGGTTAAAACACTGCATTGAACTGCCGGTTAAGTCTGGTTTTGGTCCGTGCTTCCACAGGAAATGAATCCACTCCCCTTGCGGTTACTCTGAGAGATTGCGAACTCAGAACCTCTAAACACACACACACACACACACTAATACACAAGCACAGCGGGGAGCCTCATAAATCTAAGCGATTCATACAGACACGCTGGCGTGCCCGAGTATTTACAGACTCAGCTTCTCTGTGAGCAATCTGTGCGACAGGAGATTGAAGTTGGGGGCCGATCAGCGATTAGTCACCTCAAGGGCCCCGCGGGGACAGGAAGCAACAAAGACCGGGGCTCAAAAGTCAGAATCACGATGTAAAACTACGTTTAGTGCTGAATAAAATGTCAGCATCCCGTGTGACAGAACAAACATAATGTGTGACGAGTTTTAGCTTTAATGAACAGTGTGTTTTTGTCTTTAGGATGCCTTGAATGCTGCATCAAATGCCTCGGCGGCATCCCGTACCCTTCGCTCATAGCCACCATCTTGCTGTATGCGGGCGTGGCTCTGTTCTGCGGCTGCGGACACGAGGCCCTCTCCGGCACCGTCACCATCCTGCAGAACTACTTTGAGGTGGTTCGGAGCCCCGTGGATTCACTGGACGTCTTCACCATGTGAGTAGAATAGTAGGGTGCCGTCGGATTTAAGGGTCACTTGGTTTTTTAATTAAATTGCGCACCCAGGAGAGGAAAACGCCACAGTTACACTGGATTTTGGCCCCACAACATTATGGCGTCCCACAGTTAAACCTCCAGGCAAAGACCTGTAACTCCAACAGAGTGTAACGGTGTGTTGTCATGAATGTTTTCAGTGGTTCTCTATTCGTTCTTCAGGATCGACATCATCAAGTATGTGATCTACGGCATCGCCTCGGCTTTCTTCGTCTACGGCATCCTGCTGATGGTGGAGGGCTTCTTCACCAGCGGAGCCATCAAGGACCTGTACGGAGACTTCAAGATCACCACCTGCGGACGCTGCGTCAGCGCTTGGGTACGGATAAAGTCTACGAGCGTCTCAACGGTGCAACTCGGACATCGCGTCGCGTTCACGAAATAGGCAGATCAAGTGCTCTAAAAACCGCTTTGAAAACATCTATCAAAATAATTTCATCACACTGCCACAACAATTAAAATTGAAGAAAGCTCTGAAATGGAGCATATCGGAGAGCCTAAAGCAATCCTAACAAGATTATCTCTGGGATAACGATTGCTTAGTACCTCTGAAGTTCCACAGGGAGGCAGAGGAAATGAGCCGCGCCGTGGTATTTGTGGTCGTCGGGGTCATTAGATCTGAATGTACTAATCCCGCGCCCCGTGGAAATATCCCGACCCAAAACAACACTGGTAGCTCGTGAGAAGAAGGGTCACAGCGGACCGCTGGTACCGGTGGAGACCCTCGTGTGCCTCCGCGATGCAGTGAAACCCGTTAATTGAGGACATTTAATGTGTTCTGCAGTTCATCATGCTGACGTACATCTTCATGCTGGCTTGGCTCGGAGTGACGGCCTTCACTTCCCTCCCAGTCTTCATTTATTTCAACATCTGGAATATTTGCCAAAATGCCACCGTGCTGGAGGGGGCCACGCTCTGCCTGGACCCATGCCAGTATGGTAAGGAAGGAGGTTCTGTCTCTGCACCCCCCCCACACTCGTGCTGTGCCGATCTCAATCTCATCATGTCGCACTGTGGAAATTGCTGCTATTATCTTCCTCATCTAGCAGGCTGCGTTTTAATGAGCCCACTTTTCAGAGTAAACACTGTAAGTGACCTCATTTGGAAGCGATTCACCTTTTTGCATTTCAAACATATTTGAGTGAGTTTTGCCTCTGTCCCGAACAATAACAGTGGCCTCACGTGAAGCCGGGATAAAGGACCATATCAGTCGCTTAATGCAGCTGGCTCATTGCTTTAAATGACCAAAGCCACATCTTTCAGGCCATTAGCCAGCGGCAGCCATTAATAATGCGTCCGTGTCAGCGTCCAGCTGGCAGCGTCACAACAGAAGCCTGTGTTTTAACTCAATCTACATCAAGTCTCTAGTATAATGGTCTAATTCTGCATGAATCTGTGTGCCGCTTTTCACACTTCATTGTCCCGTGCTCTTTGTCTGCATTTTGTAGCAGATTACTTTAACAGTTTTTTCGTTAACTTCAGGTATTGTGCCGATTAACCAGGCGAAAACAGTGTGTGCCGGATCAGAGAAGTTCTACAAGATGTGTGAGTCCAATGAGGTGAGTAATCAAGCAATCTTTCTAAATACTGTTGATTACATACGTTCAGAATAACGCCATTCATATAATAAAGAGTGATTCAATTTGGTATGGAAGCAGATAAAAACGACTACATTTAATGTTTTAAAAAGACACTTCAAAGCACAACGTCCTGCGTGTTTGAGATCAATTCCCCAAATGTTAAATAATAAATCAGTTTATTGTCACGAGGGATTTGGCGGAGACGTCCACGGGTGCACGAAGAGTAACGTGTGTTTTTTCCACAGCTGGACATGACCTTCCACCTGTTCATCTGCGCCCTCGCCGGAGCCGGAGCTGCAGTCATTGCAATGGTGAGGCATCAATAACACTCGCACCCGTCACTCGGTGGTCGATGCAATATCTCTAAAAAGCAACCAGAAGACCGAAGTCAACCGAAGTCAATCTTTCTCTGGTATTTTTTTAAAAGTCCAATAACTGATTTCAGTCATTTCTGCATTGAGTGGCGTTTCGTTGTTGTTGGTCCCGTGTGCGGTTCGTCTGAGAGAGACGGGCTGTGGAATGAAGGGAAGGCATTTTGGCGCAGTGAAAAAGACAGGGTTCGTCCTCCCTCCCTCCCTCACTCGGAGGCACCAGGCATGTCATGCCGTTGTCATGGAAACAGTGAGAAGAAAGACTCCGAGATTGTTGCAAACATCCCTCAGTAATTTGTGGAGGCATTTTCTGAAAGACAAAAAAGTGTTTTCATTCGGGGATGATTTTGCAATTTGGGTCAGGAATCTTTTTAGTAAATACAGTTTTTTTTAATCTATTTTTAAAGCTGGTAGCTGTGAAAAAAACACAGACGGATCCCAATAACGAGCCAACCCCCGAAGCAGCCTGAAAGCCGCAGAAAAATCTACATATTCTTCAAGATGCAGTGTTCAAATCTAGTCGGCTAATTGGTCTGTCTGCTGGGCAGGAACAAAGAGCGCGCAGCTGTGAAACTGTCAGTGCTTGTGATACAACCTCGGTCATTAAAGCACAATACATTCATTATATTCTCAGCTGCTATGGTAACGCAAGGCCAAGAAAAGCATCTTGCATTGTGCTGCCACCTGCTGGGTCATTGGGGAGCGCCTTGAGAAGACTTACTTTTTAATTTAAAATTAAAGTAGTCTAAATTCTTCATTTGCAATCACCAAAAGATAATAGGTGAATAATAATATCTACGTTAGGAAGTTGGAACACAAAGCATGGAGTTCTGATTATTATTATTATCGTCACACGATCATTTCCTTCGACCCACAGATCCACTACCTGATGGTGCTGTCTGCCAACTGGGCCTACGTGAAGGACGCCTGCCGGATGCAGAAGTACGAGGACATCAAGTCGAAGGAGGAGCAGGAGCTTCACGACATCCACTCCACCCGCTCCAAGGAGCGCCTCAACGCCTACACATAGAGCCCAGCGGGAGGCCTGGCCGCGCCACTCCGGCCTCTCTCCCTCTCTCTCTTCTTCTGTCTTTCTATCTGTCTCTCTCTACCATCCCCTCCCGAGGGGGGGCGGATGGCGCCTATGGGCCCTCGCCACCGCTGATGTCACTGGTGCGTCATATGACAATGTGATCTGGGGGGGAGGGGGGATGTCACACAAACCTCCTCAGTCACAAACAGCATTTCAGATGAAAAAAAAAGCCCCTTTACCTCTCTCATGGATGGTGTTATCATTATCATTATGGCAGTTTCATTGATCTTGATACAAGTTGTTTAGTGCTGATAGTAGTTCTATTGTAGTTTGTAGAATCAGAAGTAGCAGTAGTATTTCACGTTCTTTTTTTTAAACCTTTTTTTTGCGTATAGTATGTTTTATTTTTCCTTTTTGTTTTTGTTTTTTATTTAATGCCACGTGTAATTTTCCTCTCATGCATAATATATTTTTGCTGATTTCTGAGGGGGACAACAGGGGCTTAAAAGGGTTTTCAAGCACATGTATCGTGTCGTGTGTCTGGAGATTTCGTGTTCAATGTGAACGAGTGGTTAGTTTTGAAAATAGTTCAAACTTCACAACGCGGCCGCGAGGCATCGTAAGCCTTCGACACACCATTATTCCCAGGGATCAAACGTGCTTTCACATGAAAGTAATTAAATTCGCTTTTCTATTTAAAGTTATACAAAATCAGAGTAAAACAAATATTTGCTGGATGTGCCAAACCTGTTAAACAGGAAACAATGACTCTGATAGACATCAAAGATGCAATTGGTCAATTAAAGATAAATCATCTGGTGTTATATGATAATCTTGCCTATTTATTGTATTGTAGGACTGTGAATGATTCCATGGTCTTTGAATCACGAGCCACAAAAGCACACGCAAACACACCTTCATAACCCCCTTTGTTAATTTCTTAAAAATGGATCTTTATGAAACAACAGTTTCTGCAGAACTCTGTAAATATGAAAGCATACTTATATGTTAAGCACCGACATTTAAGGACAGTTCACGTGAGAATAAGAAGAGGTCACTGTGGGTCCGTCCGCTCTGCATCCAAATCCCGAACCGTAGAGAAACCCTGACCGCTGTCGGTGCAACGGCACCTCCTTGGTCAATCGTCACGTGTGAGAAAAGTGTGTGTCACGGTCATTTTGTTCATGACAGTAACCGTATTGCTTACACGTCCAGACGCCCGCCGGTTCATCGCCTGGCAAAATGAGTTTTTGTCGGTGTTCCTAAAAGCTAGTTTCATGCACTTATTTGACCATTTCTGTGCTCTCTCTAGATGTAAGTGCATTGGCGTTCAACTCAAAGTTGGATAACTGTACTGTTAGTAAAGACTGTGAATTTAGATGTTTTTTGTGGCATGGACATGCATTATTATAGTCTTATCGACTCAAAAGTTGCTTTGTTTCACCTTCTTCATTTTCACACTTTTGACTGTCTTGCTGGATCGACCCTTTGTTTATATGTGCAGTAATAAACCTCCCACGCTTACCGCGTTATGCTACTGATATTAGAGACTGTAGTCTTTGAGTTGTGTCTATTTAGTTTGTGATGAGCTCTCAACCATGTCTTAAAAGTGATGCTTGTACCAACATTGCTTACTCTGTAATCTGAAAAAATGCTTTCAGCTTTTTCCTCGTATTAGTCTTTTGTACTTTCACTACGAATGCTTAGTAGCAGGCTTTAAATTCAATATGTTTTGTACATTTATGTGCCAACAGCTTGAAGTGGCTTATTTGACCTGTATGATCAAATTTGCTTGCATTAATACAATTCACTTGTGTACTTGTTAATAAATACTTTTTAGTGTCTTCAGTCCATTTGGTTTCACGTAGCTTTGTCCAATATTGTCCTGCAGGTTTAGATTGTTGAGTTAATAAAATAATGAATGCTCGTCAACCAGAGATACTCTCAGTACAACCTTTTACCACCAGGAGTCTCCCTTTGGTCTTAATGCTTCTAAAGAAAGAGTTTCACAGTTTCACTCTTGCACAACTGTATGAGTAAGATAATAACGCACTCTGAGGTACTTTAAAATTATTTACTATTCAACAATTGACCCAATCTAGATTATCACAATTTGAGTTTGTGCACAAATAGTGAGAAACATATGCTGACACAGTTGCAATGCTTTCATTTCAATTTCTAATAAAAGTGAGGTAGACCGTACTCTTAAAAAACTATAGGCACATTCAAGCCAACGCATTCAAAAAGTAGGGAAGTGAATGCTGTCCGGGCTTGTGTTAAACACACGTGTGTGAAAAAGGAGGAAAGTGATCCAAAATTGTAGCTCCGTCATCGTCAGACAGGTGGAGTCCGGTAATAAATCCCTTCCAGATTACACTTTGCACCCGAGTGCCAGACAGAACACACTCACATACCTGACATAAGGCCTCCAGCTGCATAATACATTTAGATTTTAGAAAGGTCTAGAGTCAAGTGAGGAAAAAAAGGTCAAAGCTGTACATAGTGTTCTATTAAAAGTTTTCCGATGGGTCTTAAAAGGGATGGGACATATTTAAGGGAAGAAAGATTTGCGAGTTATATCTAAATAAGCAATGGTGATGCCGGAAACTGAATGGCTAACGTGAGGCACGGCTGATCACCCGATGGGAAACCTCTCTGGAATTAGCCGATTAGCGACATGTCCAAAGGAGCGGTCCCGCCAAGTGTCCTTACTTGCTTGACCCTGTTCAAGCCCAAGAAATCCTGCACTAATCCACCACCCTCCCCACCCCCGAGCAGGCAATCCGACGGGTGACATGTCCTGTAATGAGATCCTCAGCCTGTTACATCCTATGGACTTTGAAATCCTTTTTCATTGTTCTCCGTTGGTTTGTTTTTTGGGGGAATAATCCTCCCTCAGGTTCTCAATGAATCCGGATGTCTTTTTTCATGGTCTTTTCTCATTGTGAGAACTGTTGGTGCGTTCGCTGACACCATGCGTCCTCTTCTCTGTGTGCAAGTATTTGTATGCTGCCTCAGTATGGCTCGTCCCTTCTGTCCCTCCCAGTGCACCTGTGTCTTCCATGGACGCACCGATGGAACAGGAACCAGGTAAATCATGCTTTGATTTTGCTTTCAGTCCAGCAATTTGTCAAATTTAAAATGGAAAGAAATGTCATGCAATTCTTTGTGTAAATTTGCACAACCTCTTTTATATTGTTCCTTTGATTACCTTGAGCCTTCCATGCATTGAATGAGCACAATATTAAGTACAGCCGGACTCAGACTGCAATGGAAAGTAAAGATGAAGCACTGACGTAGTTGTATTACCATGTTTAGTTAGGAGCTACAACCTTTTCAGCCATCAAGTTTCCATCAGTCCGTATTCACCTTTTTAATGATTTTTTTTACAAATTTGGATATGCAACAAACATAAAAACACACAAATAAATACAGAGCCTCTGTTCTTTAGCTGTGAATTGGTATCTAAAGTAGTGCAGTGTGAAGATAAAGGTGTATAGATATCATATAGGGCAGTAATAATGGGACAGGTTGTAAAGATATATATGGACAGGATATATGGTTCTTGGCATGGTGCCAATCCAGTCATCCCTGAGGAAGACCTAATGGCCGCCTGCATAATCCGTCAGATTAATGCAGAACCTCTTCCACAATGCATCCATCTCTCTGCCGTCACAAAGAACGAGGTCAGTCCTTAATACTCAATCTAACATAAAGGAGAGGAAACACCAAATAGCAGCACGCCATCCTTCATACAGATGCTTTGGTTTCTATGAAGAAATTTCCCCTCATAAAATAGACAACAATGAGAAGTTTGATTTGACAGTCGCAGAACAGGCAGAGGTTGACTCGACCCAGGATGACGTTATAAAGACGACTATATTTCAATTACCCTCAGTTAAACAATAGGCTCATCTGGCCATGGCATATGCTCAAATCATTTAAGCCCTTTTTATTATTATTCTCAGATCAGTGCTCTGCAATGATCCAGACATGTCTGACGTCCCCGTCAACGTCCCGGTGGATACAGTCAAACTCCGTATTGAGAAGACCATGGTGCGGCGAATCCCAACAGAAGCTTTTTACTACCTGGTGGACCTCCGGTATCTGTGGATTACTTACAATTCCATCAGCTCAGTGGACACTGCAAGTTTCTACAACCTCAAAGTGCTCCATGAGCTGAGGCTGGACGGGAATATGATCTCCGTCTTCCCTTGGGAGTCGCTGAAAGAGATGCCCAGGCTGAAGACACTGGATCTACACAACAACAGAATCACAAACGTTCCCAACGAGGCGATACCTTTCCTCCTCAACATCACCTACTTGGATCTGTCCAGCAACAAATTGACCACCCTGCCCTCGGATCTCATGGATATCTGGCCGCCCTTCAACGGAGCACCGATGTCTCATAATGTCTCCCAAAAAGTTGTGTTAGGTAAGGGTACAAAGGTTGGGTCCAGATTAGTTCAGGCCTCAAGAGGAAGCATTTGGTTTGATTGTAATTACCTGAGGAACTTCTTTCCATCACGTGTTCGTCCATCTAGCCGGGCTCAAACCCGTCCGGGCAGGAAGCACCACAACATAATCAAATCAGCTTATTCTAAGTAGTGGCGGAGCTCAGTGCACATTATCGAGTTATTGTCCTGATTAACTGATGAATAGTAGAGCGAGTTCCCCACCTGGCATTGGGTTCGCTCAGCACTCTCAGCCTCTTGGCTATCAGCTGATCCTGGGAGAACTTTTCACACACACACATGATTGACACTTCATTTCCAGGGGATTTTCCTGGAGAACTGTTCAAGGACTGTTCCCCAGTGGAAGATTCCCTCGCTTAGAGTAGAAGTTTGCTGCTCAAGCAGGACTCCCCCTCTTACATTTTCCAGCGATCAAATGTTTATCACAAGTTGTGATTCTCCCATTGTGAATTGACTTTTTTTTTAGTTCAGAAAAAACAAAAAAAAGTCCAGGATCAAGTGCCATAGTGGCCAATATCTAGTGTCAATTACCATCACTGCTGTAAATTCACACTATTTGCAGGATAACTTGTAGGTGCTAGACACTGGCTGAAAAAGCTTCCATATAGACTTGCCTTTGACACTCCTTGCTAACACATTATAAACGTATTGTGGAGTGAAAACCACAAGATTCATAGCAATTTGTCTAGCATGTAAATATATATCACTATTATCAAAACCATTTTGTGTTGATTGCATGTACGGAGTCTTTTCATGATTTGTTTGTTTACTGTGTGTTTTACATGCACTGAGCGGTGAGAGGGACGTCGTTAACAGGCTTCATAGGGGAGACTTACTCATCTGGGCCGAAGGAACCGGCTGTGTGGTCTGGACAAACAGGATTAGGCCATACAGAGAAAGATAGGACAGCTGCTTCAGCATTTAGAATTATAAAATGAGTATATTCCATTCTAAGGTCTACTTAATAATTTGAATTATGTATTTATTGGTGGTTGGTTATTCATTCAACCATTTAAAAATATACAACATAATATTATGATTGGATTTTTGTTTTGTAACCAAAATGTCTGGAATCGAAAGACATGGATTATGTAGACAGTGCCTTCCAGTGATTTACTGGCATATATTCCACAGCTAAAGGAAAGAATAGATTGCCAGCAACTGGAGGAAGACCAGCCAGCTAAGGTGCTTTGCTACTGTTAAGACAAACTAATCCTGTTAAAGAGCTTTAATATGAACCATTGCATTGTGTGCAGCAGTTGTTCAGAGCTATTTGCGAAGGGATGTATATATAGGTATAGAGGAAGGATTACCTGCCTGCAACATGCAACCAAATAGTACTCTCTATTCTCCAGTCCAGTGGGGATTCATTCACTTCACAGCACCAAAGTCATTGCAGCTGTTGCCTGAATCTCAATAAGACATATTTGCAACCCAATTCACTGCCATCTGCATCCTCTAATCTTTCAATTATGATCAACAAAAGGCCCATTATTCAAACAGATGCTGTTTGAAACTGCACTGATATGAAACAGCAAATTGATCTAGATTCTTCTCATCTTCTTCATCTTCAGGCCTGCAGGATAACCCCTGGTTCTGTGACTGCAAAATCTCCAAGCTGATCGAGCTCTCCAAAATGTCGGGCACACCTGTGGTTTTGATGGACCAGTTCATGGTCTGCAGTGCACCGGAGAATCTCTCCGGCGTACTTTTTCAGCGTGCTGAACTTGACAATTGTGTGAAGCCATCAGTCATGACTTCGGCTACCAAGATCACGTCTCCTTTAGGCAGCAATGTCCTCTTGCGCTGTGATGCCGCGGGGTTTCCAACACCAACTCTTTATTGGGATAAATCCGATGGCTCTCTGGTCAACAACACAGGTACAACATGCAGGCTTATTAAAGTATAAGCATGTGAGAAACCAAACAATGCTCTTTTCAGATTTATTTGTGTATTGTTACCTTTAGTAAAGATACATTGTGGGTCGATTGTCATTTGTTTCTCGTTCACTTTTGCGTTCTTGTTCCCACCGACAGTCCAGGAGTCACCTGGAGATGGCGTCAGATGGTCCATCATGAGCTTGCATGGAATATTACATAAAGACGCCGGAAACTACAGTTGCAAAGCAAAGAATGTTGCTGGAAACGCAGAAGCCGCCATTTCCATCTCGGTCGCGGGTGCCCTAAGCACCACCATCCTTCCACTGCGGCCCACCGTCGAGCCCGGATCGACCAGCCAAGGCCCGACGTTCACTCCCTCAACAGACACCTCCAACTCGCTCGTCACCACCTCGACAGTTCTCCCAAAAACGTCAACAGCTGTGGTCACCAAGAAGCCCAAAACCACAACCAGCACCAGTCTACAGAAAGGCCCGTTGAAACAAGCAAAAGCCCAGCAAGGAGCCGGTGGGAGAAAGCTCGCAGCAGATGAAAAGAGCAAGAAAGGCGACGCATCAAAGTCCGTCAAAGACCTTAAGATTGTGGAGGAAACCGTTGACACTGCAGTGTTGCTGTGGAGAGCAGATGGGTTACCGAATGATGCCGCACTGACGGTGGTGTACTCTCCCTATGATGAGGATGACAGCAAAAGGACGATGGAGACTAATGCTGGCAGTGGAAAAGTGCTCCTGGAGGGGCTTTCATCTGGGATAAGGTACTCAGTTTGCCTCGTTGCAAAAGGTGGTGCTGCGGGAAAAGATCCCTGCGTTGACTTCTACACGTTGGACAATGTACAGGATGGCGGGCAGAGCCGGCTTTTCAATATCGTAAGCGGCATTGCTTGTGCTTTGGTTTTGTCTCTCATTGCGCTGTTGCTCTATAAGATTATCCACCTGTACTGCAAGGGAAGCGGCACAGCTCTAGACGAAGAGGAGCTTGAAAAAGACAGCTATGTCAAGTTTGAGACGATTTCAATGAAGCAAAGGACGTTGAACTCTCATCCAACTGAGTTTTGGGTGAGAAGAGCAACTACTGAATCAGAGCGAATGCTCCTGTGCTCCAGGTCAAGTATTGACTCTCAGATGACCTATAAGAGTGACAGTTCCCGCTGTGAGTATCTCTGCTGACGCCAGGAATCCATGGCCACTGGCCAAACACCATGCTAGTAAGTCGTTTTAATACATACATATGCCTTTAAGACACCCTCAAGTACCCCAATGGCACCCAAGGCGGGTAATATATTATTGCGTGTCGGCTACAACGTCAACTTTTCTGTTTGAAAATGCTCCAAACACAACTGCAACAAGCCCTGAAAGAGTTACAAAATATCCTCTGCAAATTTGAACGTGTTAATCGGCCAATCACAGCCTGAAATCGAGATTTCACCCCATGACGTGAGGCCTGTACCAAAGCCTCTCTGGTTGTTCTGCTTCACTCTATCAAAGTAAAACCTTCCACAAATACTGTCCACACATTGTGCTATGACTTAGATGAGTTACAAGCCTGGTATCTCCATGTCTTATAGGAATGGATACCCTGTAAGTGATTTTATTTATTTTTTTATTCAGGCAACTCTGGATTTTTTTTTCTGTGTGCCATCTTCATGTATTTCTTAACCAGTGACATGTATACTGATATTTTTCCAGATAGAAAAATAGTTCCAGAGAAATAACCCTTTTGCATCAGTTTTTAGCCCCAAAACAGCCTCTGGGTTTATGAAATAATTCATACATCTTTATTCAAATCTATGTGTTTCACACAGTGGGGCTGTGAAGAAATCATTTTCTGTATTAAACAGCATTTTCCATCAACTATTGATCTGTAGTCAATATAGAATTCGGTCAGTCCAAAAGACATTCCCTTATTTATTACGGAGCCTTATATTTGATTAGGATGCATTGGATGCTTGTCACTACAGAACTGCATGCATGTTGGACTTGTTTAACATTTTAAAAGTACAAACAGTCTGTCACAGCTGTGTGTGGCCTTTTATGCTGTACTCTATGCCAAAGTTTAAGTGTCAGATAGGATATCATGTGGTGTTTTCAAAGAAGGCCGATTATCCATTTCCCCCCACGTCTACAACAATGCTGTTACTTTAGGAAATCAAGCTGATTGTTGCCTTAATGGACCAAAAGGATATTCCGTGTGTTTTATAGGATATGTGTTTTGTGTGATAAACATTGCCAGTTTCTATGACTTTATGTAAACATTTGTCTATGAATGATGTTGTGGTTTTGTTTTGAATAAAGTGAACAAAAATGGTTAAATTATTCGTGTGTTGTGGTATCTGTGTTGTAGACAGGTGCACTCTTGCTTAAAACGGAGCCTTCTTTTGACACATTTTGGTAATTAAAATTTGTATAAAAATGTCAAGATCACCACCACTGTCACGGTATGGTTCACTTCCTGTTGTATTTTGTAGTTTTCTGCCACTCGTGTCCCCGGGTAACTTCACTTCCTGCCTTGTCCCGTCATCCCCTGTGATCATCTAATAGTTTCCACCTGTGTCCAATCACCTGCACCTCCCTTGTGTATTTAAGCCGTGTGTCTCTTGTGTCACTTGTTGCGTCATTGTCTATTGTCGTGGATGTACGTAGTTTCTTGCCTGCTGGTTTTCCCCCCGGTTCCTGTGTTTTTGGCCTTTTGACTATCAAAGTCTTTTGTTTTCCTGAGAAGTCTGCATTTGAGTCCTGCCTCCCCCACGCATCCCTGACAACCAGGAACATCCTCCCTTTCTTGCAACATAGAATTTTAGATCTTTGTTACTTTGCATTTCGCATTACTGTGATAATCTTTTACAGTTTTACTTCAACAATACAAGGCATTTTCTCATGTTATCCTCATCATAAAGTACATGACTGCACAATCTATGCCCATGCGTATGATGCTGTAAGAAACACACATATGGAAAAAAAGAAGGGCTGAAAAGTCATAATTTGGTAAAAGTGATCACGGAACAATTATGACTCAAAAACAATACTTTATACCTTATTCTTCACACGTCTTAGTTATGAGAACACGTGTTCATCCTGATAATCAACATACTAGGTCGATGTGGAAAACCGTTTCCATGGATACGTCTGTGCTACCAGCTATATGAGCATGTATTTCTTACTAAACTCTAACAACAGCAGTGTTGTTGTCATCGCAACAACCGGGCTGTTTGACAAACAGAGTGAATGGAGGCCAGACGAGGGCTGTTAATGAAAGATAACCAATGAATGAAAAGACAGACAGACGAAGAGACAGATTAAAGAGACAGTTTTCCGTTGGAAAACACAACGGAATTAACTTCTTACGGAAAGGGTAGGGCCTTATAGCAGAGGACGGACTGACTGTCTTTTAACAGGTAGGTAACTCGATAGCTAGGTGCAAATGTAAATAATTAGATAGGTAGGTAGGAACACATATGTAGGTAATTAGGTATGTGGGTAGTTACATATTAAGGTAAGGTAAGTGAGTAGGTAGATAAATATATAAATGGATAGATGGATCGCGTGATGGATGGAGAGGTAGACAGTTGTCAGAGGCACAAGGTCTATGAGAGAAAGGGTATGATATTCACTTGGGATCTCTTTCCATTTGGCACGAGGGGAAATCAGCTGTGGCTTTGGAGGGACTGAACCCTTTTTTCGGGTGTCCAGATTCAAGATCAGCAATCGGTATTTGATTACAGATCAAGGATAAGATATCACATTTCTGGGATTGAGAGATAATTGAGAGATAATCGAGTCGGATGCTGTCAGTGTGATGCTGATGTGACACAATGAGCTCATCCTCTTTAAGCCACAAAAGCATCGCAGCTCGAGAAGTGCAGTCAAACGTAAAGCTCCCAATCCAGAGCTACTCAGCCATTCAAGTTACTACAACATTATGCTGGACGCCAGAACGGGTTTGTAAAGTATATTGACCTTATTTCTGTTGATAGGAAATGGCAAAAAAACACAGTATGTTATTTGGTAGAATAAATTAGTTGAACATTTTTTAGAAGCAGAATATAGAAAACATGTAGCAGCCAAAATGAAGACATTTTCACAAGAATACTATAATACACGTTTTAAAGTATAGACCCAAGGCTTTAGGCGGCAGACCAAGTACAAAGACACAGAACGAGCATGGCATTATTCAAATTAATTCCTTTTTGTCAAGAAATCCTTGACGGTGACTCAGCCAGCTGAATTAAAGACCGGAACACTTTCTTTCACAAAAGCAATGACCTGAGGTGGTGTTTAATAGGACAGCAGCATCTCTCGATACCTGATGACTCAAACCCACGTGTGATTGTCATTCAGCACTCGGCCACCTGGAGGAGAGTTATGGACGTTTACATCTTCCTCTGTATCAGGGGTGAAATTGTGGGAAAAGGTCAATGTCCCTCAGACGAGTATAGTCTGGAGACAAGGCCACTTTCCCAGCCACGTACGACTGCCCCTCTACGAGGTTAGTGGTGACGCTGTTGCTGACAATATGCCAGTCATGGAGCGTATGAATAGAGGTTTTGGTTCCTGGCGTCTGTCAGTTGTTCTCTTGGGTAAAAAGAGGACAAACAATTTATGGATAATCGGCTCCACTCCTCCTTCGTTCTCTATAAATTACTCACCGATTCCCCCCGGGAGCCTTCAGCAGCAGACAGTCTGACACGCGGACCTCTCATTCACACAAAAGGCCACAAAACAGTGCGTCTATTGTGTGCGTCGTGTGCAACTTACTCATGTATTTGATGAATGCCGTTATACTAAACAGTAAAACAGGCTAAAGGTCAATTTATTTCTCCAAATGAATTAATACATTAATATTTCAGGGTTGTGGTTAAGCTAATAGCCTCAAATGCAATGTTCATCTCAAACTATCTCTCTCCCAGTCCCAAAAACTCACGCATCCACATTGAGAAAGGACATGGGTGGAGGGGGCACGGGGGGGGGGGGGGGGTAGGTGATGTATATGTGGGACCTTTCTTCAGCCCTCTCATTTCTTGCATAACCCACAATCAGCTCGAGACGCTCACTGCAGGTTAAAGAACTTCTTGCTCCAATGCTGCACTAGCATGTGCAACATTTACCACGGGGGTGTCAGGAATTTCAATCTTTGCTTCCAAAACAGGCTGGCAGACTGGGGGCCGAACTGGGGAGGGAGGAGGATCCCCACACAGCAGGGGGTTTTTGGCCAAACACTGCACCGGCAGTAGTACACTCTTCCCTCTGAGTCCCCCGATCTCCTCAGCGCAACATCTCTTGTCATGTGAAGCTGTGTTGTCTCTTTAAGTTGAAGTCCTGGACAAGAATGCCAACGGTCCATAAACAAATGTTGCTTCATTTTGGGGAATTCTTGTGTGCCAGTGCTAAGAGCGGGAATGCCTGAGAAAGAGTAAACGAGTGCAGCTCCTGAGACGAGGACGGCGTGGAGGATTATGTTGGCTGTGACGATCACAGCAGCGCTGATCTATTTGGCGGTGCAGCGCTCGGGAGCCGCGGCCCTCGGCACGGCGTGCTGGGGTGAACGTCTATCGCGAGCGGGGAGGAACAGCAGCTGCGTGGGTGAGTTTGCTTCCTGTGCTTGTCAGGGAAAGTAGTCAGGAGGACAATCCTAACCATCCAGGCGGTGTCTTCTGAGTACTTCTGATGAAATTGTTAAATAGTATGACAGCGCGGGGAGCCACGGAACAGGGACTAATTTCACTAATTTCAGGCACGAATAAATAGTAAAACTTGATTATTTATGTAATGTATAGAGCCACACTGCACAGAGTCTTTTTGCGCAGGTTGAATAATTTCCTTGATGGAAGATTACCTCTCTATGTTTATATACACATGACAGACTTCATAGAGTAAACTATCTACTTTATAGCTACTGTTGGTCGGTCTCAGGCTGGTTTTCAGGGACATCGGCTGGATCGATGGAGATTGCTGATGTCTATTATCTTGTACCTTTAATTACTATTGTTCCAGAGAGTTTATTGTTGTGTTTTATAATGAATCTCAATCCTGTGACACTCTTCTGTGTCCCCCACGACAAGCTCAAAGGTCATGGTCAGTAACGGGTTATCTTCCTTTGAGTTGTTTTAGTTTCTTCTCCACTCAGTTGTTCATCCACAAGGAGGTTGGAGAATAGAGCCCCATGTAAAAGGCCTCTGATAAGGTACATTTGAACAGTTCAATTTTTGAAAATAAAATACGTGGCTAAAATATCGAAAACGTCTATCTGAACAAAAACACCTTTTGGTCCAATTGAAAAGCTGTCCTACTCAAACCAAGACACCTTAAAGGTTATACAAGAAATTACAGTCCAGTTACTGCACGCTGTATTCAATAAAAGGACTCTATACGTATCCAGTTCTAGAAACTAAGATTAAATATATACATATCTAGATATACATATGAATATGTATATATATATATATATACACACATGGATAAACAGTATATAGGTTGGTTGAAACCTCTAGCAAATATAGTCAAACCCAACGAGGATAAGGATATTTTGATGAGCCCGATGAGCAGGTTTAGCTTCCAAAATGGCCAATCAAACTCCCCAAATGAATGTATCCACAATGTAAAACAGGAAATCAACATTTCTGTGTGGTCTTAACGCTCTCTTTCGTGTCTTGTTTCAAAAATAGGTTTCTTAAAAGCTCGGTCAAGAATCACGCTGACCACCATGTGAACTTGTCAATTAATGATTCATCTGGACGGCTCCTAGCAACGCACCAGTAGCCGTCCGTCCATGCTGTTTGTCTGGTGTTTCTCCTTGTTTTCTTCATTCCACCGAGTTAAGAGTGGTATCCATGGTTGCGCATGGCAGCCGCCATTGCCACGATAGACCAGTGAACTTTTCATCGATAGTCACACAGACAGTCATCACAGATCTGGCCTTGCGTCATAGTTGGTCAAAGCTTAATGGGCCCTGGAGCAAACTTAGTCTCCACATCGAGTAATTCAACTCAGTGGTATCGGCAACATTCGTACTTTGGCCGGAATCAAAAGATGGAGTAGAGTGACAATGTTCCCAGGGAGAAAGTTTGTTATCCAAAGCAAAGAGTCTTCCTTCAACTTCATCTCATGACAGCCTTGAAGAGGATTTGTAATGAGAGCATTTGACAAATTTAAGCACAGCGAAACAAGGACTCATCGAAGATTTGGCGGTTGTATAAATTATAGTTTTATATTGTGGCTTTATCTTGATACAGGATGCAACACAACCAGGGAAGGTATATACGAAGTGGGGTCAGTCACAGCCGTCACACGTTGGTTTGTAGACGGCAGCTTTGAAGCCTTGAGGCTTCAGACTTTGGTCTTTGGTTTTTGGCCATCGGCATCTTGAAGTGGCACGAGCGGGTGGAGCAGAAGTAGGAGTTTTTTAGGCAACCAAGGCGGTTACAATGAACTAAAAACACACCTTCAAAGGGTTAAAGTCCAAACACGAAAAAACAAACTGTACACCATGGTAGCAAACCATTGAAAGAAAAAAAGGTAGCCACATCCTAGATGATATCCTACTTTATTTTCTATTTCACTCTAATTGGGCCCATCAATTATTAAATGAACATAATGCTGATGAACAATTAATACCAACAACTAACTTTTATTGAATGCAACAGAGCAGATTTGATTCATATTTAAAAAGTATAAATACCTTTGTCTACCACAGCGAGGCCTTGGAATAACAGGTAATTTGTGTAATTTGTGTATTAGGGCCTTAAGAATGGAATTCCTAATATTGAATGACGTACGTTCTCTTTTGTCAAGCCTCACAGCCATTCCTGATATTTGGCCATGGGAAAGCTATTCATCGGATGGATCTCGGTGGGAAGAACCAGAGGAGGCTCGTGGCTGGAGTGGGAAGCTCGATCCTGCTCGACTTCCATTTGAGAGAGGAGACAGTTTACTGGGCCGACAAACACACAGGGGTCATCCACAAGGCATCAGTGAGAGGAGCAAACAGACAGGTGATTATGTGACTACCCTGAAGTCGCTTGGCTTGGATTTAGTCCTCCAACATATCAGTAGAGTGGTTAAGGAACAATTAAGAAGACTAATGATGAGGGTGCCAAATATCAAATCTTATACTTGTTTTTCTAAACATTCAACGATGATGCTTTCGTCTTTGGTTTGATTAGGTACTTTTTCTTTTCCAGAAACTGTACTCATCTGACAAACATATCTCGGGCCTTGCAGTGGACTGGGTTTGGAACCATGTATATTGGACAAGTGGGGAAAAGGGAAAAATCAAGAAAATGGATATAAATGGGAAAAACGAAAAAACTCTTTTGAGGCACTTGAGCCAACCAAATTCTATAAACGTTGATCCCAACAACAGGTAACGCACGTTGCATCACACTTTTCACTTTCTGATGATGGACCTCCATTCTCATCCAGGCAGATGAACAGCAGAAAACATCCACATATATTCTACCAAACAATCATCATTGTATATTTCATGTTGTCACGTTGTAATTGCTGTAAAAACTAGCTTTCCATTTCCAGGGCTTGTACAGCGAATAGCCCCATTTTCTATTTTACTGTATGTAATTTTAGGTATATTTCCTGGGAGGATATGCAGAGTTGTATTAACATTTCGTATAATTCTCCAAAATATTTGGAGAAATCGTTTCAAAGTCGTCCCTCAGTTCAAATATTTTGCAGGTTTCTTTTTTGGCTGTCTGGCGGGATGAGCCCAAGTATCCAGCGGTCTGATGTGACAGGACAAATGAAAACAACACTGATTAAGATAGCAGAGCACCTGGGCGCCCTGTCAATTGACCGAGAGGACAAAAGACTGTTCTGGGTTCAGTTTGGTCCACAGGGAGAAAGTGCCATTGCCTCTTGTGATTACGACGGCAACGGCCTGCACATTATTGATCATCCCCTTTGGTGAGCATACTGTTGTAGTCCTGTTATTGTTTATCATTTTATATTTGTTAGCAAACCGAGATGAAATGCTTCTGTTTTTCAGGTCTCAGTCACTGGCGGTATCAGTTTTTCTGGAGCACTTGTACTACACCGATGCGTCGTCTCGGGTGATAAAACGAGTGAACAAGTTCGCTGGTGGAAAGCCGCTGGATGTTAACATGAAACAAATGGCCAAACCCCCAGTTAGCCTCAAGGTGGTGCATCCCCTCAACCAGCCAATGGCAGACTCCCAATCATCTCCTCCAGGTTACAGCTGAACTTTGACATTTAACGTGCTCTGTAGGCGCTAGTCATTTTTACTCTAGACAATAATACTTGAGTGTGTATTATCAATGATCCCTTCAAACAGGTTGTGACGAAAAGAGTGGAAATTGCGTGAATGTGTGTTCCAGTCTAGCCGAGCAAGGGACGTGCCAGTGCACTGAAGGCTTTGCTCTCAGTATGCAAGGCTCTTATTGTGAAGGTTGGTATCCGTCTCATAAAATCAATGAAATTGCATCAAGAATAAATATGTTATCCAGTGAGTATGGACACAAACACTGTCCACCACCTAAGCTGAACTCTGTCCTCACGTGTAGATAAACTATGTGCATGGATCTAAATGACACAAATTACACGTTACATCAGTATATTTGTCTGTTTGTGGCGTAGATGTGAACGAATGTGCACACTGGAACCACGGCTGCTCTCTTGGTTGTGAAAACATCCCAGGCTCCTATTTCTGTACCTGCCCAACAGGATATGCGCTCCTACCGGACAGGAAGACATGTGGAGGTATGGTGGAAATATTTGTATTATTGTTGTTAGGTTACCTGATTTCCATCTGACCTCCCAAGCAAGGATGAGGAAAATTATGTGTTTTTTTCCCGAAAGTGGCAAATCTTGCGCTTTGTTTCGGTTAACAGAACAAAAGCAGCTTGGGTGTCCGATTAGAAACTTCTTTTTGTTGTGCTTTTAAAAAGGTGGCATTGGTCCTCCAGACACTACTTTGACCCCAAGAAGGCCGGGTCGTATGCTAAGCATCCTAGACTAGACACATGTGAGCTGTCAATTGTGTGTTAAGTTATTTGGGTCAAAACAGTGGCACTTTGTCAGTAAAGGTCCAGTTTGCGAAGAGAGGAAGCAGAGCTTTTATATTCGAATTAGTGAACGTTTGTCTTTTTAGGATCAGACCAATATGCCTGTTGGTGCTTCTCAGAAGGTCTATAATAAAACGTGATGATATTTTGGGTCTAAATAATCCAGATACTCCTTGTAGTTTTCTTTTTTTTCCACACCGGTCTGCATCTGGCTGTTCCTCGGAGCCATAAAGCAAGTCTGTTTTCTCCCAGCATAACAACGGATTATTTTAAGGAACAGATACCTCATCTAATCTAATCTAATGCTTTGGCACAAATATAGTTAAGTCATGTAGGAATGTGTAGAGAATCTTTATGTCAAGGATTTGGTAATAATTAGTTTTATTTGGTCTAGTTTTGTCTAGTGTAATCTGAAACCATCTGAAACCACATGATATCTATCAGCAGTTGACTTTACAAGCCATTAAAAATTAGGGCTGTCAATAGATACAAAAATTAACTAATTTATCGCACCTTTTGAAATTCATTAATCTCAATAAATGGCGATTAATGAATGTTGTTGTTTTTGCAATGTTGTTTTTAATGAATGTTTCTTTTTCTTCTATAAATAAAAGTAATGAGTAATCGCTTTAGCAGTAGTAGCCTAGCAGTTAGCTTAGCATAGCAGTGCTTTATGGGGTCCCTTTGCCACTCACCCCCTTCTGTTTGACATGTGGAGTAGCTCCTCTGCACAGTTCTCCGTTGTATGTCGCGCCTCTCTCTCCATCTTGATTTAACTGAGTGCAACTAGCGGTTGTTTCTTTTCCAACTTCTCGTCAACTTCCGGTTTACGGACGTAAACCAACGTACGTTAAAATATTTAGTTGCATTAATTCGGCCACATTAATCGCATAGATTAACTCGTTTATGTTGACAGCCCCATTATAAACACACAGACAATATGTTCTTCTCTAATTTCCCAGCTAGGACACCAGCGGAACAGTGGAGGTCCAAACACACAATGGGATTAAATGACGAGGTGACATTTGAAAAGGGAACATATCTGGTCAGCAGCTTTGTGGGCTCTAAGCCGTTTAGCAGACAACCTTTGTCAAGGACCAGATGAACACAAATACAGAGCCAAGGGGCAGACCTGACAATAGAGTCAACAACAGAGATCACGTGGCGGATTATTTTGCTGCGCTGCTTACGTGTCTTATTTTTGATTCAAGACAAGCTTCAGAGAGAAATGTGTTAAAAACAGCAATTTTCTGTTAATTTTGAGTATTATATCTTTCAGTTTTTTTGCTTTTCATCTATAGAACAGTTCCTCCTGCAGGTTTGCTTTAAATGTACACGGTGTTCAAAAACGTACCTGAAAACCAGTCAGCGGCGGAGCAACAGATGTAACTATTTCACATCAAATTCACATCTGTGCAGCCCGCCTCTGTATCCATGGCCATCACAGGCCCAGGAGATGCCACGCTCATGTGAGCTAACATCACATCGTTCTTGCTCTTCGGGCTTTGGATGCATTCTCCTCACACATTCACCTCTTTTTATACGGTCAGGACGGACTTTGTGAAGGGATTTCACCAAGAAGCTTGTTTGCAACCTGCTGTGAGCCTTCCAAAAAACCTGGAAAGTTCTTGAACAAATAAGATCTCTTTATATGAAACAGAAAACGATTTAACTTCTGTTAACCGTGTTGTCGGGATCTTAAGTCATTATTGCTTTCCTTTCCACAATCAGAAATCACACCGTGTGAAGGCAATATGACCAAGAAGTGTGGTGACGGATGTCTGACAGCAGACGGGGGGGCTGTCTGTGTGTGTCCTGAAGGATCTTCACTGCAGGAGGATGGGCAAGCCTGTACTGGTAAGGACTATATTACAGTTTACCAGCTGCTTATTCTCAAAATAAAATTAACTTAGTATTCAGGATTTAATGTAACTGGAAAAACTGGGAATGACGTACTAGTGCGATATTTCAGATTTTCATTTTGTTAAATTGATATTAATATCTAAATGTAATATTGGTAAGAGTTGAATCAAAACCATAAAACATAATAAGTGAGATGGATGTTAAGATGCATATTTAACACTTCCTGCAACCAGGGGAAACGCTGTAAACAAGAGTGACCTCTGTCAATAGACTTTAATCCTCAGTTTTATAACACCTCTCTCAACAGACTAAGAATTTAGTAACACCACGAGAGAGTAGAGTGGGAAAGAGACGGCGACCTTCACCACATGCTAACATTGTCTTACCAGTAATGTCTTCAGAAAAATGGGCCTCTGTGCATGTGTAACACACTGTCGCCCTTGCAGGCTGCTTGTCTGCAGACAGGGGGGGCTGCAGCCAGCTCTGTATTCCCGTCAGCCCGACTGGGTGGCAGTGTGGTTGTCTGCCCGGCTACCTGCTGCACCGAGATGGCGAGCGCTGCGTGGCCTCCGGTGAGTCACGCTGAACCCTCGTGTACGTCACTCGCTGCCTTTAACTTCTGCTGCAGAACATCTAGTTGTACAATGATGTTATGGCTGTTCTCCAGGACCTCCACCGTATCTGCTGGTCGCCAATCTAGTGGATGTACGTCAAATCCACCCTGGAGGCGCCGGGGATGGAACCCTGGTGGAGGATCCAAGAGGAGCTATCATCGCTTTGGACTACGACCCCGTCCAGAAAAGTGTAAGCTGGGAACTCCTCAGTTCCTCAGAACTCCTTGTGGTACCACACTGGTGTCACAAGTCCTCGACGTTGTTGTGAAGACAACCAGGGACATCTAGTGGACAGACACTGTAGTTGGACTGTTGTACTTTATGGTTGCAATGTCTGGAATGCCTTTGAATCTCTTTGAATCTATTTTCTATCTTTCTCTTTTGAAGGTGTACTTTGCGAGCGTCGGCCAGAAGAGAATTGAGCGGGTGGATCTGAACGGCGGGTCCCGAGACGTCCTCGTCTCCGACGGTTTGGACTCACCAGAGGGTCTTGCGATTGACTGGATCCACCGCAGGATGTACTGGACGGATAAAGGGTGAGGGATGTTAGCGCACAGTAAAAATCATGAAAAGATTATTTCATTAAGTGCTAAAAGTTGTGTGTTTTTTAATGGTTGTTGTCTATTAAACAAATCCATGGGGACAATTTAATGACATTTAAGAGTGTTTTTTTAATAGCTTATTAAAGGAACATTTGTATTGTTTAACATTGTTGAACTTGATATGCTTTTTGTCTTCACTTTGACACCTTTGTCCTGCAGCCAGTCGACCGTCGACTGCAGCACCTTAAACGGGCAAAACAGAGAAACCCTCGTAAGCGAAGGGCTGGACAAACCGAGAGGAATTGCAGTTCATCCTTTGGCAAAGTGAGTGAGATAGTTTCACAGTTTAAAACGTCTCGAGGGATTTCTTGTGGAGTTAATCCGTCCCCCGGTGGCTCATTCACATTGCTCTCTGGACCTTTTGAGGAGGTTGTTCTGGACTGACATCGGGGCTCATCCTGTCGTGGAGAGTGCCTCTTTGGAGGGGGAAGGCCGCGCCGTCGTTGCCAGAACCCACCTCGTGTCGCCGAGCGGCCTGACCATCGATTTCACCGAGGACCGCCTGTTCTGGTGCGACCAGAGGAGGGGCCTGGTGGAGACCGCCGCCCTGGATGGTTCGGACCGACGGGTCCTGTTAGAGAACCAAGTAGGTGAGGCTTGTACGAACATGTGACATGTGACATGATCTGGGTTCTACGTGAGTCCGCCAAGTCCTTCCTTAACTAGTGTCCCTGTAATCACAGCCGTCCCTCAGCTTACATGAACACGAGATACACAATCATTTCCCCCCAGAAGCACTCGGTGAACTTCTTCCCCTCTATTCGGATTCCTCCAGGTCGACCTTTTGACCTTGCGGTGTTTGAGGACAGGTTGTGGATAACGTATCAGAAGCCCAAGCAGCTGAGGAGCGTGCACAAGCGGACTGGGAGGAAGCTGCAACGTATCCACGGCAACATGGTCCAACCGGCATCCGTTGTGGTGGTTCATCCTCTCGCTAAACCCGGTACAGAAATGATACACTGAGGTTTTAAAACAGATGATCACATGATCAGAACATCCGGCTGTCTCCTCTGTCTTTCTTCCACCTGTCAGCGTTTACTAAGCTAAGCGAAAAACCTTGAACAAACCTTTCATGTGCATTCAGCGTGGAGGGCTGCTCTCTGAAATGAATATTTAAAGCATTTGAGATTTGTTGGCTGGCAGAAACAAAACATCCTCAAAATGAATGATTGAGATTCAGATTGTGCTTTTGCATGTAAATGTTCAGGGGCGGACGTTTGCCTTCACCTGAACGGAGGTTGTGCCCAGGTGTGTGAAAGCGAACTGGGATTGGCCCGATGCTCGTGTCTCCCACGCTACGTCCTGTCGCCCGACGGAAGGAGCTGCTCGCCCGGCTCAGCAGGTGAATCATTTTCGGCCATCTTACTTAGAGCTTGTGAGCTATGAAGTAAAACCAACTAATCGAGAATGCTTCTGAACTACGAAATGCTCGCGTAGGATCTGGAGACAGTCAAACCACCGATTCAACGTTTAATAAAAACAAAAGCCCCCCCACCGCCCCTGGGCTGTCAGCTGACGAAGCAGAGCCGGATGTGAACTCGGAGGGAGGCAGCGAGTCGGCCCCCTTCACGGACGCCATGGTGTCAGGTGACGGTGCTAATCGTTGTTGTTGTTATTGTATGTTGTTTCCGACTAAATGTTGACCGTAACGTGTGACGGTTCCTCCTCCGTCAGACCAGAACGAGTGCCACTCGCTCGGCTGTGATGCAGACGCACAGTGCCTGCTGGGGGCCGGCAGCCCCACCTGTGTGTGTCCACAGGGTTTCACAGGTGACGGACGGCTGTGTGTGGGTGAGTTTGTCTCTCCTATGAATGCGTGCATAGAGGAACATATCCCGAATAAAACTATTTTGGATTCTTTTGCATCCTTGTGGGTCGAGATTGTGGACCTTTTTCAGGGGATGGAGCAGATTTAACTTTTAGATCTAGAAAAACCACATTACACGGTGGCCGAGCTGCTCTGGGAGCAAAGGTGATCACTATAAATGCCTCATATGAAAGCCAGTAAATGTTACACATTTGCTTCTTTGTCTGTATGCAGTATTCAGGAGGTCATGTGACTTGATAGATCACCAGTGAATGAGCGCACGCCTAATCATGAATACATTGTACAGCATCATTCTTCTTTTTAGGAATGCTTAAAATATGTAAAGAATGCTCATTGGATGAGGCCTCTTCTCGTTTTGTTTCAGACATTGATGAGTGTACACAGGGAACGCACAAGTGTGACAAAAACGCACAATGCCAAAATACCTTTGGGGCGCACCTCTGCAAGTGCCGGGCTGGTTACCAAGGCAACGGGAAGACATGCCTAGGTGCGTCTCTACGAAAGGTTTTAGAGAAACTTTGGGACTCCAGCTGCTGCGTATTATTAAAAAGGAGACTGCGCCATTCGGTACATTTGTCTAATTCAACAAAATGATCTTCCCAATCCTCTAATAAGAGTCGGAGGCCACATCGCCGCGGGGGACGACCAGTCGGCCTGCTGACGTGTCCACCCGGCACCACGGTGGTAACTCGGCACAGAGCTGCCCGTCCTCCCATGAGTCCTACTGTCTGTACCAGGGCGTCTGCTTCTACTACCCGGAAATGGAGTCATACGCTTGCAAGTAAATAACCCCTGCTGATCATGCGTTTTGGAGCAGATGCCGAAGTCAACAATAGTTGGTTGCCTCCTGAAATTTGCTGTGACGGGGAGAATATTGAAGTCATCTCTGAATAGTATTTATCTTAAAGTGGCATTCCTCTCAGAAAGTATGAGAGTGCCTTCTACGACCCACGTTGCAGATTTATTAGTGTCTTTTCCCTTATTTGCGTATGTGATGCACTACCGCGCACAACCAGTAGGTGTCGCTGCTGGCCCATTATTAAAGCCATGACCTCATCACAGTGCTGTAGGAAACAGGGTTTACATGATCAATCATGTGCAGTATATAAGTAACTAGGAACAGAGAGTCTTTTACCTTTAGAGTCAGTGAGCAGGAACATTTTGTGGATGTTCTCTCAAATGATGTAAACGCAGGAGAGACATTTAAATCCCTTGATTCCAGCTGACATGTAGGTTTTTTACTTTTTTACTGTAGTGTTCAACGCTAATGCCCACCTTGATATACTTTCCATAAAGTTGACAACATGCATTTTGTTGTTCATTTCGTGATCACTGGAACCGAAAGCCTCCAAAGCCTTCGCACATGATGAGCTGTAAATAACTGTAATAAATGTCATGTTCTTTTCTCCCGCTGCAGCTGTGCTTCAGGCTACATAGGGGAGCGCTGTCAGTTCAGTGACCTGGAGTGGGGGGAGCTCCAGCAGGCTGAGGAGGAGCAGAGGAGGAACGTGGCCATCGCGGCCTGCATGATGGCCCTGGTCTCCCTGCTCTCCATCGCTGCCTGTGCCACCTACTGTTACGGGTGAGAGGAGGGGACGGGGGAGAAGTGGCAGATGAGGCATTGCGAGAGTTAAGGAAAGAAAAAGGAAAAGGGGGGAGGCAATCGGAGGAGGGAACTAGGGACCGGAGAAAAGGGACATGAGGGACAAAGTAGAAGAAAAGAAGAGTGAAGGGAGACAAAAAGAGGAAGAAAACACAAAACTAAGCCCAGAAAGGACCATTGATGGAGGACGGGCCACAGAATTATTGATGAAAAGAGGGAAAACTATTCAAACACAAATATCACGCTTAATTTACTCTTATGAATGCAAGGAATGTAAAATATTTGTGTTTTAATTTTTTAACCATTTGTTTGCTGCATCTCCTATAATACATTTGCGCAGTCTTTCTCAAAGGATATTATTATGCAAAGCTAGCCTTGTATGGACATAATAAGATACTAATGTCTCCCAAATAATTCTAATTTGAATGGGTTTACTTGAAATGGTGAATGTGGGGATCCTGTGATTGGATTAATCGGTTAAAAAGGAGCTCCAGTACATTTATATTATATTTCATATACACGTCAGATAAATTGCTCTAAATCTCCCGGAGGCATCGGGCAGCACGGACAGCCGGGGACGAGCTGACAGCATTTAGAGGTGTCTATCAAACCCAGGGGGCACGAGCCGTGTAATGCAGGTGCCTCAGCGTGACCCCGGGGGTTGGTGGAAAAAGGGGAGGGGGGGGGCAGGCAGCAGATCACATGTGGAACCGATGGCATCACGCAGCCCCGGTTAGCATAGGTAAATTACCTGTTGCGCCCCCCCTCCATTTTTTCCACCTGAGCTGTTTCTGTGCAGCTGATTTGTTTTACTGTTGTTTTGCCGGCTTATGGACGACGAGGCTGTTGGCATCTCCCCCCCCCCCCCAGTAACCCCTCCCCCGGCCCCCCATCCATCCACCTACTCCACCGCTTGCTCTCTGGCTTCCTGTGTGGAAGAGGCACGCTTTCAATTACATGCTTGGTTTAGCTTGTTCTGCAGCAATTACACATCAAAATAGGTCATTTCTCAGCCCCAGAATGGAGCCGGTGAGGTGAGACCCCCGAGGAAACGCTACATGGCCGCCAATAGAGCCAATAGCTCTGCCTCAAATTGCCTTCTGCACTCGACTGCGAGAGCACTCGAAGAGGGAAACTGAAGCACCGAACTCACACATCACAAAGTACACGGTGACATGCGCTAACAAACACAAATTGCTCCTGATGCTGCGTCTTTTTGCGGTTCTCACGTGCATGAGAATGCACTAAAGGCGCAGACGCACAGACTTTCAGGGAGTCCATTTCTAAAGATAAATTCAGCCCTTCTGGTCCACAAGTCGGTCACACATCACTTCTTCTGCAAGCGTTTTATTCAGATCCCTGTCAAACAAACCTTTTTCTTTTCCTTTTTACATTAATCAACGTGTTTTTGTTTTTCTGTGCAGTAAATTACACTGCTAACAGAGCAAATGTCAATTTAATAATTCCTGCCATGTTGAAGTTTTATATATAGTTTCAGTGCAAAGTTGTCCTCTGTGAATCCACAACCAAACATGGACTTTATACAGATTGTGAGTCAGTGAATATTAATATGCTTTCACTGTTCTCTCTGCAGGAACAGAACATTCCTCCACAAACAGCCGTCTGTGGATAATGTGAGCGAGACCAGCGTGACAGATGAGAGCATGTCGGAGCCCCCCGCTACGAGCAGGCCTCGGGTAAGACCCCCGTCACAGGACCTGTCACTTACACACACGGCTTTAGGTAAAGGAGGTGATCCACAGCATGGGGGATTAATGGGAACACATCTGTGATACAAAGTTCCATCAAATACAGGTTAAGGAGCCGGTATTGTGTAGAACGTAATGATCGCAGACGTCTAAATGAATTACTGTACAAACCTGCAGTTGGACGTGGTCTGTCCCAGGAGAGACGTCTGTCCGTCCTGCTCTTCAGAACCAGGTACCTGAGCCGGAGGTGCATCTATGCAGATATCGGCCTCCTTCCTTTTTCTACTTAGCCAAGACAAACCTCCTATTTCATGATGTTTCAATTATCTTCTGTTTTGTTTTTATTTTGCGAGGCGACAACCGAGCGACCGAAGAGTCGGGAACGTTGTCCAAACACAACGGAGGGTACGAGTGCTCCATGATGACGGCCGTTGCCGCGGAGACCGCCGTCCGCCGCTCGAGTCTGCCTCTGCCGAGCTCACATGGTTGGACGTCTTTCAAGCCTGGAGTGCTCTCCACTCCCGGCCTGCAGCCCCTCGCCTCCTAGTTCACCAGACAGACCGACACAGCTGTTACAACGCACACACACACACACACACGGGAACATCTGGCTGGTGTGCAAACTGCTGAATCGAGTTTCATTCCACGTCACAAACCTCACAAATGAAAACAAAAGTTGTCATTATTTTTTGTAACTACCCTCATCTGTAGCTGGAGGCCTCACCGGGTCATGAAAGCTTTTATAAGTTCGTCATGCGCCGAAACAAATGATTGGGTGCAAAGGAGTCGATGCCTATAAAAAAATATATATATATATTAGAATATCAACACTTCCTAAAATACAGTATTTGTGAATAAATTCTTCCCTGCATTGACATTTATCTGATGTTGTAGCTGACAATAAGATAAACTATATGTTGTGTAAAAGACATCTACTATTTCTTACCTAAGCAGCTATAGCAAAGATCTTGAAGTTAAAAGTTTTTAAAAATGAAGCAACGAAAACTGTTAAATCTGGTCATATTTTTTACAAGAAAGAAACGCTTCCATTGCTTGCTTTTGAAAAAACAAATAACTTTTAATTGGTCATATATCAGCTACGGTTGTATAGCATTTGCGCATAAATATTAGGACCTTAGTTTACTTTTTAGTCTAAATGAATATATTTTGTTTATTGCCAAAAAGCACAAATGTGCCTTCCTTGTTTCTAAAAAGATCTTAATCCTCAAATCAAATATTGTAAATGCCGTTTGTGTACTAAAGTAAAAACCGCTGTTCTGGTGACAACTGAGGTGATCTGTTAATAATCGATTAGTAAGTGATTACCAGGAGCAAAGTTAGTTTTGTTAAGAAATGTCATTCATGTGTTTTCCTATTTGTAAACTTTGTGACTAATATTCATCACCAAATTCTGAGTTCAAATCGTTTGTCTCATCTCCGTCAGCTCATGGAACAAAATGTCATGTAAACTATATTAAAACCAGCAACTGAACTGATCCAACTGAAAAGGACCGCTTGGTTTGAAGGCGTAAAATGGTAAAGTGTATTTTCAAAAACAACCCTTGCCAGAGTTTTCACTCACCCTGTATATAATTCTTTGGGGATGTAGGATTTTTAGCCCATATGTACTATAAATGGAATTATAATAGTTGAGATCAGACTTGCTTTTATTTGAAATAAAACTATATTCACACCAAACAAAATGTCCTCATTTTATTAGTCGAAACACATTTCTGACACACTTTTCTTCCTCAGAAAACCGCCTTTTCTTTGCAAAACAAACGTCTCTAATGACATTGTCTTCTTACAGTTGAAAGATTATTTTGGCCATCCACAGCCGGTCTTCTTCAAAGCTCTCGCTCCATCGCCGTTGGTTTCTTTCCTCCGGCAAATCTAACGCTCCACTGACGCTGGTGCCGATGCTTCGACCCATCGGCCCTCTTCTATCTCCGACTGCGACACTGCGTCTCAAGGTTGACTGGGGATCGTTAATAGACCCGTCGGCCTCTTTGTATCACAAAACAAAGCACTCTAACTCAAAAACCATCAGGGGCCACATCGATATTGATTTTCCCGGCGAGGCGCACTTATCTATATATTGGCCTCCATTAGAGCTAACAGACAGGTCAGGCCACCGCTCTAAAAGAGCAGCTGATCAGACTGCAGGTAAAGATGAAATTGGGCCCAGTGTCAATTTATCTCGTATTACTCCTCAATTGGGGCAACAGGGGGCAATAGAGTCACAGTCGGGGGACTGTAAGGAACAGAACGGCCTTCCAGGGGCCACCGTTTGGTATCTTCTTCTTCTATTATTATGGAACATAAACATTGCTGACAGTTGATTAGTAAGCAACTGAACCAGTCTGATCTGAAAGTCATGGATGGAAAACTGCTGATAGAAATATGGGTAAAATAATAGAAAGGCATCTGTTTTATGCAATAAATGGTTACTTAGTTACTAGCGAAAGTTACTAATAGTTACTCCAGATTTACTCCCACTCTCACTCACCTGCATCTAATAACACCTGAACAAATACCTGCTTTTCTTAGATTGCAAACTGCTTGGAGGGGGTCGCAAAACCTACCGTAAAGACGGGCATAAGGACTGATCCTGCAGGTGGTTGTACGGTCAGATGCAAGAAGACGGGCATCAGGACTGATCCTACAGATGGTTGTACGGTCAGATGCATGAAGACGGGCATCGGGACTGATCCTACAGATGGTTGTACGGTCAGATGCAAGAAGACGGGCATCAGGACTGATCCTACAGATGGTTGTACGGTCAGATGCAAGAAGACGGGCATCAGGACTGATCCTACAGATGGTTGTACAGTCAGATGCATGAAGACGGGCATCAGGACTGATCCTGCAGGTGGTTGTACAGTCAGATGCATGAAGACGGGCATCAGGACTGATCCTACAGATGGTTGTACGGTCAGATGCAAGAAGACGGGCATCAGGACTGATCCTACAGATGGTTGTACAGTCAGATGCATGAAGACGGGCATCAGGACTGATCCTGCAGGTGGTTGTACAGTCAGATGCATGAAGACGGGCATCAGGACTGCACCTACAGATGGTTGTACGGTCAGATGCATGAAGACGGGCATCACGTCTGACTTCTATAGTATGAGCTGTAAGTGAGACTTCCCTACTATGAGATAGGTGTGAGGGGTTAAATGGAGAATCACAGAGACACAGTAGAGAAGACAAAAACAAGAACTGAGAGTTACCCAAGTTAATTTGATATCGTTAAAATAATAAAGGAACGGGAGAAGATGGAAGTGTCTTTTGTCCCCAACACAGAAAGCCGTTTCGTTCCTTAGCCTCTATTAGCTATATTTGTATTTTTCTGCCAGATGGGGCTCACGCCTCCGTCCCGGGCCGGAGGACAGCTGATGAGGGCTAAAGAGGGAATTAGCGACCCACTCAAAGGCTTTGCTCTGATCCTTCAGGTCAGTACTCGGTCCCTCCAGCTCTCCAGCAGGACACAGCAACACTAGTTTGTGAGGGTTTGAAATCAAGGAGGAACGATTGGACACGGATACATGAGCCAGAGGAAGAAATGTGCCGGACCCGGGGGCTCCGGAGGGAGGTTTGTCTCCTGATGGGGGTTCGGGGAAACATTTTGAGCAGTGGTCTTGTTTACATATTTGTATTAGCCTCAAACATTTGAACGTTCATTGATGAACATTAAGATTTGGCTTCACTTGAGAGGAAGTTCAGTCAAACCTTTCTCGTCTTGAAATGACTTACGGATCAGATTTAAATTAATCTGATACGTCATCATTTAAAGTTTGTAATAAGCTCCCACTGTTTGTGGGGGGTAAAAAGATCCACGTTGTTTTAGTGGGTTACAGGGGAAGACACCCGGTGTCCTCGCTGCTCTGGTAAGACAGTGAGGACGTTGGTGTTGAGGGATAAATAAATCCATGACAGAGTTGCATAAGGAACGTTCAGGTAAAATGGGGGACGACTAGCGGGACGTCTTCGCCGTGGCTACTTTGTTCCAGCAGATGGCGAAAGTGCACAAGACAAAAACCGTCACACGTGTCCAGAGACATCTCGTCTTTTCATGTTCCAGAAAAGTGTGGTACGTTTCTAAAATGTGCTTTGAAAATTAATTAAATATGTGGAGGGTGATATTTTGCTAATTAGTCTCATATTACATACAGTATAAAGTTAATATTGCTAAGAAAACGAAGCTTTAAGCATCAATTGTGAGTAAAGCGTCGCTACGGAACTGATGATGCTTAAATAAAACTCCCGGCATTAAATCAAATAAAACGTGATGTTTTCAAAAGAGAAATTGTTAAAGAAGACGCAACATTCTTTATTATTATTCAATGATTAAGCTTTATTGCACTCTATGGGGGAAGGTCAGGTACAGTCAGGTGACACTTTTAAACACAAGGCCAGCAGCAAACGTTGTCAGTTGTTGGATTAAATCATCTCGATTACTTGTGTTTGCCGCCAGGCACTTTGATCCAGCATCGACTTTTCGTACCGAGGAGGAACCAGGAAGTGGAACCTTTGATCTGCTGAGAGCTCGATGCAGTCAGACAACTTGACCGTCCGTCATTACTGTGACAGAAGATCCACGCAATCAAAATTAAAATTAAAATACTCACCACAGGCACATGTCACATTTTCGCACTCTTTGTTCATACGTTACATTTTTTAGCAACAAATGTGTTTAACATTGATACAGTGCAAATGCACAAAAGCACAACAGACACCATTAAGAATATATCATATTTTTCAAAGTCGTTACAGCAGAATTTGCATCTTTGTTTTTGTTCTTTTCTTTTTTGCTAAAGAAATAATTTTTGTCCTCCATTTAAACCATCAGTGTTTCCTTCACTGGTAGGGACGTGAACAAGTGTGGTCGGCAACTTCTGCACGGTCATGACAAGTGGTGAAGCAGTGGTGTCATCCTGTTTCCCATCATGCCCCGGGGCAGAGCGATCCTCTGAGGCAGTCGGCGCAGCCCGCTTCAGTCTCACTCGTCACAACCGCGTAAACCGGTGCTGATGTCGAACACGTCTACTTTGTCTCGATATGCACATTGTGTTAAGAAAGATAACCTAAGACCTGAGAAGATTTTTTTTTGCTGCAATGTAAGACACAGAAGACACACCAACCAGCAGCTCTCCCAGAGCTTCCAGATTTTCAAAATAAAACTACAAAACACCGACGACAGACGCACAAAAACACATCTGACTGATGGCGCGAGTTCACGCCGACTCCATCGATCTTCATATGTACGTAAGTAAACGTGCTCGCGGCAAATGGGTGGCTTTTTTAAATTTTTTAAATGAGATTTCAGGTTATAGAAAAAATACTCCCGATGAATTCAAAACAGGATTTAAAACTTCAGATGGCTCTGATCGCGGCGGCGGCGGCTTCTCGAGGCTTTTTAGATCTGCACATTAGTAGTAACGCTCAAGCACACACACACACACCCCCCTCCACCCCCTCCCATTCCAACAACCCCCCCCACCGCCAACACTTTAGTCTCAAGTCACTGGTTCCTGCTCCTCCGTCTCACCCTCCCCTTTTCTTCATGGTCCCGCCCCCCCCCCTTCATCTACTCGCTCTTCTTGGCGGCGGCCGAGACCCTCGAATTGGACTTCGGAGCAAAGTAGGCCTCGTAGAAGAACTGGACAAAGAGCACAAAGTAGCTGAGGTACATGAGGGAGGACCACACAATGTTCTGCATGTGGGATGGGCACTCGTGGCCCTGCTGCATCCACGAGTACACCAGGTAGTTGACCACGCAGCCCATCAGCATCTGGGTGATCTGGGTCAGCGTGATGAACATGGCGAACTTGCGCGACACCTTGAAGCCGGCCGCCCGCAGGGCGTAGTAAGAGTACATGACGGCGTGGACCAGGTAGTTCATGGTCATGAACCATCCGCCGCCGGCCACCATGTCTTTGTAGGAGTACCAGGAGTAGAGCAGCACGGTGATGTGGTGGTACCAGTGGAGGAAGATGAGCTTCTGTTTCCTCAGGACGATGAAGAGCGTGTCGCCTGCAGGAACGACAGGGCGAGTTGTTGGGACTGGAGGGCTCAACAGCAGCAGCCTCAGATGCTGTCGGAGGTCTCAACTTACCCAGTTCTGGTGCTTTACTGAGCACGAAGGCGTAGGCCCAGAACTTGCTGATGGGCCCGTTGTAAAAGCTCTGGTCACAAACGGACTGCTTCAGCCCTTTGGTCATCAGGATGTGCACCATGAAACTCCCGGTACGGATGGCGCCGAATATACTACACGGACAGAATGTGCATCATTCATTAATAGAAGACAGTGTGAAGTCTGCCACGAGTGCCTGTTAAATGTAGTAGCTGATGAACTGATGAACTCGGCATTATGGATTGAAAAAGCGTAATATTACAGATAAACTACCAGCAGCAGGAAGCCTCATATTTATATAATAAGTGATTACCGTATTTTCCGCACGATTAGGCGCACCTAAACGCCTTCAATCGTTTCAAAAGCTGATCATGCGCCTAATAATACAATGCGCCTTGTATATGGCCCAGTATTAAAACGCATACAGGTCTCAGTTACGGTAAGCAGCCGCGACTCGATTTTCTCCCGTAATAGTGCGCAGTGCATGCTGGGATACCGGGAAACTGGCGTTTCATTTCCATTTTAATATTTTTGTAAATACCCTGAAATGGCTCCTACCAAAAGACACGCGTACAACGCTGAGTTTAAACTCAAGGCGATAAGCCACGCACAAGAACACGGCAATAGAGCAGCAGCGAGAGAATTTAATATCAATGAATCAATGGTGAGGAAGTGGAGGAAGTATGAGGATGAGCTCCGCCAAGTAAAGAAGACAACACAGAGTTTCCGCGGGAACAAAGCGAGATGGCCACAGTTAGAGGACAAAGTTGAACAGTGGGTTGCTGAACAAAGAGCAGCAAGCAGAAGTGTTAGTACAGTCACAATTCGTATGAAGGCAATAGCGCTAGCTCGCGAACATAACATCAGTGAATTCAGAGGCGGTCCTTCTTGGTGCTTCCGTTTTATGAAACGACGTCATCTCTCCATCCGTACGCGCACTACTGTGTCACAACAACTACCAGCTGATTATCAGGAAAAGTTGGCCACTTTCCGCACATACTGCAGAAACAAGATAACTGAAAAAAAGATCCAGCCAGAGCATATCATCAATATGGACGAGGTTCCACTCACCTTCGATATCCCTGTAAACCGCACTGTGGATAAAACAAGGAGCACGTACGGTGAATATTCGCACCACAGGGAAATGAGAAAACGTCCTTCA